ATATATATATATATATATATATATATATATATATATATATATATATATATATATATATATATATATATATATATATATATATTTATATATATAAATGGCTTTATAAAATAGTATTTCGTCCGTTATATTTTTTTGAAAATTTGAATAAATAAATAAAAAATCGGTTGAGGCTGAACTTATCCGGAGCCTTTTGGTTTATATTGAACACGCAAACCGGGTCTCATTATGATCAACCTAGCTACAAAAATATAGGACTGACAATCGAACTATATGAGTCGAGTTTGGATCTGCTCAAACTCATATACTGTTAGGCCTCGTTATTATAAGCTGAAACTCAAATATTATGGGGCCTTATGTCTGTAGGCTTAATCTCCGCTCACATATTTTTTCGAGCTTCGACTTCAAATTTATATCAGACCAATGTCGACGAATAAATAAATTACATATTTTACATCTTTGCAGACAAATATGTTAAAAAACATGTATAAAACATAATTAAACTTTGGATAGAAATGTGAACATTTTTGTAAGAATATAATCATGGGCATCATCATTTCGCAATTGCCGAACAATTTTGGCCCGAAAGGTATATAAATATATGTGTGGGTGTGAAAACTAAATATGTATATTTATTAATTAATGTGAATGTAATATATTATATAGTAGTATACATAGAGATAGAGGCACATGCACACGAGCGAGGATAAAAAGAGAAGAAAAGGAGGAGAGAGGTTTGTTTGCCGTAATCAGCTCATGTGTCAGTCGATCGCGTTCACACCTTAACCGGCTTACCGGTCAAAACTAACCTTTGAATGTCTCCACCTTCTTTCCACATTAATTGCTTTTTTTCTCCACCGGCTACTCCCGGTCAACCTTTCTCCCCAAGACTCTCCAAAACTAATTAATGAGAATTCACACCTAGCGAGCTATTTCACCACTCCCACTTTTTATTTTACACACACACACACACACACATACATCTATCTCTCTCTCTCTCTCTCTCTCTCTATATCTTATTAGCTAGCTCCTCAAGTTTCTTCACTTTCTCTCTCTAGAAGAGTGCTAAAGAAGTGTGAGAGAAAGAAAACAAAAGGTATATATTATCGATCAAATGGAAGATCCATGCCCATCATCGTCTGACCATTATTATCCAGTTATGAGCAATTTCTCACTAGCAGAGCTGTTGGAGTATTCCGAAGAAGCTGAAAAGAGCTGCAGCTCCTTAGGGTTTATGGAGTTGCTCAATATGCAACAAGACTTCGGCGGCGGCGGCGGCGGCGCCCCCCCTTCTTCTGTGTTTGATGTGTTGCAACAACCCAATTGTGTGGAACCCTCGAATAATAATCAAATCCAGGATTCGTCCGATCACGTGCTGAATGCACCACCAACGCCCAATTATTCCTCTATTTCTTCTGAATCCAGCGGCGGTGGCGGCCAGAACGATGAACACACCAAAGAGGGGGTGGAGGAAGAAGAAGATGAAGAAGAGCTGGAGGAAAACCACAAGACTAAGAAACAGTAAGTGGTTTAGCTGTATGCATACATAGTGTTTGATGTTCGTGTTTTTTGTTGAAATATTAATTTAATTACTAATAACTGAGAGATTTAAATAAATAAATAAAAAAAGGTTGAAAGCGAAGAAAACAACAAGTCAGAAGAAGCAGAGGGAGCCAAGATTTGCTTTCATGACAAAGAGTGAGGTTGATCACTTGGAAGATGGCTACAGATGGAGAAAATATGGTCAGAAAGCTGTCAAAAACAGCCCTTTTCCCAGGTACTTTTTATTATTCTTAAATTAATCTTTCACCTTTTACATTTTTATTTTGCTGCTGTATATAGAGATACATAATTGTTGTGTATGTTTGCAGGAGCTATTACAAGTGCACATTTGCATCATGCAATGTGAAGAAAAGGGTGGAGAGATCCTCAGATGATCCTAGCATTGTTGTGACTACATACGAAGGCCAACACACTCATCCTAGCCCCATAAACTCACGGTCCTCCGCTGCCGCCGCCGCTCTACCGCCACCGTATAATTCCGGCTTCTCGATCGGTGGTGCCGCCCGTTTCCAACCGCCTGCGCAAATGGTTTCGGCTCAGAATAATAATCAGCAACAGTTCATGTCGTTTCTTGCAAACTGTGGAGGTGCACAGCAGTTGCTCTTTGGCCCTCAGTCTTCTGCTAATTTGCTAGCAGACCATGGACTTCTTCAAGATATTCTGCCTTGGTCCTTTATTAAGAATGAAGAGCAATGAATTGGGGATTAATTTGATTGTGCAATTTATGTGTTCCTCGTTACATTTACTGACTGATTGTAGGAAATGTTTGTAGATGAAACTAGTATGTACTGTTTTTTTATTTTATTTTATTTTTTTCAGACGATAAATGGTAATCTTTTATAGTACAAAGTTGCAAACCCTAATTGTTGGTGGCCTTAGTGTAAATGACTCCATTATGTTATGGAAGTGTGACATGGGGCAATTGTTTTTCCTAGAGAAGTGGGATCTCAAAATATGGTCTTGGAAATTTATTTGTGAGGTTCGATATATCGAGTCTCTGAAATGACGAACAATGGTAATTTGTGATGAAGAATTACGCGAACAACAAAGGTAGGGAAAAAACCAATGTCCTCATCAGTTATGTTCTTGTTAACATTTTCTATATATCCGAGTAAATGAATGGAGAATTGTTTTTTCTGTTGCTGAGAATTCTTCAACTCGGCTAGTGACCGACACTTGACGGCGTTAATGGAAGAAAAGATCATGACCAAGAACTACGTCTAAAATCACTCAACAGTTGTTTGTTTTTTTACAGCACAGACAAAAACAATTACGAAAAGGTAGCTGTTGTGTTATAATGGGGTCATTCGTACGATATAATTCCATAAATAATTCTAAGTTTGTAAGGTAAGAACTAGGAGGAGACATGTTAAATAGAAGATATAAAATGCAGCCATTGTACATACAGCATGCCTAGCTTTGTTGAGCTTGTCAAGTAGCAAAGAAACCTCCAAAGTTAGGGTGTGCAGATCTCTTACATTCACCATTTCCAGTTACACTGCTGCAAGATAACACAAAGCAAATTCTTAACTTGTCAAATGATGCGATGACTTGGTCGACAAATTGGAATATCTAGCAGCTCAGTATTGAGATATCTTATATTCCAAGTGAGAGTTATTTGCATCACCCAAAAGAATTTTGTTAAAAAGAAATATAAAAAGAAATATAAAAAGAAAAACGAGTCAACTGAAACTAACCATTTTGTGTATATTCGGAGGGCAGGTGGTGGTTCCAACTGCACCTCTTGTTAGTGAGGCTGTTAGGCTTTTGAGCTATATATACCTTTTATGCTTCAGAGACATCTGGTGAAGAAGGGGTCTGAGTTATTGAATTCTGCTGCTGTTCTTCCAGATCATCAAGTTCTTGTTCATAAAGTGCGTACTCTTCGGGAATCTCCCACTAATTTCATATAATTGACACCCATCACAATCACAATCCGAGATTATGTTTTAATTTGTAATGATAATAATAAAATCTTACTCTGCTTTCGCATGTAACACAGTTGTAATAGTACAGCACTCCATCAGGAGATACATGCTCGCTCCAGTCACATTCTGCGAAGTTTTCGATTTCAGCAATAGAATTAAATGCATGAGAAGCAGGTGAAGTACCATTGCTTGTCATTATCCCCGTCTTGCATCCTGGATGTGAAGACTGCAAATATATATATAACAACTTCCTCAGCAAACACCAAGACATACAGTTTTAACAAGACGTGTCAAGCCTACAGTAAAACAGGCAACATACACACACTCTTTCCAGTGATTATGGATGAGCAGGAATATTATGTACCTTCATTTGATGCATTTCGTTAGGCATCATATGTCCATTAGATGGATCGTTGAAATGTGGAGCAGGCCTGACGAAAATCACAACAAAAATCATAAGAAAGATAAAAAAACGAAGAGATGGACGCAAACAATATACACATACACACGCAGAGAATTAATAAAAGTAAGAAACCTAGGCTTTACAAATAGATGGTACCTTGAATCCCCTACTCTTGGCTTCTTGGGATCAGCAAACCGAACTATCAACGGTTGATCGCATCCCTAAACAAATAGTATTTCCAGAATAAATATTAACATTGGAATTAAATTTTAAGAACAGGAAAATTCAGACATGCAAGCATAAAGGCTTACTTTCATCATATATGTTCCATGTAAAGCATTAATTGCAGCAATTGCCATATCTCTACAAGAGAACTGGACAAATGCACATCCTTCAAAGCCACAAGGAGTTCACGTGAGGAAAATAGATGACAAATGTCCAACCATCAATAATAAAGGATTTGCAATGTATTCAAGAACACCAAGAGAAACAATAGATTACATGACAACATCTAACATGAACCGACATTTTAATATGAATTGTTTTTTTTTTTTAATTCAAGCTTCTTTTTCAGGACACAGAGAATACACTAAAAAGAACAAGTGGAAAGGTCAATGGCAAGAGTAACGCATTAGTCAGTTGTTTCTCAAGCCTCATGCAATCTGAGATTAACTTAGCTGACGGAGCAAGAATGATTATATCACAAGGTACACACCACGATTTTGCTTGAATTCATCCCGGACGATAAAAACCTCCTCCACAACACCAAAGGGGGTAAATATCTGGCAATAGAAACATGCTTGAAAAGTGATATAGATATAATGTCTACTGGAAGTGTTTATAATGGAACATACTGCAAGAAGGCAGAAGATGTACTGCATGCTAAACCTTTTGTTTAACAACGCCCTAGGTAATAAACACCCAAAAAAAATAGCGGGAAGAAGAAAAGGACAGACTGCAACAGTTTAAATGGGCAATATCAATGAAAAAGCAACTGAAAGATACATACTTCTTCAATTTCCCTTTTCAAAGCTTGTCTGCTCACGCAACCAACATACAACTTGTGTACCGGTACACTAGAGAGCCCTAAAGACAGAGAATGAAATCAGATTAACAGGGGGCAAAAAATCTATATTAGATCAGAAAGCATGCAATCAGTATTACAAATATAAGCATTTCTGAGAATTCACGGAACAGCGATATAAAGTTCAAATAATAAATATTTAAACTCATATTGGATAGGCAGGAAACATAGATTATGAAATCATTATAATAGAGAAATGATATTCTCCTTTCTGGTTCAATGATTGCCTGAATGTTGAATTTCATTGATCTAAATAACTCATCAAATGTCAGAACGGTAAGAAAAATGATGGAACAGATTATCGACCCACGGATGACAAACATATACATGTGTCCCCATTTATCACAGGAAAGATCCACTCTGTATTGAAGGACAAACAAAAAATTCAGGAATATCAAATGTATAACAATTGAGGTTTTCATAGAGAAGATAATCACCAAGGCGTTCACGTTCCCCTCCCGCATATTTGACTTTCATAGGAATCATTGCCTGGATGAGATAAACACATAAGAGAAATTAAATGTTTGCGGATTTTTTTTTTTGCACCCTTGAAATCTGCCACGAAATATGAGATAACTAACCCCAGGGAAAGTGTAGTGACTGTTAAATGCAACAATAGCTCGCTCAGCTTGATCTAGTGCTGCGTACTTCACAAAGCAGTACTCTAGAAGTATATGAAAACAAGAAACTTAAAGTTACATATTCCCGTATTTAAAAAGCAGCAATATGTGCAAAGGCAAATGCGACAAATAGCAGCACAAACAGCATATGCAGGTATATAAATAAGTGGAGCAAAAATATATCATCATGCATATAATAAATATATCATCATGCAGACTAAACGAGGACTTAAGATATTAATGAACCAATACATATGTAGAGTACATGTAGAAAAAGAATATACGAACTGAAAACTAACATAGAACTAATTTTATGGTCACATTAACAAAACTATGTAAACTCATTTAAAGATGCACATTTATATGAAATTTCATGACAAAAGCATGATGAACTAATTCATTAACTCGAGTACAATGTATGTTCTAGCGTTTATAAACCAACCACATTTTTAAACTAAGCACACCACCAGCGTAAATGTAAGTTTTCAAACATTGCCTCATACCGACATACCCTGTTGCAAACCAGTCCTTTTATCCTTGACTAGAATAATATCAACAATATGTCCATACTCGCCGAAAACAGCGCTAACCTGAATTAAACAATTAACAGCATATAAGTAATATCCATAATCAGAGTGTTCGAAATGTCATTGTGCTACTTAAGTCAAAATCATACTGACTAATCGAGCAATGCAACAGTATATACAATCAGAATTACTAAGAATTGTGACTACATCTTGTTCGAATTATTAAGAATTGTGACTACATCTTGTTCAGTAGCTGCTCTTGGAATTCCAACTACGTACAGCTTCACAAAACCGCCATATTCACCACCATCTGCATAAAACTTCACTTAAGAACAGCAAAAAAACTAGGTTAAAAAATTAGTTATCCAATAATTAGAAGTTATTCAATTACTAGATTGAGGATGTTGTCTCTTTTGCCCAGATAGATGCAACGAATTATTGGAATTGCTGTTGAACTGGTAACCAGGGGGCTCATTCTGCTCGCCGTCGAAATTTTGGTGGTGGCGGTGATCCTGGCGATCATCGTGCTGGTGATGGCCGCCGTCGGTGGGAAAAGACGACGTCGTCGCAGCGTGATCGGCGCGCATATCGCCTCCGTAATTCTCCATCCAATTTTTCAACAATAGGGTAATTACGATTCTAACCCTAGGGCTTTCTGAGCCCAAAACACTAGATAAATGCACAAATTTGTTTTAAAAATAATATTAAGATGAGATAGGGCCCAATAATTAAGGAACATGGGCCGTGCTTGATTGAGGTGGCCCATACTTTATTGCCGGTTCAGCCCTACCACGCGATTCTTTTTGTTGCGCATGTTCCAATTTCTTTTGTCACACTTGTTATTATTCATTGACCAAATCGTTGTCGCTTCATTTTATTTTCGGTTTTGAATTTTTCTTTTGCGTATTTACTTGAATTAGCACTAATTAATTTATTTCAGACAACGTTTGTATGCTGACTAATGTGTAAAATTTCAGCCAAGTCATGCTACCTATATATATATACCGCCTAAAACGGGCAGGCCCGGGTATCATCGGACTATCCGACAAATCTTGTCCGATTGCTGCCTCTCTCTCTCTCTGTGTGATAATGACGTCATTACCCATTCTTATTCATTTATACTTGTCCTCGGCCAACGTAAATAATACAAAGAAAAATTAGAATTTAGAACACGGAAAATTAGGGAAAAAGCTAAATATGGGAGGTGGATAAAATCTTACCGGAGACATCAGAAACCCCTTTTCTTCCAGCTCCTGTCGGTGAATTTTTTCTCCGAATTTAAGGTTTCTGCATATTGTGGTACGCCCAATTTGTCCATTACATTCTTATGTCTGTTTTTTTTTTCGCATGTATTTTATTTTTCTATTTTTCTTTGTGGCATCGTTATTTTACCTTGGTTTGATTCATGTTTCTTTCTGGCTGCATTAAATTTTTTTTTGTTTGTTCTTTTAGAGATTATGAATTAGTAATTAATTAGGTTTTTTTATAGTGTTAATAATTCCAGGGTAATTGTGTTGCAGGAGGAATTCTGAGGGTTTTTTTATAATAAATAAAATCCTGAAATATATCAGAGACCTTGTTGCATTTGCTGGGGGAATTCACCCCGTTCGTTGTAGATGAGAATAGGGTTCCGTGTTGTGGCGTCGCCAAATTAAAACGATTTTTTGCTATTTTCTGTTGGTTTATATAATAGCATATTTCCAAATTTCCGGACATTATAGACGTATATAATAATCGAGGAAGGCAGTCGAATTATACATTTCATGTTCCATGGAACACAATAACTCAAAAGAAAAGGAAGTAATAGTTGATATAGAGAGCGGTGAAGCAAGTGAATTAGCTATTGCCCAAAGAGATCCCGTTTCTGGTAATAAACCTCGGAAGATATCTTTGAACAAACTTGTCAGTGGAGTTTTGGGTTACAAAGGATCAGACATCAATCTGGATGAGGAGACCATGGAGCTTTTGGTGGAAAAGAATCCCGTAGAGCAGCAGAATAACGGGATTTTGCCACCTGTCGGAAAGGACAATAATGATAAAGGGAGAACAAAGGCTGTAAAAGTTAAGAAGGCTGCGAAACCACCTCGGCCTCCTAAAGGCCCGCTGTTGGATGCTGCTGATATGAGAATGGTCAAAGAAATATCTAAGATTGCTATGAAGAAACGGGAAAGAATCGAACGAGTTAAAGCTTTGAAGAAGATGAAAGCAGCTCGATTGCCATCACAATCGTCGTCTTCATCTTTGGGTGGCACTATCTCTGCCATGGTCATCACAGTTTTGTTTTTTCTCGTGCTTATTTTCCAAGGTATATAATACATTACGCTGATGTTCAAAACCCCCTTACATCTTTGTTATTCGTCTCTTTGGAATATCAATTTATTATTTGTTCATTGAAATATATTGGTGTGCCTTTAGACGAATGGATTATTATTAATTAGAAATTGGGCAATTTGATGTTTCGGATGGATATACACCATTCTCGTATAGTATTCTTAGTCTATATATTATACAAATATGTTATGTGTTCATTTTTCTGTTCAATTTGAATTCGAGTGGCTGAATTTTCACATATTGCACTTTTTTGCACCTTATGTGGGAAATCTGGATTTTCCCGTTTCGTTATTTATCGACCCAAAAGGTCTATTGAGAAACCAAGTTCTTGCGACAGTGTTATTACATACCATATGTTTCAATTTATAGAGCATCGTTAAACCTTATGTACGTGTTTTTCAACACCATCACCTGAAAGTTTTGAACAGCATCATCTGAAATATGCTCGTCTGAATTCACACGAAAATGCTAATCTCTCTTATACAATGAGACATAACATAGCTTACGAGTTATGACATTAATTAGGATTTAATGATGTTCCTATGTAGGTCTTGGTTCGAGCAGCAGTTCAAATGTAACAGTCGCGGATGCTCCTCAGCCAGCACCGGATACAACAGCAGCTGCAGGCTTGACACCTGTCCAGTTTTACAAAACCGTTCTGTCAGATGACGGTGCTGCACCAAGTTTTGTTCCCCCCAAGTTTGTACCTCCTTTGTTATTCCTCATTATATTTCCAGACAATCTTTAATTTTTCGTGAATGAATCAACTGATGTAGTTTTGGCTTTGTGGATGTGCAGATCTGCTGAATAACTGCCTCGGTTGGAGATATCGTTGTACGAGAAAATTATCGGAGCTCCATATATTGTGTTACTCTGTATTCTTGTGTAGCTGTAGAAGTTTTTAAAAGATCACTGTTGTATTAAGAAGTTTGCTTTTTCTTCTGCAGAGCAGAGAACACAAAACCATGGAGATGATGAATCTCTTACAACTAACTATATTGCCAAATAACTCTATGATCCTGACGGCTACATTGTCCATTCTCTTTTACACGCTTTGCTCCTTTGTATATTAAAATAAATGCTTATGCCATTGTTTTTATTTTTATTTTTTCAAGTCTTATTATTATATGGAAACAAAAAGATGCTTCGAAGTATCACTATTGCATGTTTCTCTTCTTTATATATAGATATGAAAATAATAATGCCAATAAAAATATATTTCGTAAAATTATGTTTATGTAGTCAAATTTATAAATATAAGTTGGTGTTAATCTTGTTAAATATAGGTTAAATAATATAATAATGTATTTTAAAATCAATTTAGGAATTTTGATAAAGCGGTTAAAATTCACAATAAATTTAGCCCTAGTTTGCCATAAGCCCATTGCACCCCATGTTGGGCCGGGCTGAAAGCGTGAGTCGGGCTACGGCCCAACATAAAGGTCGGCGACTCATTTTTATTAGCTTGTAATTCTATTTCGAGAAGAGTCGTCCTTCCCCTCAACTCCTGGCCTTTATTTAAACACGAACTCAAACCCTAATCGCTCTTTCTGCTTCTCTTCTGTTGGCCAAAGGGAGTTGGATATTAGTTTCCCCTTTTCCAATTTGATTGAGAAATATTTGACAGATGGGGACGGAGAGGAAGAGGAAGGTGAGCCTGTTCGACGTAGTTGACGATACGGCGTTACAGGGGAAGATGCCCAGGGCCAATGGATTCGGCGGCGCGGCACTTCCCGAAAACGTTAATCCGTGGAACGGAAAGCAGTACTCCCAGAGATATTTTGAGATTTTGGAGAAGAGGAAGTCTCTCCCCGTGTGGCACCAGAAAGATGAGTTCTTTCAGGCCCTCAAAGCCAATCAAACCCTAATTCTTGTCGGTGAAACTGGAAGTGGTAAAACCACTCAGGTTAGTGTATTCTACATACATCTGCTTTTGTACTTGTTCTCATGTACTTGAATCGTAGGGTATTTTCAAAGATTGAGCGTAAGAATCATTGATTGTTATTTTCTTGGGGAACCAGTTTGAAATTGCTGAAACCATAGTTTAGAGATTTTTCTGTCCTTCGCCAAGAAGCAAAATAAGTCTAGTTAGGTCTTTGTATTTGGTTATGGTTATTATGCTTACAATTTCATATTGCATGCATTTATCTCATTTGTTTGATCTTCTTCCCCTGAATTACGAAAATTATGTTTATAGTATATGAAACTGCATATGCACCTCCCCTATCTGCTCTTTTCATATGTACCACAGATGTACCATTGGATGCTTTTGTAGAGTTTAAAAGAAAAGGTTTATTTGATTGAATTATTTTGTTGGGTTAGGGGATTTAAATTTCCAATTTCTGGTTTTCTTACAGATTCCCCAGTTTGTCCTGGAGGCTATAAAGAGTGAGACTATGGATAAGGGCAAGAAGTTCATGGTTGGATGCACTCAGCCTAGAAGAGTGGCCGCAATGTCTGTTTCAAGAAGGGTTGCCGAAGAGATGGATGTGGCAATCGGCGAGGAAGTAGGTTATAGTATTCGTTTTGAGGATTGTAGCAGTGCACGAACTGTTTTAAAGTACGCCCTTCACTCATGAGACTTTTCTGTTAATTGTCTCCCCTCTTACGCTATTTCAAATGATGTCTCTTGACTTCTTTCATGTGAAAATACATTCCTGAAATATATTATTTCTGTAACATTGCAGGTATTTAACGGATGGTATGCTTTTGAGAGAAGCCATGACCGATCCACTCTTGGAGAGATACAAAGTGATAATACTTGATGAGGCTCATGAGAGAACCTTGGCAACAGATGTTCTTTTTGGGCTTCTGAAGGAAGTGTTGAGAAACAGGCCCGACATGAAAGTAGTCGTTATGAGTGCCACCCTGGAGGCTGAAAAGTTTCAAGGGTATTTTAGTGGTGCACCACTCATGAAAGTTCCTGGGAGACTTCATCCCGTTGAAATTTTCTATACCGAGAATCCTGAGAGGGATTACCTAGAAGCTGCTATAAAGACTGTTTATCAGATACATACTTCTGAACCTCCTGGTGATATACTGGTTTTCCTTACTGGTGAAGAAGAAATCGAAGATGCGTGTAGAAAGATAGGGAAGGAGATAGCTAAGGATGGGGATCAAGCAGGACCAGTTAAAATAGTACCTTTGTATTCCACTCTTCCTCCAGCAATGCAACAGAAGATTTTTGAAGCTGCCCCCCCACCTGCCAAGGAGGGTGGTCCAGCAGGAAGGAAGATTGTTATTTCAACAAACATTGCCGAAACATCATTGACAATTGACGGTATAGTTTACGTCATAGACCCCGGATTTGCAAAACAAAAGGTTTATAATCCACGAATTCGTGTCGAGTCTTTATTGGTATCTCCTATTTCGAAGGCTAGTGCCCACCAACGTTCGGGACGTGCTGGAAGAACGCAGCCTGGGAAGTGTTTCAGGCTCTACACTGAAAAGAGCTTCCATAACGACCTTGTACCTCAGACCTATCCAGAGATATTGCGGTCAAACCTTGCAAACACTGTCTTAACTTTGAAAAAGCTTGGAATCGATGATCTCGTCCATTTTGATTTCATGGATCCACCTGCTCCAGAGACACTGATGAGAGCGTTGGAGGTCTTGAATTACTTGGGAGCGCTTGATGATGAGGGGAACTTAACCAAGTTGGGTGAAATCATGAGCGAGTTTCCCTTGGATCCTCAGATGGGCAAAATGCTGGTTGTCAGTCCAGAGTTTAATTGTTCCAACGAGATTCTCTCTATATCTGCTATGCTTTCAGGTATGCAACTTAACTATCTTTCTTTCTTGTCTGAGTCACGGGCACTTTGTCGTATCTACAAAAGTAGATCTTCTTGGTTGAGTTTGTGCTTCACCATGTCTGAAGTTCACAGTCACGTTGTCTTACATGCATGGATTTGTTTCCGTGTATTGTAATTACAGGTATCAAATGCATACATGACTGCAGAAGCATTCGTGTATGTGATTGATATTTGTGTGTCCATTAGGTTGACATCAGCATTCTAAGCAAGTGTTGATGCAGATAGTTGCAATTTTTCAGTATTCTCACGTGAAGCAAATGGTTTCTTCTCGCCTCTATACATCTGCTGACCTTCCTTCCGTGGGCCTCCTCTGTGATAATCAATTTTTTCTCTAGTACCCAATTGCTTTATCCGGCCTAGGGATGCTCAAAAAGCTGCCGATGAAGCAAAAGCTCGGTTCGGTCACGTTGATGGGGATCACCTCACTCTACTGAATGTATACCATGCATACAAACAAAATAGTAAGTAACATATTTTTTTGATTTTATCACTTCTTTCCCCTTTTTTTCGCTGTACGTATTGGTACTAATATTTACTCCTGGATGTATCCATCTGTAGAGGAAGATCCACAGTGGTGCTATGATAATTTTGTCAATCATAGGGCAATGAAATCGGCAGACAATGTCAGGCAGCAGTTAGCTCGGATTATGGCCAGATTCAATCTGAAGCTATGCAGCACAGATTTCAGTAGCCGTGATTACTATGTCAATATCAGGAAGGCTATGCTAGCTGGATACTTCATGCAGGTTGCCCATTTAGAGCACAGCGGCCATTATCTGACCGTAAAAGACAACCAAGTATGTACAATAGACAATGTTATGTGTTGCATTTGAAATGTTTATTATGTTCTTTGCAGCTGAGTTATATGTTCCCTTCATCAATGTTTCTCTTCTTGCAGGTTGTTCACTTGCACCCTTCAAATTGCTTGGACCATAAGCCAGAGTGGGTCATCTACAATGAATATGTACTAACAAGCAGGAATTTCATCCGTACAGTAACGGATATTCGTGGTGAATGGTGAGTTTTTTTGACGGTCTAACATGATTTTGTTTGATGTGTGATGATTTTGGTTTTCCCCTCGATTTGATCAATATTATTGTATTGTTGCACGTGAACACATAAGATTTGTTTGTCTTCTCAGCATGTCCATGGAATCTAGTAAAATCCTCACTGTTCATGCCTGTTGACCTTTTAATTATTCTCACCATGTATAGGCTATTCCGCGTAGTTCCTAAATTGTATTTTCCTGCGTTGGATTTTTACGTTCTCTTCTCTCCATTGTCACATTTAGATACAAAATTTTGGGCACTTCTAGTACGATACCTCTAGTCGCTGGTACAAAGATCCAACGAAGATCTCGTCGATTAGTAATTAAATATTGGTTTTTGAAAAATGGTACCTGGTCTGCATGTTGTGCTGTTTTCTTATCATGGATTGTGTTTTCTACCTTGTTATCTTACATTGCTTTCTTCAAAATTTTTGCAGGTTGGTTGACATTGCACCACATTACTATGACCTCTCAAATTTCCCCAATTGTGAGGCAAAACGCCAACTGGAGAAACTGTACAAGAAGCGGGAAAACTCCAGGGATGAGAGCAGGAATCGCAAGTGAAGAGAGTGAGTGAGAGAAAGTGAGAGAGAGATGAATTTAAAGTTTAAAGAATGGTGATTGTGTGTTCACCTATCCGGTTAATTGGTTTGTATGGATTCATAAATTATGCTTGATTATCTATATAAGCTTTTAAGTTGGAAGATAAATCACTTCTCTAACATGAAAATTGTTGGTCTTGTACTCTTGTTGGCAAAATGATTGAATTTCCATCATTCTTACATTGGTTTAAATACACATTATTGTCAGCTTGTAGTTTTTTACTTGGTATATTAGAGTCACTTTGCAAATTAGACTTCTTTTTCCAAAAGTAGTTCGCCAAATATCAATGATATAATTTTTTATTTCTTAATTTTTATTTATTTTTTAAATTTTGTAATCTAGTTTAAGATGAATTTTTTATGTATTATGTGTGATCAATAAAAGCCAATGTGTATTTGCAGTAAAATTCTGTTTATGATATCTAGGGTTATTTTTTGTTTTCCTTTTGGAATGTGCGTGCTGTGGGAATATTTCTTACTAATAAGATAGTAGCAAAGTTTTAAATCAAACATTAAATGAAATGAAGGTAGGTCTAATTGTACAATTATTGTTACGAACGAGGCCTCTAATATTCAGTGACGACCCAAAGGACATTCAGTGACGACCCAAAGGATATTGAGGGGTCAGAATAATATAATGTTTTTAGCCCAATTTGTGTTGAAAAAACCTATCGAGCAGTGGTGAATTCCTGACTCATCAGTCAAAATCCCACTCCACTGTTCTCTTTGCGCCGCCGACCGGAAGTAAATCCCTTATTCCGGTGTTTCTCATTTCCGAGCTTCCACCTTTCTTGTTGCTTGCTTACTTCCTCGTTTTGATCCTTGCCCCTTGCCCCTTCCATTTTTTTTTTTTTTTTTTTTTTAATTTTCTTTTTTGGTCTGTCCGGTATCTTTATTGTTGTATCATTTGGGCGTTCTAATTTTGCTTATTTATTTATTTATGTTAATTGGTTATTGAAATGCTGTGTGTTTAATGAGTTTAATAAAGTTTTGCAATCCTCGGTTGTTAATGCGTGCGTCTGTTCACTGACCAAAATGTGACATTGTATTATAACATTTCAGAATCAAAACCCTAGTGAATCATACGTGCAAGTGAAGTGATGGCTCAGTTACACCCAATTTCTTCTTGCTCTTCCACCAATCTCCTTTCCTATGCTTCTAATATAGGTACCACTTGTATATATCTTTCATAGCTACGTCTACGGAAATTATTTGTACTCCTTTCGGATGATTTTATTTGATTTCTTCGTATGTAGGTTACGCTCGAATTCATCAAAATTTTCACTGCCCCCAAAAATTGACTTCGCCGCATGAGGTGTTTTGCTCATTTGCTTATTCAATTAGTGCACCTGTTATTTATGATGATTTAGGTTCAATGGCAATGTTGAGGATTTTTCTTGTTTCCTTCTTTTATGATGCCAGCTTGGCGTGACAGCCAGTGAGTTCCACGGTCGTGCAATCGTCCAAAACACAACTAACTTTGGTCTCACTCGTCAAAATCATGGTATCAGCCTCTTGCTCAGTGTCATGCATATTATATATGTTTTTTTATATATATGTGTCTATTAAAATTATATGTCAGTTATTAAAGTAAATGTCGATAAATCTTTTAGTTGACTGATATATGTACATACACTGTCAGAAGGACATCAATGTATGTAGTCCGTCTTAATATCTTCCAATGAATTTGGTTACAGCTGTCAGAGCAGTTTTGGCTAGCCTCAATGAGGCAACAACTTCTAGTGGAGTGGATGGGAATGTTTTGCGTAAAAAGTTGAACAAAGTTGTCCTGGCTTACAGTGGTGGCTTAGATACTTCTGTAATCGTACCTTGGCTTAGGTATGTTGGTTTACAAGGATGTTTTATAATTCATCGCAACAATCAAGAATGTGTGGACGTACTTTTCATATCGTTAACACACATACTCTTTTGTGTGTTTGCAGGGAGAATTATGGATGTGAGGTTGTTTGCTTCACAGCAGATGTTGGTCAAGTACGTCAAAAATCTATTCAAACAATTGCATTAATCCACATAAAATGGACATGCAAAATCTTGTTTTTTTATCGTATCAAATGAAATTTAGGGACTACAAGAACTGGAAGGGTTGGAACAAAAGGCGAAGGCAAGTGGGGCATGTCAACTAGTGGTGAAGGATTTGAAGGAGGAATTTGTGAGAGATTTTATTTTTCCATGCTTACGAGCTGGTGCTATCTACGAGAGGAAGTACTTGCTCGGGACATCTATGGCTCGTCCTGTTATTGCAAAGGTACATTATTGTATATATATACTAATAAAAGGTTGACTTTGCAATAATTATTATTATTTATTATCAAACGATTTTTATTTATTAAAATATTGGAAATGCAGGCGATGGTTGATGTCGCCAAAGAAGTTGGAGCTGATGCAGTTTCTCATGGATGCACGGGAAAAGGAAATGATCAGGCAAGCTTCTGTTACTTCTCACTGAAGTTATTCTTTCGTCATTTTCCATCTGCCGTAGACTTTCTTTTATGAGTTGACTTTGTTTCATTTTTCTTACAGGTTCGTTTTGAGTTGACTTTCTTTGCTCTGAATCCTGAGCTGAGTGTTGTTGCTCCTTGGAGGGAATGGGAAATAACTGGTAGGGAAGATGCTATTGAATATGCCACTAAGCACAATGTGCCCGTTCCTGTCACCAAGAAATCTATTTATAGCAGAGATAGGAATTTGTGGCATCTCAGCCATGAGGTAATCTTTTTCACACCCCCCTCATATATATATATGTGTGTGTGTATTAATTTTTTTGGTACACCAGATCTAAAACCTGTTTGATGAAAATGTATTTTTTTAATCGAGATTTTCTGACCAAAACGTATATATATATATATATATATATATATATATATATTAAGATACGGATTTAGATTCTTATTTATTGTGTGTGTGCGGCATACTAAAGGGGGATATCCTGGAGGACCCAGCAAACGAGCCAAACGAGGACATGTACATGATGAGTGTTGACCCAAAAGATGCACCAGATCAACCTGAGTTAGTTTCTTTTATTATTTTTTTTTTTCCGAGTTTAATGCATTCAGCATCCCTGTGTTTGTTTGTTTTACCACAAAACTCCCTAATTGTGATTTTTTAAGGGGACGATTGCTAAGAAAATGAACTGTAGGGGATTTTTTGCTAATAAAATAACACGGGGAGTCTTTTAGTAAAATGAAAACACAGGGGTGTTGAATGTTGAATGCACAATTTTCATTTCATATATAGTATGCAATTTGATGAATTACTTTATCTTACATTTTCATGCCCATAAATGAAGGTACGTGAAAATTGGCATAGTCGAGGGTCTTCCAGTCTCCTTCAACGGAAAAGAACTCTCTCCAGCATCTCTACTTGCAGAGCTAAACGAGGTAGGTGGAAAGCACGGGATTGGTCGAATAGATATGGTTGAAAATCGCCTCGTTGGCATGAAAAGCCGTGGGGTCTACGAAACTCCAGGTGGCACCATCCTCTTCAGTGCAGTACGAGAGCTCGAGTCTCTAACGCTGGATCGTGAGACCATACAAGTAAAAGACTCCCTTGCCCTCAAGTACGCGGAGTTGGTTTACGCGGGTCGATGGTTCGACCCGCTCCGTGAGTCCATGGATGCATTCATGAAGGAGATCACAAAGACCACTTCTGGATCGGTGACTTTGAAACTGTATAAAGGATCCGTGAGTGTGACGGGCCGAGAAAGCCCGTATAGTTTGTACAGGCAGGATATATCTTCGTTTGAGAGTGGCGATATCTACAATCAAGCTGATGCTGCTGGTTTCATTAGGCTGTATGGTTTGCCTATGAGGGGTTCGTGCCTATGCTTGAGAAAAGGCCTCTGAATTGGGGTCCCTTTTTTTTTCTTTCTTTATTGGCAGTTAAGACTGTCTATATTATCATTCGACTCAGGCATTCGACTTCTGTTTGAATAATTGCGGGTTTCTTGGATAGTTGTTTTACGTATTTCGTCGAGTCTACGTGAATTATTTGCATGTGTTATAGATTTAGTCAACTATTAGTTTAGCAGGTTGTCCTGAATGAGACTGATCAAAAATATATTAATTAATTGGGTAGTAGACATGTGAAGAAAGATTGAAGAGGGTGTGAAATGCTCCAGACGACAAACTCATGTCTTATCCAATTAATCCAGGATTAGATTCAATCCAACTCCCAGCCTTCTGCTTTTTCGCATTCCAACCCCGGATAACTTTATCCAGCCGAATGACACCACTTCTCGCTCCATTCTCACCGTATATCTTGGAAAGTACCGAGTACACCGCAGGATGATCTTTCTCCACTTCCCTAATCCCATTCGCAGCAGCCTCACCAATCTCCAAGCAAGAATGCAACCCACACGCACCAAGCAATGCACCCCACACAACCACATCAGGCTCAAACGGCATCCTCTTAATCAACTCCTCCGCCTTTTCTAGCTCACCCGCCTTCCCGTACAAATCCACCATGCACGAATAATGCTCCATCGTTGCTCTCATTCCGTACTTCACTTGCATGGTCTCGTAAAAAATCTCCTCGCCCTGTTCAATCATTCCTCCATGCACGCACGCCGATAAAACATTGATAAACGAGATTTCGTCCGGGACAAAATTGCCCTTCACCATCCTATCAAACTCCTCCAAAGCCCGTGACGCAAGCCCGTGTCTTGCGTAGCCTCCAATAATCACGTTCCACGAGACCAGATTTTTCTCCGGCATCGATTCGAATACGCGAAAAGCTGCGTTTATATCGCCACATTTTCCGTACATATCTACTAGCGAGGTTGCCACTACTACATCGAGGGGGATACCGAATTTTAGGATACACGAGTGGATTTGATTGCCCGTGGCGAGAGAAGAGCAGCCCGCGGAAGCTTCTAGAAGAGTCGAGAAAGTGTAGTGATTTGGACGTGTTTCGGATTTCATCATCGAGCGAAACATAGTCAGAGCCTCAGCGAACTTATTACACCGAACACACCCTCTCATCAACGCAGTCCACGAGACAACATCTTTTGCACTTAGCCTATCGAAAATTGCTCTTGCTTCGTCGACCATTTTGTTCTTCATGTACCCGTTAATCATGATGCTCCAAGAAAATGGATTTGTTTTAGGCATCGAATCGAAGGCTGTTTTAGCTTCAGCTATCAGCCCAAATTCCATATAGCCCAAGATTAAGACATTGCAGGGCACCACGTCTTTTACTAAGATTTCGTCAAAGACTCTACGGAAAGCATCACGATTTCCTAAACCAATGTATCCCCTCATTAAGGCAGAGCCTAGATAAATATTTAGATTAAGCCCCAAACGGACCACAAGACCATGCAACTGTAGAATCAAAACATCAAACTTTGTATTCGAAAATGCGCTAGCAAGCACGGAAAGAGTGAGCTCTTCGGGCCTCAAACCGTGTGCCATCATTTCTAGGAAAAGTTGGTGAGCCTTTTGTGGGTTCTGTGCGTCGCGAAAACCTGAAAACATGGTGTTCCAAGAAACGACGTCTCGTTGGGGCATTTGGTCGAACAGCTTCTGAGCTTCTGACATTTGGCGGGTTTTTAAGTAGCCCTTGATCAAGCAATTCCACGAGACAGTGTTTCTTGAGTGGGGAAAATCGTCGAACAGTTTGCGCGCGTCGTTGACATTTCCGTTTCTCACGCATTCATTAATCTTTTGGTTAAAGTTAAGGGTGGAAAGTGTGTACATACAGAGGGAAGAAGTGGGGAAGAGAGGGGCTAACAGTGTACGCCGTTGGCCCATTCAGAGGAGTGGCACGGCGTTTGTTCGAGGAGGTGAAAGATCTATATACATTATTTACCAAATGATTTTGAATTTATTTTCAATAGCTTTTTCTTTTTTTTCTTTTTTTGAGAAAAGTTCAATAGCTTCATTATTGTATTTTTCTTAGATAGTAAAATTTATAAAAAGGGTCCATTAGATATACACCCCTTATATGGAAAATAAATAGGGATAGGTCCACCCCTAAAATTCTTTCTTTGAGATAACCCCCTAGAGAGGGAAAAGTACTATTGTGCCCTTATTTACAATTTTCGCCCAACTGCATTCAGCATTTTTGCTACTGCATTTAGTATTTTCTTTTTTTTTTTTTTTTAGCTTTTTTTTTTCTGATTTTTTTGCTACTGCATTTAGTATTTTCGTTTTTTTTTTTTTTTTTTTTTTTTTTTTTTTTTGCTTTTTTGTTTTTGATTTTTTTTTCCGTGAAAACTTCCCTGTTTCGAATATGACTATATATGACTATATAAGTTTTTTTTTTTTTCTTTTTTTTCTGATTTTTTTTTTCCCGAAAACTTCACTGTTTCGAATATGACTATATATGATTATATAAGACTATAGTCATGTACTGTCTTTTTACCCAAAGTTATGGTCGACCGATTATATATATCGTTGATTTTATAAAAAAAAAAAAATCATCTACATCTCCAACAAAATTCAAAATTTGAATAATGATATTATAAATATCGCACCCAACAAAAAATTGAAAAAATGCAATCATCAACATCACTATACATCAGAATCACCACATAACTTATATATGACTATATATAACTACATGTGAATATATATGACTATATCTATATGACAATATGTGACTATATATGACTACATGTGACTAAATATAAATACATGCATATGACTACATGTGACTATATATGACTACATGTATATGACTACATGTGACTATATATGACTACATCTTTATGACTACATGTGACTATATATGACTACATGTATATGACTACATGTGACTATCTATAAAAGTATAGTCATATATAGTGTAGTTTGTATTTATAGCTTCAAATCCCACTTTTCACCACGACAGCAACTCCGATCTATCGCAAAAGAACTATTTTGAATTGACGAACACCATGTCCTCTCGACAAAAAAATAGTGCTAGAAGTTGTTTAAACACCGAGACCTGTAACAAAAAAATAATAATTTAATTTAACGAACACCATGTTTCTCGATAAAAACTTCGTACATAGAAGTTGTTCAAACACCGAGACCTGTGACAAAAAATCAACAATTATCATTAACTGCAATAACACAATCAAATTCGAAATACATAAATTATTATTAATATACGTTCAAATGTACAAATCAAAATCAATTCCTTTTACAAGTTCATGTTCACATAATAATCCTCTACAGTAACACTCTGTGCTACATTCCTCAAATTTTTTATTTATTAAAAAAATGCAAACTTCCACCGATTATCAATATAACATCATCAAGCTTCTATCTCTATCTTTTTGTTTAAAAAAAAAAAAAAAACTGAAACTTCAATATTCATTGAGAAACAAAAAGAGTGCACATGGGATAAACAAGGTTGTGAACAGATAAAACTTTTGGTAATTCCATTGACCTATGCATAATGCATCCCAATTTGTTTTGATTTTTAATTTATGCAAACACAAAAAAATTATTAAGCAAACGATTAGGATTTAATAATAACTGGACAACAGGGGAAAAATAAACCGAATCACCTTAAAGATGTAGATCTTGTTTGTCTTCACGTTCTTCTTCGTCCTCTTCTTCTTCTCTCCGCCGATGGCCGCCTTTCCGGCGTCCTTGGGGAGCTTCTTGCCAGCCTTCGGCTTCTTCTTCGACACCACCATCGGAGATTTGTTTTTTTTTTTTGGCGATAGAAACTTAGAGAGAGGGAGAGAAGACGAGAGGGAGAGAGAGGAAGAGAAGAAGACTTTTTTTTTTGCGATAGAAACTTCGACAGAGGGAGAGAAGACGAGAGGGAGAGAGAGGAAGAGAAGAAGACAGAGAGAGAAAGCGGATCGGGAAAATAAAACGGCGTGGGTTTGGTGGAAGAGAGATTAGGGCAAATATTTGAATTAAAACTAAAAGGGTAAAACGGGTATTTTAAATTGTTCAGGGGGGTCTCACTAATTAAGATTAAAATTTGGGTTTTTAACTAGGACAAAAATATTTAATGGGCCTCCTCGTATATATTTTCAAAACTAGGGGGTTATTACTCATTTCCCCTTATAAAAATGGGTAAAATTATAATTAATTAAGTAGTTAGCACTATTTATCTTCCAAATTAATTGATGAGATGTCGAGCGACGAGCTAAGAGTAGCCGACGAGATGGCAAACTACGAGCTATGAATAGTTGACGAGATAACGAGCGACAAGCGGAGAGTAGCTGACCAGATAACGAGCGACCAACTGAAAAATAGCTGACGAGATGACAAGCGACTGACTAGATAACGAGCGACCAATTGAAAGTAGCTGACGAGATGACGAGCGACGTGCTGGGAGTAGCTAATGAGTTGTTGATCGCCGAACTAAGAGTAGTTAACGAGATGACAAGCGGCAGCTGAAAGTAGCTGACGAAAGGATAAACAACGACAATTACTGAAATCAAATTTAGGTGAACTATTTTCTGACTAGTAATGAATAAATCAATAAATATCTCAATTGCAATATAAGTTTGGTGATAAAAACTATTAAGAAAACATATGACTCGGGCTCAAAATAGGTTCGGTCCAGGAACTGACCCAGCTGAAAATAAGCCCACTCCAAAACAGACAAAGCCTGATTAATAATTATATTAGCAGATGGCATACGCCTTCAAAGCAATAAATCTCTTGTTATTAATATTATTATTATTTTTTTTTTCGCCTGATTAATTCTGGCGTATAAGACAGGCTTCCCCCGGTTCGTCGCAAATTTTGAGCTCATGATAAACAGTAACATGCTGTGGTCTGCTGAAAAAACCCAGATAATACATAAATCCATGACATAATCATCCTTCCTCAATATGACAATTATTCTTCCTGATGTTTCTTGAATATGCTTTAGGACAACAATTTGTCCTAAACAATTATGCTTTGCTTCCCGTTAGCCGCTGGTACAACGCGTCGATTTCCACCTGCATTATGGTACGTTTTCACTGTGAATTTTTGCCTAACTTACTCGTAAAATAAATCAGCATAATTATATTAAATTTTTACCTTATAATGCTTCAGCAATCTGTCTCTCCTCTTTTTCAGTGTTGCAGTCACCAATTCTTTTTCAGACAGCTCAAACAGCTTAGGCTCCAAAATTACACCTTTGATGTTCTCAAATCCTCTCAGCTGGTTCGAACCAAGAAATCGAATATCAGTCACATAATGACTATAAATAATTTCAAGAATTGTGATTTTTTTTTTAATGTAATTTGTGTTTTTCAAGATTGACGAAACTGACCTTGTTTCTCTCAGCTGTAGACTTAAGCTCGACGAGGATATAATCTTTGAGCTTGTCAAGAGAACATATTTCTACAAAGGACCCTTTGTGACCATTTTGCTTTGCCCAAGTTTTGGTGTTCTCTTCATTCGGTACCACAACTGAAACCAGCATTGACTTAAAACTGTCCCCATACACCCATATCTAGAAAACGAATCACCGGTTAACGAATCGTAATAATATATAATAATTAAAAATGACGAGAAACTAAATGGAGTTAATTAATCAACTTTCTTACATCTTCAACAATAGGTGTAATCCCATACACTTTCTCCAGATATTCGAGAGCAACATACTCTCCCTGAGACAGCTTAATCAGATTCTTCTTCCTATCAATGATTTTCACAACTCCGTTTTCTAACATCTCTCCTATGTCGCCTGATAGTCGAAAAAAAATAATAGATTAGTTTTTAATTTTCAATATCATATAATGGTGTTAATACATAAAAAGACGAAGACTAATTAAATTAACCTGTGTGAAACCATCCATCTTTAACAACTTCCTGTGTCAGTTCTGGATTCTTGTAGTATCCTGCAAATTCCGTTTTCCCACGAAGCAATACTTCACCACGGGGCGGGTCGCCAAACGGGTCATAGCCCATTTCAGGGACTTCTTCTAAACGGATCTCGGTGTAAACAAATGCTGACCCTACCGTTCCGATTAGGGACATTTCGTCTGGAAAGCCGAGAGTGGATAATCCACAACTCTCTGTCAGCCCTGCAAGTATAAAAAAAATTAATCTCACATTAAAAAAAAAAAATATTTGAAAATTTATGACTGTTATGTTATTTACCATAGCCTTGTACAACAAAAGCACAGGAAGTAACCCTTAAGAATTCTTCCACCTCACTGCTTAATGGAGCCCCGCCAGAGACTATTAGACGTATTCTGCCGCCTAACCTGTTCTTCACCTAAACAAAATAACCAAAATATTTTAATTTTTTTTCAAAAAAAAAATTAAGATGATTTATTTTTCTTCTAAAGGAGAAAAGTGCAACCTTCCCAAAAGCAAGTAGATCTGCCAGAGGAGATGCATCTTTCTTTTTGTGCCCTCGATTCATCCAGTAAAGTTTGCTGTGTATCGTAAAATACAAAAGGTATTATTAGCATATCAATCGATGAGTTTGTTTTTCATTCAATAATAAATAGGCAAGTCAATTACTATTTGTAGAGCATGTCGAAAATTTTCCTCCTCCTCCAGTTGAGATCTTCAAGTGCTTTTAGTACACCTGAAAGACAGATTATAAAACACAACAGCTAAACATACATTGAAACACAGTTAAGGAGAAGAAAAAAAAGAAGGAATAAAAACGAGTTTGTGCCTTCATGTATTCGTTCAAAAACTCGTGGCACTCCTGCCAAAAATGTCGGCTTTAACTCCATCAGATCATCCTTCAATTCATTTATATCCTTCAATACACAGCAGATAACATAATTAGAAATTAAAAAAAACAGTGAAATCGAATAAGGGAGATATATCTAGCAACTTACACCGTGATAGTAGCCAACAGAAGCACCCTTGTGAAAGAAATATTCTTCGATCATACGATCAAGAATGTGAGCCAGGGGTAGGAATGATATATACACATCATCCACCGTCATCTATCAAGGGGTTCCCCAATAAACGAGTGTAAGTAGCTTTCTGCAAAACTTTTTAAGACCTTATATTTTATTACAGAGAACTCATAAGAAATGTATGTACCTTGTCTTCGAATTGCTCCATGAAAAGATCAACCCCTCTTATGTTCGTCGAAATGTTTTCGTGTGTCAATATGACACCTTTAGGGTCCCCACTGGTGCCGCTGGTGTACATAATTGTGCATATATTAGATGGCTTTGGTGGTGAAATCTCTGCTGGATTTTCTCTTCCCTAACAAAAAGGAAGGCAGAATAATAAATTTAGCAAAGAATATCTACATTTTAATTTCAAACATTAAAAAATGAGATGATAAACAGAGCGAATTGAAGAAAATTTACCATATGAAGAAACTGAGCCCACGGACTCGTTTTTATGCCAATAGAGGCAGCTTTATCCACCTCTTCCTCTTTCAGTGAAGTGAAGCAGACAACCACTGCAACCAAAATTAAACTCAGTACAAAACATTTTTAAAGGGCATAATTTGATTAAGATTCACATTTAACACTCACGTTTTAGCCTTTGAGCATGAGTGCATTCAGGACTCAGAAGCTGCAATAGATATTTGTTTTAGTTAAAAGATGTAATGAAGATTCTAAAAACATTGATGAAGAATAAAGCTCTGTGATGATCTCACTTCTTTGACTTTTCTATTTTCTACGAAGACAACATCGATCTCTGCGTGATCTAATATGTAGTTAACTGCTCCTGGCCCTGAATTACGAAAAAAAAAAATTAGATTAGGCCATTCGATTCTTCAAAAAGTTGCAGTTAAAAAACCTTCCCCAAATTACTCGGAAACTTCTTAATTAATATTATAAATCCAACAAATAAATTTTATCCTTCAAGTAAGGAAGAAATGCTTACCGAGGGTATCGTACAGCGGAACGCAAATTAAGCTGTGGGCGGCACATGCCTGTCAAAACAGGTGATGTTAATACTTAGAGAGAGAGAGAGAGAGAGAGAGAGAGAGAGAGAGAGAGAGAGAGAGAGAGAGAGAGAGAGAGAGAGAGAGAGAGAGAGAGAGAGAGAGAGAGAGAGAGAGAGAGAGAGAGAGACTGATAACTGACCTCCATTGCCACAATCCACTGAGGACAATTTGATCCATAAATGCCTATTCGAGCACCCTATAACATACAGTAAGACAACTATTCAATTTGATCAAAGGATTTGGAGTCAATTTTTTTTGAAGATTATAAACTGACAATTATATGCATTTTTCTTACAGGTTCGATACCGTGTGTGCGCAGGGCAGAACCGGTATAAAGAGTTTCTTCATAAACTTGTTTGTAAGTTTTCCAAACATAAGGTCCCCACTGCAGATCAAAGAATGAAGCAGGAAAAATATCTTAATTTTTATTCTACAGTTAATAAATAAAAATAATAATAAAAAAAGGATCATATCAAACAGTAGCATGTATTTTATTACCTTCCCGTTCACTAACTCACGCCAACCCAGCATCCTGTTCCCAGAATGTTTTTGTACCGATGATCTGCACATTGTAAACTTTAATTTGATGATAAACTGAAAACAAAATGCTTATAACTACTTAATCGTTAATTATTATGCGAGTTAATTGCAAATGGTAGACCTGTGAAATACCTAATTGCCAAATCCCCGTAAAAAATAAAATGTGACCTACAATCCCAATCCTCCGTCGACGCCTTCTTCGCCGCCGACAAACCCCATTACGTCATCCTCGCCGCCGACAAAGTTGGCGGCATCAACGCCAACACCACCTACCCCGCCGACTTCATCACCGTCAACCTCCAGACTCAAACCAACGTCATCACCTTCGCCTTAAAACAAAACGCCCACAAACTCCTCTTCCTCGGATCCTCATACATCTAACCCAAATCCGCCCAATTAACCTGCCCGCTGGAGCCCACCGCTGAATTGTACGCCATCGGCAAGATCTCCGGGATCAAAGATGCGCCTTGTGCGAACCGGAAAGTAGTCGCCGGGAAAAATCAGCCGGAGAAGATGGATGGAAGAAGAAGTAAAAGATGGCCGGAAGAGATGTGTGTTCAGTGTTCGATGTGTTTTGAGCTGTGTGGCGGTGCGTGGTGGGGGGAGGTGGCGGGAGAAGGAGAAATTAAGTATTTTGGAAAAATTGTAATTCAGTCCCTATAGAAGTGGGTATATTCGTCTTAAAAATTTCACAAGGTAGGGGACCGGTCTGGGTCACGTTTATTTGACAGGGATATTTGCTAGTTAGATATTTTAGAGGGGCATCGATTGCAATTAACTCATAATTATGCAGAAAAATTAGAGATGGTAATTACAAATTAAAGTAGCGAGTTAAGTTAGTAGTATTTAGTTAAGTACATGGAATATGAAAGATGACCTGAAAACATCCCAAGCAGTAGATAAACTGGGATCCACCGGCGGATAATCATGTTCGGCGAGTAGATTCCGGTAAACGGGACCCACTGATAATTTCCCATCTCCACTACTACTCTTAATTCCTTCTTCCACCTTCACTGCGAATTTCTTCATTTTCTGCACAAACAAAATCAAAATCTATTGATGTAAGAAATTTGACGACGAGCACATCGAAGAATTGGACGTGCAAAAAGCCAAAAAAAAAATGAAGTCATGGTCTGGTTTTCTGGCCACCATAAATGCAGGCAAAACTTGGAGCCTTTGTTCATTAATAATTAATATATACTTTGAGGAAATCAATCTAAATTATTAAATAGAAAAAATGGATTCTCATGCAGCATCTTTTATTATTTTATTTTTAAAGCCATGCTGATGACATGAACTAAAAATGAATCGATAAAACAACGGAAAAATAAAAATAAAAAAGATAAGAATGTTGAAAAGGGCAACATGAAATTGAAAATCATCGAACGACCCACGCACATAAAATCTCAACTAAAAGAATATAAAAATACAATAAGTTAAGAAATAGTATTTGTTAGCGACAAATATAATTAAAGATGAAAAAGAGAAATTAACCTGAAAGAATGGAAAGATGAGAATTAGTGTGGAGATGGATCGGAGGAGAAGATAAAAGTTGCTTTATTGGTGAAGAAGATGTTGGGAAGGGGAAAGTGGCTGCCTGCCTGCCTTAAATATACACATACAACGCTGTTACTGTTAGTACTGGCAAGTGGAAACCAATGGATATATAGTAAATACATATGTTATCTACATAGGGGTTTAGGGTGGTTCAATTTTTTAATTACTCTTAATAATTATTTACTTAATACTCATTTAGGCATGTATTATTTATTGTATTGTATTCAGCAACCACGTCAGTCAATTACCAGTGAATTTAAGTTGAACTAATACACAACCACACACCATCACTATCATACAACTGTTGTACAATCTTTTTTTTGTTATCATTCTCTTCACCTATTTAATACATACTTCTTGCTTACTATATATATATATATATATATTGAATTTCTCATATTCTTATAAAAATATATATTGGTGTCTTGACAGTGATTGTACTCGAAACATTCTTTTTTATTATTTATATATGTTTGAATATGAAAAATAATTAAATGTCAAATTTGAATAAAATAGGATATCCACACCGCTGTTAGTCACAAGCCCTTGGTGAAGATGAACCAAATCCACCATGAGGGTGTAATAACTCCCTTTTTAATGACTTTGCAGAATCGCCATTAAAACCGTCCAACTAATTAAATTATGAGTTAACTGCAAAAAATCCCCTAAACTTTGGACGTTTTTGCACTTTATCCCCTGAACGGAAAAAAGTTGCACGGGCATACCTGAACTTACTAATTTGTAGCACCGGAGCAGAAATTATCCATTTTTAGCAAAAAGAGACCGGAATCCACACCACGTGAGAAGCACATGATTGGAACGAGGATAAATAGGTCTTTTCCTCTTACACCTATTTTCTTTCTTTTATAATAAATATAAATAAATATAAAAAAAGAAAAAGAAAAAGAAAAAAAAAAATTCATCTTCTTCACGTCACCACCACCAAAACCAAATTACTGTCCTTCTTCAGCCGCCCACCGCCTTTAATTCGCCGCCCACCGCCTCTAACTCGCCGATTGCCTTCTTCATGACCCTCTATCGCCTGCTTTGAAACCCTCCGCCGCCTCTGCTTCGCGACCCACCGGAAATAGAGGCATAAACCTCCCATTCACCAGATGAGAAAAACTCTCCACCATCCATAAAAACTCTCCACCAACCATATCGCCGTCGATTGGCGGTGATGCCTAGACTCACATAATCCGGCGGTGATCCTTTTGAAATTCGCTAATTGAATGTGAGGGAATTTGTACTCTTAAATCTGGCAGATTTGGTGGTGGTGGTGGTTTTAGAAAAGAAATTGGCCGCGGCGGCGTAGCGAGGGGCTGTTGGGTATAGGCGGATGAATTGGATATTTGGACGAGGTGTTGGTGGAGGAATTGGTGGTGGAGTTGGAGGTGACAATGGAGGAATTGAAGGTGGAGTCGGTGGAGGCTTAGGCGTTAGTATAGGTGGCGATGTTGGTGGCAGATTTGGTGGTGGTGGACCGGTGGTGGTGGGGTGCGGCGGCGGAGCAAATGTGGTGGTGGTGATGCGGGCTGGAGAGAGGAAGAATACCCTCGGATGTACTAGGAGCAAAGCTCATGAAGTGCTGCAAGAATACTCCAGCTCCTTCCATCACAGTTCTAACATAGGGATAGGGGTATTCGTTCCAGCTCGCACTGGGTCATGAAAGTCGAGCTCAACAAGAAGAATTCGACATCCAATCATCATACCTCGCCATCTCAATCATCGATGACATCATCACTGGAAATCGATGAAGAGAAAAAAGTTGCAGTGCAGATGGTCCTATTTCTTTGCTTTTTTCTTTTTCTTTTTATTTTGAGATCAGGGATTTTTCATATTAAACTTTTACTAATTCAATATGATAATTTGAGGTGGTGGAGGGAGACGAAGAAGAGGTTGGGTGGGCTTTTTTTTTTGTTTTTTGTTTTTCTTTTCTCTTTTTTTTTTTTATTCTTTTATCTAAAATCTAGTGAATCGACGAAATTGCCCTTTCACTGTCACGTGTGAGTTGCACGTGTGCAATTCCGGCAGAAATTTGGCTATAAATAGACTTTTTATTCGTCGGTGCAACAATTTGACAAGTTCAGGTATGCCCGTGCAACTTTTTTCCGTTCAGGGGGTAAAGCGCAAAAACGTCCAAAGTTTAGGGGATTTTTTGCAGTTAACCCTTAAATTATTACAGCTGGGGAAATTCTCTAACAGGTAATTTTCAATTTTCTTTTTTCCTTTCTTCTTGTGTGTGTGGGGAGCTGTGCAGTTGAAACCTTATAATTTGGTACAATTAAATAGTCCCTACGATAATTATAACTGATTCGACATAGGATGATACAGTAGTAAAATGCAGTTACAAGTTAGGTATAAAATTGAATGAGGATGTCTAAAGTTAGGCATTAATTCATCCCATATCCCCAATTGCACATGATAGTGAAGTTTCAGTACAAATTGCACAATAATGTAATTTTAGCACTTCATCCAAAGTAACAAACATATGAGAGAACATGTTGTTACAGCACACCTAACAAACTCTAATTTAATTAATTGTGACAATGACTAATCAAGCACAATAACATGAGATGTAAATACGAATAACAACATATTTGATTCACCTGATTTACATTCCTCCGGCAAATATTTGTCGGTGCCCGGGGGCGACGGATTTCGCCTTTATGGTGCAAGAATAACAGTAGATGAATGGCCTAGAGTAATTATCAAAAGAAGATGGATCTGAGTGCTGCATAATTAAACTATTACTCGTGCAATCAATTTCCTCAGAAATAAGTTACACGTAACAGAATTATCACCATATCTCATAAATCCGAAATCTTTTTTCTTTTTTGCAGGAATTCGACTAATATATATTTTATCCACAAAAAAAAGAAGATATATCTTTGGACATTGAATCTTTACATTGTATGTAAAGAAGCTGCCACCTTGTTAACGACATCAGATCAAACCACCTCACTCATCCAGGTCAACGTACTACAAAATCATCGAACACACGGCACAAATCTTCAATAGAGAATATCTGTAAGATAACAAATATTGTTATCGGAATGGTGAGTGATATATCGGAAAAACAAATCACCACAAAGTCTGAAGTCTATTTATTTCAAAATGTAAGAACATAAAAGCACAAACTGAAATTCAAAAGAGCAGACAGACAATAGCGTTTCATGTTGTTGATACATTAAAATATTCATTTTTTTTAGTAACGCCGATAAAGTCTAATTTCAACTTATGTAATATGTCAGGCCCCACAACACAATTCTGAAAGCTCAAATTTTTGATACATAAAATCGTAATTTAATCCAGTATTGAAAAAATAAAGAGAAAAAGGCTGATAACAAGTAATGCACACAAGTACACGGAAAGAACGAATAATCAGCTGGTGACCGATGGAGATTTCAATTTCCAGCCATTTTTATCGAGTTTTCACGTCCATTATTATACTTGTATTTCATATGAAAGTATGGAGTTTCCTTATAAAGAACAGATGCACATTGCTCCCACTTGTCATAAAACTACGTATGTTAAGTTGGATCACAAGCAACATGCCTGTGTAGTTGTATCTTCATTTGTAAATTTAATGGATCAACCGTACACACATGCAATCAAGAATTTCATTGTAAGAAAAACAAACAAGCCATAGTAAAACAACTAACGAGAATTCAAAAACGAAAACAAATTTAGGCTCTAAAATTCTTTGATTCTCATGTCAGAAAACAGAATACAATACATAGACAATTACGCCTCGTGAAATGGTGAGTGTTATATCGGAATTCACACAAAATTTGCATCACTTATGAACAAATGCAGGAAATAATGCATCAAATAGAGTGTTCAGTATATACATAGAGTGAGTTACAGGAAAGACAATTAGTTGCAGATAAAGAAGGAATTCAGACCTAATTTATTTCAGACACATGGGCTTTGATCATCAACTTTAGCGTTTTGATCCAAAGGAGGGTCCCACTTGCCATGAACCCATTCGCGGTGGAGGCGAATCAGAGACTCGGGGAAATCAATCTGCTCACGGGAGGAGCGGAAGTAGACGGAGTAACGAGTGCCGCCGTCAATAACGGCGATGACGATGCCCTCCCACCAGCCGTCGTTGTGGAAGGCGTCGACATCGTCGTCGACGCGGAAGCTGCGTCGGGATTCGCGGGGCGGAATAGGGCGGACGAGGATGAGGTCGACGGACTCGCGGAGGGGGTGGGTGGTGTCGTTTAGGGGGTCTTTGACGGTGAGAGTGTGGAATTGGACGGAAATGCGAGGTTTCCTGGAGGATGGTGGCCGGAGGACGGTGGCTGTGTACCAGGAGCCGCGGAAACCCTCCTCCTCGAAGCTTACCTCTACTTGCGCGTCTTTCTCGAACGGCTCTTCTTTCCCTCCACTTTCAGGCGTCGTCGTCGGCATGATTGCCTTGTCTTGTCTACTTTAGAGAGAGAAAGAGAGAAGAGAGAGAGAGAGAGAGTATATGATGAAGATTGAAGAGGGAAGCAGAGTTTTGAAACTGGTGTCTTTGGTTAGGTTTTAGCTTACTGTATACGCTTCCATCATCATTCAAATATAATTAATTGCAATTCCAACCGATAATATTTACATATTTGCACATTGCCTCCTCAAGTCTTTCAAATATACTATAAGCACCCCAAGCAGAAGCGGCACGACTGGAGGAGCTGAGCAGCAAAAATGACGACGGCATCCATAGCAGCAACCACAAGCCTCGCCTTCTCCCTAATCCAATCCACGAAATCCCCAAATTTCAAATCCCCCAAATTTCAATCACTAGTATCCCTCAATTTCAGGCAGTTGAAACTCAATAATCGGAAATTCGTTGTTGTTAAAGCATCGGCGCCTGGATCGTATTCCGCCGAGCAGTTCGAGCTCACCTCAGAAAACGTAGACAAGGTTCTCGACAACGTCCGTCCTTATCTCATCGCCGATGGCGGGAACGTTGATGTTGTATCGGTTGAAAACGGCGTCGTCTCGCTCAAGCTCCAAGGTACCCCAATTTTCGCACGACTGAATCCCGTAGTTTTCGTGATATACAGAGATCATTGAATTGTTAAAAACTACTTAGAAATTAGAAACACGTGATTAATCGAGATGCAAAATTGGGGTGTTCATACCTGCATAAATGATAATTTAACAATTGTATGGCTATGGATAATTTAGTTGACAATGAAGATTGAAGAGAAGCCTGAGAAATCCGTACAGAAAAGTAACAGAATTGAATACGAAATTTCTCTTACTCACTTGTCTTACTTCTTGTGTTTGGATATTTATGACTATCTGACCTAGTTTAATTCAGCATATTTCCATGTCTAGTTGAAGTTTAGACTTCAAATGCTGAAATAAAACGCATTTGTTTTAGGGGTATGAATCGAGGGTTTACGTTTTGCTTTCTCAATTTCAGGAGCATGCGAAAGCTGTCCCAGTTCAACTACAACAATGAAACTGGGAATTGAAAAGGTTCTCAAGGAAAAATTCGGAGATGCGATCAAAGATATATGTCAAGTATACGATCAACAAATCACTGAGACCAATGTTGAGGTAAGTTTGTATGTCTATCTATATATTTTAGCCAATATTGATTGTATGGTGTGTTATGATCGATGGTTGAATCTGCAGGCAGTAAACAGGCATCTGGATATCTTAAGACCAGCCATTAAAAACTTTGGTGGGAGTGTGGAAGTATTATCTGTTGTGGATGGTAACTGCAGTGTAAAGTATGTTGGCCCCGATTCTATTGGATCCGGAATTAAAGCAGCGATTAAGGAGAAATTCCCAGATATCGTCAATGTTGAGTTTGCCATTTAGTTCTTTCTGGATGATGATGGGGGAAGATGTAGTATGTGCACGAAATGAGATTAAAGGCAAATTTGTATCTACAGTATGATAAAATTGGAAATATTTCTCTACTGTCCATTGATAATTGATTCCATTTAGTAAAGATTACATTATTGGTGATGATGATGTAATAAATAGTATTTTTATGTTTGAGATTTGTGATTATACTGTTCTTGGACCCATGATATTTGTAATAAGTAAATTGTTTTATTACACCAAACAGGGTCAAAACAAATAAATAACAAGAAACATCAACAATCTAATGCAACTCCTCTTTTATAGGCACTTAATTTCCTGATCAGTGAGCATTTCATACAAATAACATTAAAATCACAACTGCCATAGGAAAGTTGTATTTACATCATAGAAGAATAAGGACAACCTTGAGGGTGGTAATAAGGATTAATATCTAAAGCTAGCAGCCAGCTTCTTGGTGTGATACATGCTGCAATCCCCAGTGAGAAAGAAAGCCGACTTTCGGAGCCCAAAAAACACACATCTTCAGCTAAACTCTACTAGATATATCTGCAATTGGTAACAGAGTAGCAAAGATATCTGCGATTCCCAAATATTTATTACAAGTTAATCTGAAGCCTTATACTTTCTTGGTCTTTTCGACTGAGCAGGTGACGATGGAGCTTCTGCTAATCTCCCCGGGCCCTTCAAAACCAACACCATAATTTGCAGCGTCACATTTCAGCAAACAATTTATTGATGATAAGCACTAATCAAATTAACAGTTAAAATATTGGAGTGTACCTTGCGCTTTTGTTCCCTTTTGCCAAATCTTTCCCCTGAAATTCAGCCATCATCAATTCCATGTCAGAAGAACAGGCAAAGGACTCAAATTACGGATAAAACATGACAAGTGGGCAAAATATTAGTTATTGTTACCTCCAGTGCTTAATGAATCAGGGGTAAATGTTCGATCAAGATCTACAGCTCGCACCGACTGCTGCTGAAAAACAAAAAACATTTCATATATCACTGAGGGCAAAACCTATATGGGAAAATAGAATATTTAAAAAAAAAAAAAGAAGTTACGCCCACCTTTGGAGGTGTACCAGGAGTTTCTGTAAATGTACCATCACGTAATGATGAACCCTCTGCCTCCTTGTATTGCAACTGATTATCAATGATGAAAGGTTATGAAACAACTAGGAAACTAATGACCCACATAAAAGTCGGGTTTACCGAAAGACATCCTAAATCAGGGTTACTGCTGTGTGGGACACACACACAAACACAATAGAAATCTACACAAGACGGAATGAATTAACAAAACAGAAACCTGTTTCTGAAGATTCAATAGAGTCAGTATCTCCTTTCTTAGCTCAAGATGCTCTGCACACACAGCCTTTGTGGGAACCTTTGGCTTTAAATTCACCTGTAATTGGGAATATTCAAAATCATTTACGGATTTAAGTGTCCAGATAATTGGGAATATTCAAAATCAAAATTAGATTTCAAGTCTTAAGGAGAACAAAATAACCCCAAGATCTTGCAAAGTCTGTTCAACCCGTTTGATAGTCCGAAGTCCCGCAGATGAACTGGCAGCTTGTACCATTTGCTCAAGTGAATATGTCCGCAAGTAGACTCGTAGCTGCATATTATCTTCATCAGTAATATAGTAAGAAAAGTTTCCCCTAACAAATCACATCCAAAAAGCAAAAAAGAGAAAGCGAAACAGGAGCATGAACAGATACAAAGGTATTTCTTCATGACAAAAACAAGATCAAGATACACACTTGAGAACTACATTAAGACAAGAAACAAAAGAATGTTTGTCGCTTTCGGTAAACAAATTGGGCAATGCAAATGTGATGTAGTTAACTTTCATGTTTGGTAAAGTGTTCATCACTGCAATGGTTAGGATGCTTTGAACATTTTCGGAGAAGAGAAATGTCATTTTGGGAGATGTTACTATTTTGATTTAGGGAGACTGAAAAATGAAAACTACATATTTATGTGCTTTCCACTTAATCTAACCTTGTCAACATTATTGAAAACTTATAATTGGACTATAGTGGATGCACCAATGTAGGTACGCAAATAGGACTCAGGAAGTGATATGTAAAATCTAATTGGACCAATTAGTTTGCTGAAACAAGTAAAATTATAAACGAGCTGAAAATAGGAAGAGAAACGAGGAGTTTAGTATCATCTATCAGGTTTCGGGCATACCATGCGAAGAGAGGCCACAACTGAAGCAGTTTCTGACACAGGAGTTGTAGTAGAAGAGGGAAACTCAGAATTTGTAGAAGGGTTGACTGTATCCGCAGTTGTAATAGGCTTATCAGCACCAAGTGTACCAGTATCTGATAAGACCGGCAACACCAAATTTGCAGAAGCCTAAAGAACAAGAAATGAATCACAAGAGTAGAATAACCCTCTTTAAATGACAAAAAGGACAGTATTCAAATATAATACATAAAAATGGTATACACATTTACTTATTATGCCTTTATTTCAAAGCAAGCTAAGGGGGGAATAGGGTTCAAACAGACCTTTATAGTCTTCCGTGCCTCGGATATTCTTTTCGCATGAGCAAGAACCTGCCAATGGTAAAAGTTGGGAGTAAAACCAAAAAACAAAACAAAAGGAAAATAAACAATATCTTAAAAATTATCTATTGACGTCACTGGGAATGTAAAAAAAATATATTCAGACCTCAACATCCCTGCGCTCTTGGTGCTTTGTATGAGATAGCAGCAAGTTGAGTGCACGCTTCCGCTCGGTGTCTTGAGTAGCATTGTAAACATCCTACATCATTGAAAGAGGTTTCAACATTTAGGAGATGGCAAATGCCAAATTTCTGCCTAAACACACACGTCAAAATATGAATTGTTAAAAGACGAGGGAGACTAGCATTAGCGGATAGGCAACTTCATCAAACCTTTACAAGTGGATGTGCAGAAACATCGCCAGGAGATGGAGCTCTGGCAATCAAGATGGCTCGAGATACTGCACAAACAATATAGGAAGATAAGAATCAAAACCGTCTGAAAAACTGTATTTATTCAAATAGCATAAGTTACTCAGCCTTGATTCTTTTAATTCCCAAAGTAATCCAACCAAGTAGGTAATTATCAATGATATAAAGGTAATAGGTACCACTGTAGTAACGATCCTTAAGTTCTTCCACAGTTTTTGTTGACGGGAACCTATCAGCTACCGCAATGAAGCGGAGATTAAAACGTTCACACAAATCAAACAATTGATCTGTCTCTTCCTTGGTCCATGCCTAAAGGAAGAATACGGAATAAAACTGAGATAAGCTTCAAAATTGGCCGTTAGGTACTTATCACAATGAACTGTATTAACTTGAAGATCAATTAATGTTAGCGATATGAATCAGTGAACACTCAAATTATATCTTCTGGACGATTAGGATTGAGAATCTATGTGAGTCAGTCTGGTTATTCTTGTTTTATGCCAAATCACTGTCTGAGGCACATGAGTGACTATGTTTGTAGAAATTGCTTTAGACTACAAAAATATATGGTGTGACACATAAATTCCAACTAAACACATTTTTTTGTGATTTGAACACAAAAAAAGAGAAAAAAAAAACGACAGGGAGCTAAAAGTATGTTACCGTTCGAAACTAGTTGAAGTCCTCCATCTATTTCAAATAGGATTTATTGGATATTAAATTAGCAGATTTAAAATGTATTTGAAATGAGATCGGAGCATGAGAAACTAGATTGAGATAGCAAACAGCAATTTATGCCCTCTAGACTAGGCTATAGTACCTCTCATTGCAAACCTTCTAAATTTCTACTCGAAGTTCTTACTAGAAAATACAGTTCACACAATTCAGTCACAAAAGATAAACCACAAGAAGTACTGGAAAAGTGAGGGTCCAGATAAAGATGTGACAGGTCAGCACAAATATCATGGCAAAGCTCATAGAATCTTAGTGCTCAGCAATCCAACTCAAAGTGTCGACGGTGAATGAGAAAAGACATTCTTGCAGTTTGATTGATATCAAGTGTACGAAAAGAACCAAACTGTTGCTGTTGATTATGTATGACAAAGCAGAATACTAAAACTGAAGTAGGAACATACAGGATCCGTCAAATACTTCTCGTATTCCTCATCAGTGTACTTGATGATATCAGCAGACTGCATTGTGTCAAACAAATGAACAATTTGAGTACCACTATATATTGAATGAAGATCAATTCTAGAATACTTTGGCTTACTTTGTTACACTTTGCAAACGAATAATCACCAGTGGGTGGATTGCCATTTACCACTCGAACCTACAAACATAAGAGATTCAGTACTTGTCAATTTTGCATGTGCACGATCCAGAAGTAATAGCCTAAATATCCAAGAAACATACCCAATGGTAAAGCTGCAGGTTGTCTTTCCTAGCAGAATTCGTAAAAGGAAGCCATTGCCAAGTAATCTGCAGAGCAAAAGAAGAGTACCTACAAAGTTTAAACAGAAATCCAAGAGGGATATTTTCAATAGACATAAACAACATGAGAACCTTCTCATTCTCGGATTGCGCTTTTCGTTTCAATTGATTCACATCAATGGCAGGCATCAAAGGCGCCAATCCTCCTGTAAGGGCATAAACCTACAACACCCCGTCAAAGCAATTCAAATGCAATCGAATATTTCAACAAAATATAGAAAGAAAAAAAAGAACGTCGTATAAACCTCGCGAGAAATGCCATCAGGTTTTCTCTGAGATTCTTTGGGAGGCTTGGACTTCTTTTCTTGTATAGGCAAATTCTTCGGCAATCCCAATATATCCTTTGCATCCATCTGAAAACCCCAGGTTTTTCTATATTACTCTTTTTTTTTAATAAAAGAAAAAACGATCATAGAGAAGCGTCGTCTACAATCGAACTTTTTCCATACAAACGATAGATAAAAATTGGAAATCCATATTGTGTAGTAATTTCGAAGGAAGTTGGGTATTTGATATTGAATTATTTTAATTAGGAAGAAATTAGGGTTTAGGGAGGGGAAATTAGGGTTTTCCGACGGGGAAGAATCGGAGTAATTTGGGGGAATCTAGATCGGACGGTTTGATCGACCCAAATCCTCTGCAGTTAGTTCTATTGAAATGACTGTTTAGCCCCCATCTCTGTAGTGGGCTAAAAGTCCATTTCTGAAAAGGACTTATGTACATTGGGCTAAACTGAAAATATAGTTAGATATTGAGCCAATCTTAAATTTGGACCAGTTAAGCAGCCTAATTCAATCCATATGAATATTTCTGTAAATTAATAATAATATATTTCTACTGGTAATTAACTTGATATTAAATAGTTTAATAAATAAATATATTTTTCAACTATTCTATAAATACATGTCCACGTCGAGAAGATTGTGTCTTCTAATAAACAAGTTTGCAGATTTAGTGTTTTATTATTTATAAAAACAATAATGGTACGTCTACGTGGTTTGGACTTTGGTGGGCATAAATCAAGTGATAAATTCCAAGGAAATTGAACAATATTATATGAAAATATTATTGAGTTTTTATCTTCTCAAATTAACCGGGAAAAACAAAAGATGGAACAAAAACGAAATCTGTGTCACGAAATTGAGCTAGCAATCAATATTCTACTAATGAAATGATAAAGTTTGTGATTAATGATGCAAAAAATAAAAGTATATATAATGATTGAAATATAGAATAGAGAATGGTGATGGCATGTTCAGTTGAACAGTTTGGTCCCATAAAGGTAATAACAATCACAATCCCCAATCTCTAATTATATATATATATAATTGCTGAAAGAAAGATTAGACCAGTGGTTTCCTATTAATGCTCCACATGGCACACGATTAGGGTTTCGGACAAGTGAATTAAGGAATTATTATATATAATTAAGTGGTTGGTTGGCGGGTAATAATAATTATTTTGAGTCGATTTATATTCATGAACGTGGGTGGTATTAATAAATAATAATATTCTTGTTCTGCAATATTGGCCGGCCGGGAGTTACTTAATTATATATTCACCCCTTCAATTATGGTAACATAAACATTCCTTTTCCTTTTTATTTTATTTTGATTTGATGATTAAGTTGGATAAGCAAGCGTGCGTGCGTGCATTACTTTTTTTTTTTTAATTATCTTTCTTTCTAAGGACCAACGTGCAAATGACACATGAATTAGGATGCATGCATCTATATATACAGATGTTTAAATTATATTCAATTGTTAGTTTAGTATTATTAATTTCGTTTCCAATTATTTTACATCTGAATGCAATAACGTTAACAGCGCTAGCATTTTGTTGGATATATATATTATTTGTTGTACTTAATCATATAAATTGCACATCGATCTCATAGGATGTTTAACGTATCAGTCAATAATTAAATTGTAAATTATGATATGTGATTATGGATGATGAGTTGGTAGAATCAGACATTTTGTTGCTGTACCTAATTAAATTTAAGGAGTAATTATTTTTTTATTAATGAATATATGTGAGAGAATTAGGTCAAAAAGGGCGCCGTTTGGAGTCAGAATATGCCGTCAACGTTAACAACTTCTCACATGCATGTTGCAGCTTCATTGTACTACTATTTGATAACTGATGCATAAAATTAAACAAGATATTCTTTTACCTTTTTCGGTAAGAAAAATTATAGTAGTATTAAACAAGAAATAACATAGTATATACGCAAGCAAAGAAATGAGTAGTGTACAATAATATTATATTATTTGGTCCCATATATGTCAGGTATGTGTCGTGGATTAATGAATCAACTACGTACCTTTCTATTAGACATAATTATGCAACAACAAAAATGCATAAAATTCCTTGTACACTTCACTTTTCATATATGCAACAACAAAAATGCATCTACCTTTCTTTCTTTAGCTTTTGTTACACTCCTCTTTCTCAATAATATAATACATTAATTATCATTTATTCAATTTTGACCCACCAATTACATTTGATAAAATTATTTGAAATTGTACGTTAATCACATTATATATATTTTTCTTAACATTTAAATATTTATTAATTTTCTTAATATATATGATGCTCAACTACTGATCTTGTTTAATAAAAGGATGGAATATATATAGTGATTAATTAGTGGGGGTTAATATAATTAGGTTTGAATATGATAAAGTTTCCAGTAATGTGAATACTGAAAAGTGAAAAGTGAGGGTAGAATTAATTGATTCAACGAGGAGAATAAAAGCGCGTTTAGGTGACATAAAAAGTGCTGAAATTGTAGAATCCAATGAGAAGCGACAGACGGCCTGTATATATATTTATATTAATATTAATGCACAAGAAGAAAAACATTCATTATATTATTAATTCACCGTACCTAATATTTGCCGCCCTTTTCCTTCTTCACACTTTCTTTCCTTGTACAAAATTATTATTTTATTAAAAACATCAAACATTTCTCTGCTACATATATACTATTTAATTGTTTATTTAATTACTCTGGTCTTGTTGAAGTTTGATTTAGTCGATAAATTACCTAACCCCATCTGTCAAACAGCTTTCACTTAGCAGGCTTCTGTGTTTGTCTCTGTATTAGTCAAACTGCACCAAATCTATTGAAATTCTTTTATTTCTTTCTTCATCATTTTATAATCAATATAATATTGTGCATGCGTATAAATATCACATATATATAATAATTTCTTGCATGCCAAGAATCAAAGTTCGGTGTTCGATCGGTGTACAGTCAAGCCACTTTAATTGATATACGAGGTTGCGAATTAAGATTGGCATTTTTCGATAGTTTTATTCTTTGGAGATTTTTTTTTTTAGATAGTATTAGTCATGACCTTTCAAATAACACAATAATATATTAATGTGTGTCGGAAGTAAATGGATTTTGTTGTTTGAGCATCATTTGTCCTGACAGCATATATATAATTAGTAGTCGCTATAGTTGTACTTACTTATTTTATTTTATTTAATTAAATCAGTATTTTAAGCATTAAAGCTGGAACGGTTATCTCGTCTATTTAACCCCGCGCGCAAACTCAAACCAATAATCCCTCCTCCAACTCCAAACCCCATATAATATATATTTAATTATTTCCTTTCTTCAAAAAAAAAAAACATGGTAGTAGTTCCTTTGAGAAGCAAAAAATCTCGGGCGGCGGTTGGAGTTCCGGTAATAGATCTCAGCCTGGAAAGGTCAAAGCTATGCGAATCCATTACAAAAGCATGCCAAGAGTTTGGATTTTTCCAGGTCGAAAACCATGGAATTTCAAGTGATATTATATCAAGAGTTGAAATGGAGGGCCTTGATTTTTTCTCAAAACCTGCATGCCACAAGCAACGGGCCGGGCCTCCAAGCCCATTTGGTTATGGTTGCAAGAACATCGGGTTCAATGGCGATAAAGGCGACCTCGAATATCTTCTAATGGAGGCTAATCCTCATTCTATTGCTGAGAGATCCAAATCCATCTCCACTGATCCCACAAAGTTCAGGTAATTAATAATTCATCCATCGTATTAATCGATTAAAAACAATAAAAATCTTTAAACAAAAAAAAAGATTTTGGTTGTGCTAATAATGGGATATATGCCATTTCTTGATCAAGTACTATATTATTATATGAAATTAAAATGTGCAGGGCAAGCTGGTCATTAAAAAGAGTAGGGTATAACGGTGTAGTAGTAGGACTCGTGATAATTATGTGCAATTATATTATTGATCGATGGATCACATCACATCACATCAATTCTGCCAACACTACACAGCACCTAATTGAATTCCGTCGATCGTGTACCCCACAATATATAGGAATTGAATCTTTACTTAATTAATTGTCTTAGATACAAAAATATAATACCTTGCTTAAAAGAAAATATATGTTCAAGTTTGGTTCGTTACGTTGACAAACTGAATATCGATCGCGTGCATGAAGAGTACTTCAAATATAAGAAAGAATATAGATATATACTATCTTGTTCAAGTACTTGATATATATATATGTTGTTTAATTAAAACAAATAATAATAATAATGATGTTCGTCGTATCGTACGATAAATGATCGGTGTTTTTGCAGCTGTGCTGTGAATGATTACACAGAAGCGGTTAGAAAGCTGGCATGTGAGATACTTGAAATGGTGGCTGAAGGACTGTGGGTCCCAGATAAATCTATTTTCAGTGACCTCATTAAAGATGTTAACAGCGACTCTTGCTTCCGAATCAATCACTATCCTCCTTCACTCAACGATCATATTTCCATCGACGACGATAATAATAATTGGATTAATAATAATATTGATAATAACCCTAAACCCGGCCAACTGTTTGATAATATTAATAATAATCATAGCACCACCAAAACTCGAATCGGGTTTGGAGAGCACTCAGACCCTCAGATTCTCACAATCTTGCGATCCAACAACGTCGGTGGCCTTCAAATCTTGTCCCGAGATGGATTGTGGATTCCTATTCCTCCTGATTCGGATAAATTTTGCGTTTTTGTCGGTGATGCTTTTCAGGTTCGTCTATATATGTATATTTTTAATTATTAATACCCATCGTTTGTCGGTAAATAAATAAATGATAATTAATATAATTATGATACTGCAGGCGATGACTAATGGGAGATTTGTGAGCGTGAGGCATAGGGCGATGGCGAACTCGGTGAAGCCAAGAACGTCGATGATGTATTTTGCAGCACCGCCGCTGAATGCATGCATAACTCCAATACCGCAGCTTGTCTCGATTGAAAATCCATGTATGTATCGGCCATTCACATGGGGGGAGTTTAAGACAACTGCGTATTCATTACGATTGGCCGATCATCGTCTCGATTTGTTCAAAAAACAACATATTGTGTAATAATTATTTTCCTTAGATTGTCTCTGTCATTTTATTATTTATTTCTTTGCCGTGGAATTAGGAGTATGTAGGGTATACATGATCATGTAGCTGCACATGTATATGTTGCACTCATGTTTTAGAGTGGCCGGGGTCTATGTGTGTATTTACTTTCAATATGCATGTAGAGAGAGAGAGAGAGAGAGAGAGAGAGAGAGAGAGAGAGAGAGAGAGAGAGAGAGAGAGAGAGAGAGAGAGAGAGAGAGAGTAAATTATCATGATTTGAGGTGCTTACCATGTATGTCTCGTACTTAATAAATACTATTAGCATAAAGTCAACTTTAATTCTGTTCATCGTTTCCATTTACAATATATAATTCAATATCCCTACAATCATCAGGAGTAATCACCCTATTTTATTTCACCAGAAGAAATTATTATATATTTGCAAATGGACCAATGATCTCTCATTAAAAATGATCAATAATTAATTGTTGAATATATAAAACAATAAATTAAATGGGGCAGCAATCACCATTAATATTGAATATAATGGGGCCATAATTTTGGACATTAATAATTAGTAAGATGTAAAATGGGTTAATAATATGGGCGAATGGCAAAAAATGCTCATCATATGGGACTTAAATGCACATTATATTGGTCTACAAAAAAATAGTCTCTTAATTAAATTCATTCTCGTGTCTTTAGTTCAAAATACCCTCCATAATATAATTCTTATCAATTTCATTCATTATGCTCTAACTTCCTTAATATTATACATTGACCCCGGATTTAAACAAATATATCACATTAATCTCTACAGTATTTTTTTTTTCATAAAATAGTTTTTTTCTCTGAATTTTTTTTTTCCGGCCAGATTCTGGCGTTGACCGCCGATCTCCGGCGTTGGTTTTTTTTTGTTTTTCGATTTTTTTTCTTAGAATTTTTTTTAATTAATATTATCGTCTTGGCTACTAAATTACTGTCTCAGACAGTAATATTATTTTTTGGGACAGTAATATTATGAATATTATTTTCCCGAACAGTAATATTATGAATATTATTGTCTAAGATAGTTAAATTACTGTTGGAGACAGTAATTTAGCAGCCAAGGCAGTAATATTAATTAAAATAATTTTTTTTAAGAAAAAAAAAATTCAAAAAAAAAAGTCAATTAACAGTTAAATTACTGTCTCCGACAGTTAAATAACTGTTGGAGACAGTAATTTAGCAACGAATACAATAATATTATTTAAAAATATTTTTTTTAAGAATAAAAAAGTCAATTAACAGTTAAATTACTGTCTCCGACAGTTAAATAACTGCTGAAGATAGTAATTTAGCAACAAATACAGTAATATTAAGGTGGTGTTTGAAAATCCTTTTTGAAAGTGATTATGCGATTTTTTTTGCTCATAATCTGTTTTTAGGTGTTTGCAAAATCAACTTTTGCTTTTGCTTCTCTTAAAATAATCTGCTTTAGCTATTTTTTTAAAAGCACCCCTAACCCTGTTTTTTCAATTTTAGTTCATTTTTCGAAATATTTGCAAACACCCCCAACTTTTAGAAATAAACACTTAAAACTAACTTAAATCACAATCACTAACTTCTGCTTTTAAATAATCATTTGCAAACACCACCTAATTATAATATTAAAAAAAATCAATTAACAGTTAAATTACTGTATTCGACAGTTAAATAACTGCTGGAGACAGTAATTTAGCAGCGAAGACAGTAGTATAAATTAAAATATTTTTGAAGAAAAAAAAAGTCAATTAACAGTTATATCTCCGTCTTTTAATTAAGTGCCCTTGTCATTGACCTATTTGTCATTTCCCCTAATAATAATTCGGAAAATGGAGGGAAGTAAGCTTGCAAGCATGACAGCTAATTAATGCATGATATATGTCTCATCCGATTTGACGGATCAACTACGATAATTAACATAATAACCTTAACCTATTTCATTAATTAACAAACATGGGCTACCGTTTTTTTAGGGCTATTTGTAAAACCACCCTTGTATAATCTAGAATTGTCAAAAAGCCTCTATGTGAAAAAAAAATTGGCAAAACCCTCCCATGAAATTCTATTAGAAATGTGTAATGAATAAATTATTTTATGGTGCGATAGTAACATAAGTGTTTGTGAATAGTGTGCAACTAATTTAGACAGTGTTGATTGTTTTTCAATGTTTAGTTATGGTAGAGATCTAACACAAATATCTTTGGCATGTGGGCTGTTTCAATTTTTTCAAATTTAATAAATTTTGAAATAATTGTCTCTTATATATAATAAATCATGGCAGATTTTGGTAATGATGATGAGTGATGACATTGGGAAAAAAGAAAACAAAAATGCTCGCTAGTTGGGTTGGTCAATCATACCAACAATGATGGCAGCTAGCTAAGTAAGACACTTAGTAATAAATTTGTTAATTGTATGTTGCCTTCTGATTTTTATTTTAAAGTAGTTTTAAAGTTCGTTGGTGAGCAAACTTTATTTTCCATCTAACAGGGTTTTAGTAATTATGAGCAATAATTCAATCTTTTGGGATGCTTGTTTATTTTTGGTAAATTCCCAAATAACAGGGTTAATTGCTAATTAGTTTTAATCTAATTATAGCTACACTATAATAACACTTTATGGGTTGTGTTTAGTGGATAAGCTTTTAAGGTCACGTACAGTACAGTTATACCCAAAAGTCATATTATGATGTTTCGTTGATCATGCCATTTAATTATTTAATTTAACGAAATTTGGAGATTGAAAAAACTAAGAAGTGATATGATAGGAAGAAGGGTTGATAAGCCAAGTGTCGCCGTCGATAAAATAGGTGCCGATAAAAGGGAGGGCTTCTTCATCGGTGAGCACTCTTACCCACGGTACTCGACCTGTCAACTTAGCCCCTGCTCCATCACACTTGTATTCCCCATAGTACACTTTCCTATATACATATATATCAATTAGTATAATATGTACATATAATTATTCATTAATTACGTATATAAAAAGAAATGAAAGTCGTGGGAATTAACTTACTGGTCACGACTTGTTTTGCCCCAATCGCTCCATCCTTGAGAAAGCACGACTTTATCCATATAAGTGTATGAAAATACAACCCTTGAATAATCGCCCCATGCTCTTCCTAAATAAATGGATCCACTGCCGCTCACCGTGCAGTTCTTGAATGAAAACCCACTCGATATCGATGAATTTGACCGCTTTTGAGCTGTCACTGACGCAACCTTCTTCGTCACCGAGTTCAAATAGCAATTCTGCCCGCCATTTTAGAAATTAATATGGGCCTTATTATAGTGAAGCCCGTTAAAATGTGTGAGCCCAATAGAGTAAAAGATTGGGCTGACCTCGTAGAGAGAAGTGCCGTAGCCGAAGATGAAATCGACGGAGCCTTGAATAAAGCAATTACTGAAATAATGGAGTCCCTTGTGATCGTAAAGTGTATCTTGGCTGCCGTAGAAGCTGCAGTTGTAGAATGCGGCTTTCGTTCCCGATATTCGCAGCGCCACCGCTTGTCCCCCCACCGTCCCCACCACGTGTGGAGCCGTGTTCTGCGTTATTTTGTTAATTGAATACTCAGCCCAGCCCAATATTTACAATACTTTTGGGCCTGGCCCATTTCCAAAACAATATTTTAGATCGGTATTTTTTTTTCTTTAGTATTTATTTATTTGGTTTGATGCCTAACTGAATTAACAAATAAATTAATTGTGTGTGTCATATTTCATCAGTTTGCCCGTGAATCGTGATTGTCCCTTGTTGGTCTGACGACAAAAATACATGCTTAATAAATTTGAGTAATTTGGAATGTTTTTTCGTGTAATAAGAATCTTATATATTGAGACATATTTTTCTTTCTGAAGATGAAATGAAATATATTCGTTTTCATTTTTCGAGAATGGCATTAATATTAAACGAACATTGACAAAAAAATAAAAAAAAGCTGGGCGGCTGACCTCAAATTTGACGTTGATAGCCATGAAGTAATCGGCATCAACGGCAACGGTAGCACTTTGAAAAGTCCTTCCTCCCACCGTTGACGCCGTGTCGTTTCCGGTGATGGTTGGAGGAACACTCCCATTTCCCACCAATGTAACGAAACGCATTGTTCTAGGTATATTCACCTTCTCCCTAGACACGCGCGTACATTAATTAATTAATTAATTAATCAATATTATCATTAGAGATTATTAATCAATAAACTCATCATAATTAAGTAGCTACTCTTCCAAAAAAAAAAAAACCAGGTACGTACCTATAAACACCAGAATTAATACGCAGGACGACCCTACGAGCAGGGGCGGATCCACCTATGATCTAGGGTGTGCAGTTGCACACCCTTGGATTTGGAGAAATATTACTGTTATAGATAATTTGTCAAAAAAGGCTGTTGGTTGAGGTGGTAAAGGTATTTTGAATCCACTAATAGGTCATGGGTTCGATTCCCCACTCTCTCCAAAACTGACTTCTTTTTAAAATCTTAACATTTTCACATTTTTTCTCTTTAAATATTCCACAATTCACCCAAAATTTTTAAATTGTAAATTTTTGGTCCACTATTTTTAACAATCTTAACATTTTCACATTTTTTCTCTTTAAATATTCCACAATTCACCCAAAATGTTTAAATTGTAAATTTTTGGTCCACTATTTTTAACATTTTCACATTTTTCTCTTTAAATATTTCCACAATTCACCCAAAATTTGTAAATTGTAAATTTTTGGTCCACTATTTTTATAAAGTGATATTTAAATTTTTTATTCTACAATTTCGAACCCCCTTGGCAACAATCCTGGATCCGCCACTGCCTACGAGTATTGTAGAAAGGAATGGTGTGGATTGCTTCTCCAATGGTGGTGAAATCTCCGCGGCCGTCTTGGCTGACAGTTATCTCCATCCTGTTCATCTCAGCCGTACGCAGTTTCCAGTCGGAAGAGTAGCTCGTCATTGGTACCTTAGTTGAGTAGTAGTCTGGTTTTTTCAAATTATGTAGAGATTTTTTCTTGTAATTTTTGACGTGCCAAGATACCCATGTATTGTAATCCTCTGTGGCTGAGCAAATATTAGAAACAGTTGAGAAAAGGAGGAAGAAGAGGATTATCAGTTTAGGAGTCATAGTTTTTTATGGAGATGGATTATTGTGGCCGTTCAGGCTTAATTAGATGGTGTGTGAGAAAGACAGTTGCATGAATAACATATAACAATATTATTATTATTATTATTAATAGACATGCATTAGACCGTTGCATAGATTATAATGTATATATGCAGTACTGATCGAATTGCAATAAAACATAATTACTGGAATCAAATTGTTTAAAAATATAAATTGAAGAGCGAGAGGTAGGGAGAGTTGTAGGTGAGGGGTATTTTAGTAAAAGGAAGGTGCCAAATTGAGGTCCCAACAAAATTTGTCTGAACTTGAAATTGAGGAGTGGTGGTACAGTCCAGACAGGCATGAACACAACAGGATAAATGTGATCAAGGAGGGAAGTGCAGATTAGCTGTTTTCCATTCTTTTCATCCCTACAGCAACGTGCTCTAGTGGTGGGTACAAACCCTAGAACAGCAGGGGCACTCGTCTGTGGAATGATCTATGTTGACTTTCTTCTTTACAAAAAAAGAAACGTTGACTTTGCTATTTCTGGTGTTGTTGTATTGGGCTATAGTTGGAACAGAAAAACAATGGCCTGCGACCCAATTACATTAGTTAGTGGCTAACAAGCCCAGGCCCAAAAGATAATTCTCTCTCTCTCTCTCTCTCTCTCTCTCTCTCTCTCTCTCAGACATTTTATCAAACAGTTGATCAACATTCAGATTCTCAGCATTCAATCCAACCCCAGACAAATCATCAGGATCCTTCTTTCCTGGAGGTGTAGATGCAGTAAGATTCATCAGTGATATTTTACCTGAATCAATCATTCGAAACACACGGAACGGAATGTGTGGGGGCCGGGTGCTTCTTCAAACTGTGGTTTCGAGAATTTCCCATGGAAAATTTAGGGGTAAATCAAGAAATTGAAATCACCTCTTTATTATACGCTGAGAGGTTCTCTCTGTATTAAATTGGTGTAAGAAATTATACATGCAGTGAAGATGTTGCTTGCTAATGGCCAACAAATAAATTCCATGTGATTATTAGAAGAGTACAAATTGTCCCCAATACAAAATCATCATCAACAAATCCATTTATTAAGTTGATAGAAGTAGTTAATAAGATGGCCAGGGTTCTTGACTGAAGCAAAGGGTTTAGGACACAACACATTGTTTCAAAGAAACTATAAGCCACAAAAGCACACATTAAAATAACATAAAAGACATATACAGAGTGCAATGTCACCTCGGACTGAAGGATTCGGATTGAAGCCTGAAAAACACATAAAAAAGATTATTAAAATGATAAACTGTGAATCGAAAGACGATTGATCATGGTTTCACAGTGTAATTACCTTGTTTTCAATATAACGTTGTTTGAGAGCCAGTCTAACCCCTCGTGCAGCCCTTCACCAGAAGTTGCACATGTGCTCTGAACATGCCTGTATTTGCATGCATTATTACTCTATACTCAATCCATAAACCGGACAACCTGGAAAAACAAAAAAAGAAAAAGAATAAAAATGTATACCAATGGCGCTCGCCAAGGGAACCAAGGGCCAACTTGTCGGTTATTTCAGCATCGTTCATAGCATTTGGAAGATCTTGCTTGTTCGCAAACACCAATACAACAGCATCCCTCAATTCATCCTGACCAACCACACAACTTTTATATATATAGTCAGTTATCCTTTATTCTTTTTTTAATCTCATTTTACTCACATCTGTCAACATCTTGTGCAGTTCATTCCTTGCTTCGACAATACGGTCTCGATTGCTGCTGTCAACAACAAAGATTATGCCTTTAGTGTCCGCGTAAAAGTGCCTCCACAGTGGACGAATCTGCATAAGAATTGAGATACATTGAATTCGGACAGGATTTTGAAGAAACTAATTAGGATAATCATCAGTACATACATACCTTTTCCTGGCCTCCAACATCCCAAAGACTGAAGTTAATGTTATTATATTCCACAGTCTCCATATTGAATCCTGAAAAAATAAAGTTAATCACATCTCACTGTCTCAGCCTATAAATTGCCGAAAATTCAACAAGCTGGCAAACTTAATGTAATGATGCTATTGAATATGCAACATTGAATAGCCAAAAAGCTTACCCACAGTGGGAATGGTGGTGACAATTTCACCGAGTTTGAGTTTGTAAAGAATGGTTGTTTTACCGGCATCATTGATACCAATCATTAATATACGCATCTTTCTCTTGCCAACATCAACTAGTATACGCGTCTCTCTCTTGCCAGACCGCCAGCTCAAGTGCTTCGTGAAAGCACACCCCATCCCTTAACTTGCTAACCAAGACTGCACCGTTCAGATTCAAATCATTCTAAGACGTACGATGTAAGATCAATAATTATATTGGTCAAGGATTATCACAATACAATCAATAATTTGAAATGCTTGAGATAAATGAAAAGAGGGGACAATGGATTGATACTTACATTTGTCGAAGACCGGTGAGAGTTGAACGACGCAGCTAAAGGTGTAATTTAATCAGCTAACAAGATAAGAATGACTTGTTAAACCTAAGCATGCATATATCATGATCATTCAGAGTTGACTTGATATTCGAGTATTTTTATAATGATCACCATCAATATGTTGTAATAAGAAATAATTTGCAGATGCAGGGTCAATCCATTGTTGCCTCTCTTTTTGTTTTTCTCTAGTATTTTGAACTACTGGAAATACTTTTTATCTCGTTATCTTTACAAGATACGGATAGTTCTGTTGCACTTTGACAATTGATCTCTTTAGGCAAGACACATAGAATCATACTGCACACATAAAACTGTATAATTCATTAAGAAAATAATATGTCAACCGTTCCTTTTTTAATGCAGGCGTGAGACTTGCTCCCAAGATTCCTCAGACACGCTCTAAGATTTGCTCAGAAAATCTCTTTGGTCAGTTTTGATGATGACCTTATTAAAATATGCTTAGCAGTTGAAAATTCAACCGCTTGTATCTCAAACGGTTTTCAACAAGCAAAAAAGGCCAAAAAATGACACAAATGAAAGTGAAAGTGAATATGGACCAAAGTCGAAATGACAACATCTGTCTCATTATTCCCGAGTGTTGAACCAGGCTGGACTATTGTCAATACCCTGGAAACCATAGCTACGAAAATAATCCTAACCAAGAGTCGAAATTTTAACTGATTTTCCGAATTCGGTCGATCCATTCCCAAAATATCCGAGTTTGGAATTGTTTTTTTTTGATTTTTTTTCTTTGGAACGGAATCATAATTGTATATAAAATTACCGTAAGTTACAATTTTCTATCCGTTTTTAGTTCCGAATAATCCAATTGTCTTCCACTTCCAACATATAATATATATATATAGTGGTGTGAGTGCTTCAAACTGTGGTTTTGCGACTTCCCCATGGAAGAATTGGGGGGAAATCGCAACTGTGTATGTGTGTGAGAAACCCCAAAATCGAAGATTCGCGATATAGGGTTCAAAAAACAGAGCGGAAACTGAGAAATAAGCAGGGAATGAAACCAAGAAAATTAGAAAAGAAGTTTACAAATCCATGTAAGTTCATAAAAGTAGTTTCACCAAGGCGGATACACAAGATTTACAAATATAAAGATATATCATAAATTCATTGAAAACAACAAAGCCACAGGGTGGTGCATTGTCACTTCCGACTGAAGGATTTACGCCTGCAAAAGTGAGCAAAACACATTAAAATGATTATTAACATGAGCTTTGCTTCAAGGAGATAAACCGTGTGAATCGAACATTCAATTGATTTGATGCTTTCACAATCTTACCTTGTTAGCAATGTTGTTTGACAGCCAGTCTAATCCCTCGTACAGCCCTTCACCAGAAGTTGCACATGTGCTCTGAATATACCTGCATTTTGCATGCCCCATAATTTGTAGTCAATCCATAAAGGGGCAAAGTGGAGAAAGAAAAAAAAGAAAAGAATAAATAAAAAAATGTATACCAATGACGCTTGCCAATGGAATGAAGGCCCAACTTGTCAGTTATTTCAGCAGCATTCATAGCATTGGGAAGATCTTGCTTATTGGCAAACACCAATAGAACAGCATCCCTCAATTGATCCTGACCAACTCAGTACGAGGTCAACGTCAGAAAATATTCAACATTTTGTGCAGTTATCGTTATTTTCTTCTCATATTACTCACCTCATTCAACATCTTGTGCAGTTCATCCCTTGCTTCGACAATACGGTCTCGATCGATACTGTCAACAACAAAGATTAGGCCCTGAGTGTTTTGGAAATAGTACCTCCACAGTGGACGAATCTGCATATAAGTAGAAACGGCAACTTTATGACAACATACATGGCTGATGATTTAGCAATACAACAACGAGACAGAGTAACCATGCCATACCTTGTCCTGGCCTCCAATATCCCAAACAGTGAAGTTAATGTTCTTAAATTCCACTGTCTCCACATTGAATCCTGAAATACAAAAATCATATTGCACCCTATAAATGAAACAGTTGCATTAATGAACTTTAATTGCCAAAAACTTACCAATAGTAGGAATGGTGGTGACAATTTCACCAAGTTTGAGCTTGTAGAGAATGGTTGTTTTACCAGCAGCATCAAGACCAACCATTAGTATACGCATCTCTCTCTTTGCAAACAGCCGGCTGAAGAGCTTTGTGAAAGACAACCCCATTGTTTAACTGCTGATGCAAGAATACAATATAATTTAGATTCAAATCATTACTTACACATAAACACCAATATCAATCTATTAAATAAATCGATTCATTTTCTCATGAAAATTCCAATGGATTGATACTTAAAGCATGGACTAGGATAGCTTGTTAAAATTGAGAGATTAAAAAGCACCACCTATATTTTGAAATTGCTTGAGAAAAATGAAAAGATGGGGGGTGGATTGATACTTACATTGGACGAGGATTGGTGAGAGTTGAACGACGCAGAGATGTCTTAGCTAAAGATGTATTCAATCAGCCAACAAGAAATAAAATGACTTGTTAAACCTAAAGCATGTATACTGTATTTATCATAATTATTCAGAGTTGACTTGATATTCTAGTATTTTATCATCATCATCATCACTAATGGTTCCTTTTACAAATGCAGCCGCGAGACTTGCTCCAAAGATTCCTCATACTTGCAGAGCAAGTCTCTTTGTGAGTTTCCAAGATCATGACCTTATTGAAATATGGCTTCGCGGTTGAAAATCAACCGTTTGAATTGTATCTCACACGGTTTCAACAAGTATAATATATCCTAAAACAAGCCTGAGCTGTCAATATAAAAAGAAATTATAAAAAAAATAATAGGAGAATTGATTGAAGTGTGAAGAAACATACTGGTTTTACCCTTGAGAAAGGACGACTTAATCCATAAACGCGTAAGAAAAGACAACCCCTGGAATAATCGCCTCATGCTCTTCCCCAGTGCCTGTTACCGTACATTTTTTGAACAGAAACCCACTCGAAAATCAATTTTTTTGTGTCTTGTTTAATCTTATAGGTAAGGCACACAGCTTGGCCGTCATTTTTAACTGTGTTCTATCTGGATAATATTTTGTCTGTTTTTATCCACTTCTGTAATAATCTATGATTTAAGTGATTTAAGTCAGTTCTAACTAGGACTGTCAATTGAGCTCTTCTAATAAGCACATAAAGTTTATGATTAATCCATGTTTTAACCAATGATTAGGATTAAACTATTCAAGGACATAAACTAGAGTCAAATGGGATTTCACATTTCAAAAGTTTAATTCTGGTCATCTTTACACAGCAAAAACTAAGTGCTGAGGTTGTCTACAAAAAATTTACAGCAGCACTATGAAACTGAGATACATACATTGATGACTACATACAAAACAACTATTATACATACTGGTGTCTTGAGGGTTAATTTTACCAGAACACAAAATACGACCTCTATATGAACAGAACTTCAGGCGGTCCGTAGATTTGCTTTGCATATATTCCTCCATTTATCTTTAAGGTCCGTTGGAGTACGCCTTGGATGGAAAACACCGGCACCAGCTTCCAAAATTTCCTTATATGGAATACTTTTATCGTCATCGTTATGAAGTTTCCGCTTCCACTTCTTTAATATATATAAAAAAAGAGAGAGAAATAAATGGTTATTGAGCAAAGGACTGCGAAGCACAAACCGAAGAAATGAAAACCTCCCAAAGCCAAAAGCTCGTCAAGAAAACAGAATTAACATAGAGAGCTCTGATTATCAAACGGGGGATATGAATTCAATTTTCATACAAAGAATATGGTGGTTATGTCACTTCCAATCGAATAGAAAAATCAAAAGTAAAAGAGATATTATTTTTTCTTCCCTTTTCAATTATTAAGGAAGAAAATTTCTTAATATCCTCTCAAATTTGGGAATTTCTTTTATATAGTCACCAAAAATAAGCATCAAATGAAAACAGAAAACATTTGTGCTACAGCAAATACTTCTATGAGAGTAAACGATTCATTAACTTCTATGAGATGGTTCAAGACAGGATATTTGATAGTTAGAATAACTCAAAAAAAATCGGACAGGATATAACAATCAGGCATGTTGGGAAAACGTTCATTAATTGTAACAAGTTTCTACTAATAGTTGAAGGACAAGGCAATCTGTTTAACGAATACAGATTTGTTGTCTTGTTGACGACATAACAGATGGAAATATAAAGCAGAAGGGATCATCAAATAGTACCTTTAATGCTTTCTCCTCTTTTTTTGTCCACCGGATTCTTGGCCGCCTCGGATGAGGAATTGCTCGATATGAGCTGCATAAAAAGATTTCTTCCAAGTTTTCATTGGGCAAATTGTTGGGCAAGCCATCACTATCGCTAGGAACACCATTGTATTGCTCCGCTTCACCGATCGAGACATTTTTGCGGAAAGTTTGCTCAAGTTTATCCATGTCGTTGTCAGATGTTATGAGCCCACGTAAATCTTTCCTACCACCTTCTGCATCCTCAGCCGCACGATCTTGCCTCTTTTTTCCATCGAATTTATCCACGCCTTCATTAGTTTGTTTGTGGGAATTAAAAACTTCCTTGTCACACTCTTTCGGTTCCTCAATGCTATGATCTTGCTCCTGCTCCTCCACGGATTTGTTATTTAGGTCCTTCTCATATGACTTTCCTTCTACACTTTCACTAGTGGATTTTCTCTTCCTGCTAACTTCTACCAAGTTTTCATCGGGCAAATTGACGTGATCATCATTGTTATCATCCATGGGATTACCAATTGGCAAACCACTGTGCTCTCTCAAAGAAGCAAAACGAGAAGGCTTTCCTGAGAGGATTGCATCTTTCAACTGTTTAAAGCAACAAAAGACGGGGAATATTAGAACAAGCTAAAGTGGGAGTAAGAATACATTTAAATGCAGAAAAAGGTGAAAAAAGCTCCATTCACCTGTTCTAGAGCAGGTTTAGGCAAATTAGATCTTTTCTGATCTATAAAGGGCTGAAGATCCCACTTCGACATCTCTGATCCAGCAAGTTTCAGATGGGATGAAGATGTCTGCGAATATTTACACAAGTTATCATTATTAGCACTTCCATTTTAGCATATTGAGTTGCTTAATAATGTGAATTTCAAAACTAAACATGTGAAAGTACCTCAGCTAATATTTGTCGAAGGACATCTTCGCAACAGTCGGAAGGATCTAATCGAATCTTTTGGCTTGCGGGAGAAGATACAGGACTTGCAAGAGCTCCTTGAGCTGAGAAGCTCTCCAACAATCTCAACGACAACAGTTCTCTTACGTTTTTACCAAGATCGTCGGGCATTGCTGGTGTATTATCAAGCAAATCTAACACCATAAATACACAACTATCAGGTCTCTCAACAACAACAACCAAAGCAATGAAGATAATTTAATTAGAAATATAAGGCATCGCCATGTTTACCTAGCAATAGAGATAACTTTACTTGCTTCGAGCGTGCTAGTGTATCAATGACCAAGATCCATGGAAGTGATGATGTACGAGAAATATGGGAATCCATAACGGGCTGCTTTACAAGCTTCAAGGGAGATATCTCGTTGTTCATAAGTGGCTTTGTAAATTACTGTAGGAAAACAAAAAAATTGAGAAGGTGATTAGAAAAATATGCAAGACAAAAATACTCGAAAAAAGGTATAATATTTAGTAGACTAAAACATTTTTGGGAGAAGTTGAGAAATAAGCACCGGAAATGGAACCAGTTCCTATTACCCTACAGTTGTTGAACGGAAACCAGCTCAAAAATCAACGAATTGGAAACTAGGTTTTTCGGTCCAAAAAATTGATTATTACCTTAGAGAGAAAATAATAGAGCCCGAAAATGCTGAAATAGTGAAGCCCCGCCGTAAAAGACGCAGTTGAAGTAGGCCGATATTAGCAACGCCGCCGCTAGTCCGGCCACCGTATGGTAAATGGAAAATCAAAATTAATATGAACCGAGTGTTGACCCAGGCTGGACTGATGTCAATTCATCGAAATACCAGTCAATCATAAATTGATTTTGGGCTTCATATTATTTGAGCCCAGTAGTCAATTCATATTTATTTATTTATTATTATTATTTTACAAAATTTCGGCCCAGGCCCGTCATCACGTGGCCCGCCCGCAACCAAGGCCCATGAAGCCCTTCTAGCCTCTTCTAACACATGCCCGTAAAAGTTAAAACGACTCTTCCTCGAGAAGCTTCTTACTAATACATTCTCCACCGTCCGATGCGGCTGCGAGTCAACCCATTTTCCCATGCTTTGACCCCCTTTCACTTGCCTTAATCTCTCTCTCTCTCTATATAGTCAAGACAAGCACAGGTTTTCTTATTTCTACTAAAAAAAAAGAAAATCGAAATTCATAGAATAATAATTTCATGGCACTTCAAAATGTGGCAGCCGGGGTTAAAGCTGTCGATCATTTTGGCAAGCAAAGAAGGGCGGCGTACGTAACTTTCTTGGCGGGGAACGGTGATTATGTCAAAGGCGTGGTGGGGCTCGCCAAGGGTCTCCGGAAAGTCAAATCAGCTCACCCTCTTGTGGTGGCACTGCTGCCGGACGTGCCGCTTGACCACCGCCTCTTACTGGAGGATCAAGGCTGCATCGTCAGAGAAATCGAGCCCGTGTACCCGCCGGAAAACCAGACTCGGTTCGCCATGCCATATTACGTCATCAATTACTCCAAACTCCGTATTTGGGAGGTACTTGGATCCTATTCCTAGCTAGACCTGTTAAGTACTTAATTAGTTGTGAGTTAAGTGAATGGAATATTCTAATTAGTAGCATTAATGATTTTGCAGTTTGTGGAGTACAGTAAGATGATATACTTGGACGGTGATATCCAAGTGTTTGATAACATAGATCATCTGTTTGATCTTGAAGACGGACGTTTCCACGCCGTTATGGACTGTTTCTGTGAGAAAACATGGAGTCACACGCCGCAGTACAAAATTGGCTACTGCCAGCAGTGCCCGGAGAAGGTGACTTGGCCGGCGGAGATGGGCCACCCTCCGGCCCTTTACTTCAATGCCGGCATGTTTGTCTTTGAACCCGGCCTTTCCACCTATGGGAGTCTCTTGAATGCACTTCATACCACCACTCCTACTCCTTTTGCTGAGCAGGTAAATGATTCATAAAAAAGTTGCACAAGTTCAATTCAATTTTGGGTGTTTGTTGATTCTTGATTTACTGCAGGATTTCTTGAACATGTTCTTTAAGGATGTGTACAAGCCGATTCCGAATTTGTACAATCTTGTTCTAGCAATGTTATGGCGTCATCCGGAGAATGTTAAGCTTGACCAAGTTAAAGTCGTTCACTATTGCGCAGCAGTGAGTATTCAAATTGAAATTAAAACTGCAAATCCCAAAGAAGTTCTATTAGTAGTACTTAGTTTCTTACTATTGTGTGTGTGTGTGTGTATTTGCAGGGTTCGAAGCCTTGGAGGTACACGGGGAAAGAAGAGAACATGGAAAGAGAAGACATAAAAATGGTGGTGAATAAGTGGTGGGATATTTACAATGACGAGTGTTTGGACTACAAGAGAAGGGTGGTGCAGATTCGGAATGAGAGAGCTTTGCAGCCGTTGATTGCAGCAGCAGCAGCCATGGCAGAGACCAACGCACCTGTCTTGCTGCAGTATGTTGCAGCTCCTTCTGCCGCTTAAACCGGAACACACCAGAGAGTATATATGTTTATAGTCCTTTAGTTTCTCTCTCCTTCCAAGGAAAATACATGGATGGCTACAAAGAGAGATTGGAGAGGCTTGAGGTTGTTAATAGTGTGGATTTTTTTGCTAGATTTGTTGTTCAGCCCTTGTAAATGGTAATTGTTTATTTGTTTATTATGGGCAATGGTCTTTGAGTTTTAATGGATTATGGATTCTGGTTTTGCTAAGTATCCGAAAATTATCATCGTTATTCTGATTTTGTTAGTGTAGAACTCGTTATGCTATAGGCAAACGAACAAAGTAAATAGCATAGCTACTGACTCCTTGTGATTATTGGCATAGATGTCTGAAGAGTACAAATTGTCCTGAATATGATCATAATCCACATAAGTTCGTAAAAATACGTATTCCTAGTTTCACCATAATAGGAACAGGCAGAGATCCACAAGATTGACAAAAACAAAAATATATCATAAATTCATTGAAAATACAGCGATTTTCTTGGCTGAAAACCAAGGTTTTAGGACATAATGTTTTAAAGAAACTAAAAGCAACAAAAAAAACAAAGCCATAGGGTACATTGTAACCTCCGACTGACGTATTCAAGCCTGAAAAACACATTAAAATGAATGTTAATAGGATCTTTGCTGATGTATGTGAATGGAAAATTCAATTGATTCATGCTTTCACAATCTTACCTTGTTAGCAATGTTGTTTGACAGCCAGTCTAATCCCTCGTACAACCCTTCACCAGAAGTTGCACATGTGCTCTGAATATACCTGCATTTTGAATGCCATAATTTGTAGTCAATCCATGAAGGGGCCAAAAAGGGAGAAAAAAAACACCAAGGGGAGAAATATGAAGGGAAAAAATGTTTACCAATGACGTTGGCGAAGGGAATGAAGGCCCAACTTGTCAGTTATTTCAGCAGCGTTCATAGCATTTGGAAGATCTTGCTTGTTGGCAAACACCAAAAGAACAGCGTCCCTCAATTCATCCTGAGCAAGTGAGTACAAGGTGAAGGTCAGAAAATGTTACGAAATGAATCCACACAACATTCACCGTAGGTAGGCAATGTACATGTTTTTGTGAGAGTGTCAAATATGTAGTGATATACAGTCACTTGTCTTTTTAACATTTTACTTAATTACCTCATTCAACATCCTGTGCAGTTCATCCCTTGCTTCGACAACACGATCTCGATCGTTGCTGTCAACAACAAAGATTAGGCCCTGAGTGTTCTGGAAATAGTGCCTCCACAATGGACGAATCTGTATAAAAGTTGAGATACTTTGGATAATCAGCACGTAAATGCAAAGACTAATGTTCTACTTCTAGGTGGTGTTGATTCGTTAATAATATCACTCAAATATAACTGGGAACTTTCTGCTAGTATTGCTGATTTAGCAATACAATGAGACAGTGATGTTTCCATGTACTATGAGAGAGAAAGAATGAACACTAGTAAATGCATACCTTGTCCTGGCCCCCAACATCCCAAACTGTGAAGCTAATGTTCTTATATTCCACAGTCTCCACATTGAATCCTGAAACAAACCATAGTTCAGCCTATAAATTAAACAATTCTACTAATTACCTTAAAATATTTGCCCCCAAAAACGCAAAACGATGATGGCAAACTTATTATTGCCTGCTATAACAAGACCGTCAAGAGCGAATATGCAACTACACTGGTCAAGTAACATTTGCTACCAAATGAAGATAAGATATTAGATTCTTTAAAGAAGTACACTTCACTTTGTAACTAAGAGGACTGAGATATTCTATTATATAAAACCTAACTCACGAGTTTTGATAGCGATGCTGATACATTGTTGGCAAGTAAAAGAAAAAACACGTTGAATAGCCAAAAACTTACCAATAGTAGGAATGGTGGTGACAATTTCACCGAGTTTGAGCTTGTAGAGAATGGTTGTTTTACCAGCAGCATCAAGACCAACCATTAGTATACGCATCTCTCTCTTGGCAAACAGCCGGCTGAAGAGTTTGGTGAAAGACAACCCCATCGCTTAACTGCTAACCAATATAATGCAAAACTACAATTTAGATTCAAATCATTACTTACACATAAACAACAATGTAATTCTATACATTGTATATATCAGGGAAAATCACTTCATATTATAATGAAAGAAAAATCAGCTAGAATCGTTCTAAAACATACAATGTAAGATCAAGATCCACAAAACAGAGAATCTGCTAAATTAAAAGAAAAATGAACCGTGCCAGAGAATGGAGAGAGCATGCTCACAGAATTAGTACTAGTTGGTCAAGGATTATAACAATACAATCTACACCTCAAACAACACTTGTACATCTATGTTCCCCAAATCGAAGCAGAAAACTATGAATCATACATATCTAGTAAGAAAATTTCAACTATTTGAGTGAGAAACCACCGGATCTAAGATCGAGGTGAAGAATCAAGCACCAGAAAGCAAAAGAAAAAAGAAAACGAAAAATAGAAATTACAGTTCCATCTGAAAAATTAAACACAGATGCATACAGAACAACAATCACACGAGATTGACGACGATCGTGTATAAATAAATCGATTCACAAAATTCGGGCGGATTGATACTTAAATCATGAAAGAACAGACAGATAAATAAAAATTCCGGAACCTTAATTAATATCAGATAATTAACGTAGCATCAGATAAGAAAGATCGAGAGATAAAAAAGCACGACCTAAATTTTGAAATGCTGGAGAAAAACGAAAAGAGAATAATACATACATTTGACGAGGATCGGTGAGGGTTGAGCGACGCAGAGATCTCTCAGCCAAAGATCTCTCTCCAATCAGCTACCAAATAGGGGATGAGATGAGACGTCTATTGGCGTAAATATCTTAGTTAGCAAGAGTATTTTTTTATTTATTTTTTATTTATTTTCAGTTTCCGCGTTTTATTTTGCACTTTCCTCCCACCGGCATCTGCATCGCATTTATTTTCTATTTTTCCCCGATCTAATTAGTTCCTAATTAATTACACATGGCGGTGATAATAAAATATTCCATCTCTGTAAATGTCATAATAATAAATTGCACTATGAGGGTTCCACATAATTGATATGGAGGTAAATATAATAAAAGTTTCTTGCAGGCTTGACCCATCATAATGAATTTGCTTAAATCACAATTACTTGCAATTATTTCGTGGAACATTAGAAATTTATTTTTTGAAATGCAATAGTTTTGAGTAATAATTATTAAAAGGTTGAGATTAATCGATGGACCATGGCCTCCTCATTTCAAGTACCTAAACTGCTCTTTCGAAATGAGTTTCAAAACAGCATGTTGTTTGCTTGCCTTTCACGATCACGATAATTACGACTTGCGCCACGTGCAATCACGAACGTCATGTATCGACATTGAAATACGGGCCTCAATCTTAAAAGGAGATTAACTGGACAATGACTACATACTACTACAACCAGTTCATCATAATACCAAAAAGGTAATAAATTCCTTAAGAGAGAAGGAAAGAAAAGAATGACTTGTTCAACCTAAGCATGTATGTATCACGATTATATAAATTGGATTTTCAATACTTGTTTCCTTCATTATTAAGAGTTGACTTGATATTCGAGTATTTTATTATGATCACCATGTTGTAATAAGGAAATAAATTAGCTCAGGGGATGCAGATGCAGGGAATTGTTTCAATTAGTTGAGAGATGGGGTTGTCTTTCACCAAGCTATTTAACAGCCTATTTGGCAAGAAAGAGGTGCGTATAGTAATGATTGGCCTCGATGCTGCCGGTAAAACAACCATTCTCTACAAGCTCAAACTCGGTAAAGTTGTCTCCACCATTCCTACTATTGGTAAGTTGTTCTTTCCTGTTCATTCAATCCAATGTGTCGTAATTTTTTTATATATAAATAGAACAATTGTCACAATTAGATAGTATCATTTCAGGATTCAATGTGGAGACTCTGGAATATAAGAACATTAGCTTCAATGTTTGGGATGTTGGTAGCCAACAAAGGGTATACAATATTCACTATTAGTTTTCACTTCTGATGAACATTAAATTTTTGCTACATATTAAACGTATTTACGCAGATTCGTTCGATGTGAAAGCACTACTTCCAGAACACTCAGGGCCTAATCTTTGTAGTTGACAGCAATGATCGAGATCGTGTTGAAGACGCAAAGGATGAGCTGAACATGATGTTGAATCAGGTAAGTAAACAAGTCAGTATATATATATTTATATATCGCCACAAACAAACACATACGAGCATATAACGTACTTGTGTGGTTTGCATTCACCTGGTCAGGATGAGTTGAGGGAAGCTGTTCTTCTGGTGTTTGCCAACAAGCAAGATCTTTCCAATGCGATGAATGCTGATGAATTAACTGATAAATTGGGCCTTAATTCCATCAAGCGTCGTTGGTATACATTTGTCCCTTGACCTTTTTTTTTTCTTTTTTAATTTCTAGTTTGGCCTCTTGATGGATCGATTAATCACTACAAATTACGGCATACGCAAAATGCAGGCACATTCAAAGCACGTGTGCAACTTCTGGTGAAGGGTTGTATGAGGGGCTAGACTGGCTATCAAACAATATTATGTCCTAAACCTAGGCTTTCCGGCCAAGAGCATCTTTTCAACGAATTTTATGATTTCATATTGACACAATTTGTATTCTTCACACACACACACACACACACACACACACACACACACACACACACACATATATATATATATGTTCGTTTTGTTCTTAATGATATAACTCTTAACAGCTTTAAGCCTGTTGTCTTAAAAAAAAATTGGTGGCAATATCGATCGAACCGCTTTCGCCAGATTATGACTTCACAATTGTATTAAACTATCATTCTACACAACTTTGGGATGTAACTAGAAAATATCGAGAGATGATCAACCTATTTTATATATAATTAAAATAATTAAGTCTGAAAATTAGGACGACGAGACGATCTAATGCAATATCGCAAAACCATCGTTTATGGGGTTTATATATAGGGCTATATAATTTGACCTATCAAAGTGGAGAGCAAGTATATGTAGGATAGATGTTGTATTTAATTGAGATAAAGATAACTAACTTATATAATTGATTAATCCATTAATCTTTCTTATTTCAATTACAAAAGCACCAAACCAAATGTTTCGAGCAATTAATTGAATAAAACTCCGATTTTTTTTTTCGTTTAATAACTAGGTTGTAAAATATTTAAAGATTTGTTACAGAAGAAGTTAAACTTAAGACGAGGAGTTGAATATTTAGTTGATAGTATCTCAGAGGCAACAAAGGCATTGGCAGGCTCGGAATAATGAGTTCCATCCCAGTTTATACGTGGTGACCTTTGTTCGCACAAGTTGGCTCCTTTGATTATATCCCGACATTTAATGTAATGATCGAAGTTGTATGGGGCCCCACCATACCCACAACATACCGTTAATGGATTCTCGAAACCTATTCATTCAACAATCATACTTTAGTCTCTAAAGTCTCTAAAAGACGAAAAATTGATACATTAAAAAGACTCACCGTAATGGGTAGAATTTGCTATGAGGTTGTACTTGATAGAGTAAATATCCACATAGACAACAGTTGAATCATTAATCTGAATCCTCAGTTCTTGACAAAGATGATTTAGTTTTGCGTTGAATGCTTTTGCACCTTCATTTAAGGACTTGATGCAGCCATACTGATCAAGATCCGTGACATTTGTTTTTCTCGTGGCCAGTTCTGCAGGCAAACAACCCAATGGCCCTGTATTGTGAATCCAAAATTTCCTCCCACCAAGTCTGTATATTGCCTACATGTAGTAACAACAGAAAGACATTTAACTGTATATACAGATATGTAGACTTTGAATATAAACGAGCATATATATATATATATATATATATTACATACAAGGATAGCATCCCTTATTTCGGAGATGAAAGAAGGGATCTTTTCGATAGCTTCAGCATACGAAAAGGAGTTTAACGCAACCCACAAGTCGAATTGGCCAATGTCGATTGTGTAAAGTGCCTTTCGGAAATCCTTGTCTCTAATCACCTTCTTTAAACCTGATCAGTAGTTCAGTTTAAATTTTTCCTAGTAGTAAATAGAATATACTTCATAAGATTATTTATACATACCCTTTGAGTGGAGCTGTAGTGAGTGATTGTGAAACCTTGTGAATTGAAGAAGTTGCACGTTCAAATTGAACGGAACATTCCGTGGAAGAGTGGTGGCGCCCCCTGCTGCAAAATTGGCCCCATTTGTGAAATCCGGTCCCAATGATTCCAGATATGGAGTCAAATAATTTGTCTTCAGATTTTCACCTGTCATTGAAGTGTTTCGAAAAGTTAATTATAAGTTACTCTACCCTAAAAATAGTTCACGAACAATGTAAGTTAAAACACAAGTTATTTAACTTGAGAAATATAGTGACAATCTAAAAAAGACAAAAACCTATTTTTTAATTAGAAAAATGGACAAGATCACATGCACACAACATGCAACTTGTGCTGATCCCAAGGAAAAAAAAATATTATTAGAACTGGCTCTAAACTTTGAACACGTGGCTTGTGCTATAACATATTGCTTTCTGAGTTCTTTTACGCAATATTCACATGGAAACACTCGATAAGCTATAGCTAAAGCAGATCATCATATTCATGTGCTATAATGCCTAGTTAACTCCTGAGTGCCAATAATAATAGATTGATGAAATATAGAGATTATACAGTAATTATAAGTAGCTTACACAGAAAATCAATGACTAAACGCCCATCAGATAGTCGGCCTGTTGATCGATGGAAGAAGGAGCGACCATAAGGATATCCAAATTCGTATCCCATTGCAGCGGCAAAACCACCAGTGTCTGAGTTCGAGTCTCCAAAGTTGAAAATCACTGGATTTCTGCAGCCATGAGAAGCAACACAAGGTAGGAAAAACACGAGAACAGGAAATGTGAGGAAAGCAAGTGAAAGGACTTTCTGGAAAAAAGACATTTTTATTTTTTGCTGTGAGAAAGAAGACTTTGGTTTATTAGCCAGCAGAGCTTAAATATATATAGCTTTCAAACATCAGTAACTGACAAGTATGACAGGGAGAGACCAGATAAGCAAATCTGGATTGTGGTTAACCATTAAAAAAATATACCATTAAATGTTTAATCTGTTTACAAATGTCTCAATTAAGTTCGTAAATTACAAATAATCGGCTTTTGTAGCTTTTTTAAAGTGCTGTTTGAAGTTAAAATAAGTATCAAAACGAGTATTAGTAACACTCTGAAAGGTACTTAACCAAACTTCACATTTTTTTAACTGTCCACAGAAGGCTGCTTGCTGTAAAAAAAAGAGCAATAATTGAGGCTATCATGTTATAATATATGCAAATACCCTGACTGTAAACCAGGTTTCTTTCTTGAACACATCTAAGGGCAATAACTTTCAACTGTAAAGCATACATACATGCAAATCGATGAATAAATACATTATTCCCATTGGAATTCTCGTGTTTCTGATTATTTTTGTATTATTCAACCGAATACGAAATAAGGAACATAATACACAAGACATAAATAAAATGTAACACTCGTACGATCACGACAGCGACGGGACACGATTTAGTTCAGAAAACTGCATTTGAATAATCCGTCTGATAATGTCAGCTTCTCTGCTTTTGTGACAGCATCTAGAGGAAGAGGACTAAAACTTCGAGACGGACCGTAGAAATGAGGAAATACATTGGAATCATCCACAGCTTCATAAACCAATCCATTTCCAAGCTGTACCAACTAATACCCTTTTAGCCCATTAAGCATCATACTATGTATTGTATTCTATTGCAATGAAAAGGACTAAATAATAAATATCACTTTTTTGTGTTGATTTAGTTACATACCTTGTTAGCATCAATCTGTAGTAGGTATAGATCTTCCTTAACATTCAAGAAAAAAATCTGTAAAGTGGATTGGACCTGCAGGTAAGAATGATGTGTGACGAGCTGCTACGTTAATTTCAAACATTGAAAGTACAATGGGAGTATGGGACTTTGAAACTGTAAGTATAGTTATAAACAAGCAATACTATGTCACTGCAGCGTATTTTGCCAACTTAATCAATAGGTAGAAAGATTGTGGATCTTCTATCATCTTCTTCTGAAATCATTATAACATAAAAATGGAAGTGAAGGCAACTGAAAGCATAATTAGACATATAAACTAATCAAACTAGATCAATATTTGAAAAACCCTCCATTGATTCCAACATCCTAAGCTAATCAGTAACAAAAATCAGACCACAAAAGCTTCATACACAAACTAAAGGTTCCAATCCAATAAATAAAATTGAATAAAAGTGGAAACCCTAATCACGGTTGTACCGGGTAATGTTTCGCAGTCATCATTTGAATCTCCACTACAATAACCGTGTAATGTGCTCACAAGAGGAAGAAAAACCTGGTGGAGCTTGCTGAGGTGGAAACAACCAGTCGATTGATCAAGAGATCCACCGAAAGTAGCGGCGCTTCTCTGCAGCTCCTCCCATTCCTCGGCGGTGCTTATCCGGTACACAAATTCTTCGGCCTCTTTCGATCCCTCGTTCGAAGCCATTGCCGACAGACCCCTTCGTACGCAATCAGCGGACTCGACTTTGGAGGACGAGTTTGCGGAAATAGTATTCTTGTGAGGATATAATTGTCAATTCTTGGATTTGTGGACGAAACCAAACTTCTAGGGAGGTATATATAATATAATAAATCTGAGGGGGTCTAGATATAATTTAACATAATAGTAGAGGAGGTAAGTGTAATTTACCCTAAAAAAAATTTGTAACGCCAGAAAGCAGCCGTTGACACGTGCGTACACCGGGATTTGTAAATTGGAGTAAGGCGGTCGTTATATGCAAGCCCATTTTTTTATTAGTTCAAAACCACATAAAGGAGTTTATTAGTTCAAGCCCGCAAATTAATCTAATTTTATTACATCAAGACCAAAGATGACAAATATACCCTTATCCACAAATAATACTCAAATATAAATAAATCTTATTTTTAATTTGTTCAAGACCAAAAATCAAAAAAAAAAAAAAAAAAAAAAAAAAAAAGAAATATCACGACTGCCAACCAGCGAGACTTTCACCGCACCGGCAATGACCAGCGACCCACCCACTGCACCATTACCACCACCAACAAGTAAGTCCATTTTACTAAACTTTTGTTTGTAAATTCGAAAACATTAATCGAGCATCGATGACCTTTTACTAAATTTTTATTTGTAAATTCGAAAACATTAATCGAACATCGATTCTTGATAAATATGTATGAATGAACATTAATCTATGCTTATTTCTTGTTGGGTTGCAATGATTTGGCCGATTTTGAAAAAAATATTGAGATTGAAATTGATTTTTTTATTTTTTTTCGTTGGTTTCCGAAATCGGTTTATCCAAACCGATTTTGTACACAAAAATCGGCGTCATAATACCGATTTTTGTTAACCAAATCGGCGACACAACGTCGACTTTACAAGTCAAAATCGGCGTTCTAATGTCGATTATTGAGTACAAAATCGGTTTTCGAATACCGATATTTTTTGATTTTTTTTAAATAATACATTTTATATTTGGTTAATTGATATTTTTTAAATATTTGGAACGAAAATGTTTATCACCATTCGGTGGCGTCTACCACGCCTTTAACCCAATCGAGTAGAGCTTTCCGTATCTCAAATATTTATTCGTTAGATAATTCATTTGAATAATCCTCCATCAATCCCTTAGGTTGATGCACGAAAGTATGAGAAAACAGTTTTAAAAAAACACAGATAATAAAATCGGTATTTAAAAGCCGATTTTTGTAGTACAAGTCGGCATGACAATACCGATAATACAAAAATAAATCGGTGTTGTCATGCCGATTTTTACTACAAAAATCGGTGTTTAAGTACCGATTTTTATTTAAATAATCGGAATGTGGTTACCGACTTTAGTAACAAAAATCGGTATTTGCAGACCGATTTTTTGTATCGTCGAATTTTTTTCCCAACAAAAAAAAAGACCCAAAAGCAAAAATAAAGGGTTAAAACATATTTCATTGTGTTCTCCATCCTCGTAAACCACCATATCATTGTTTTCTGGTTCTATCGTGAATATTTGATATGTATTTGATAATTTTGATGTGTAGGATTTCTTTGTGGGTTTGTGAAGAAGAAGGAAAAGAAGAAGGAGAGTTTTAAGTCGTGAAATAAGGAAGGAGATTTTCTGGATTTATGTATTTTATTTGGTCTTGCGCAAAGGAAATGATTTCTTTTTATTTTTTAATGTTTAGTGTTTTTTATTTGATTTTAAATTTCATTAAGGGTAAATTAGTATTTTTATGTTGAAGGTCTTGAATTAATAAAAAAATGGGCCTCGGAGTAAATACTAAATATCCTTTACATCGTCCTTCTCATCTTCTTCGTTATTCCACCGCCGAGAATCTCCGATGGCCTCCATCTCAATCGCCAAATGCAACGCCGCTCCTCACACCCTTTACTCTCGCCTTCCACATTTTCCTAAATTTGCTTCAATTTCGCTCACCCATGGTCTCAGAGAATTCGGCCCTTCCCCGATCGGGCTCACCATTAAACGCACTACGAATGGTTCTTCTCTTCCGATTATTAGAGCCCAAACCTCTCCAGGTCTGCAGATGACACTCATTGTTCTTCGCTGCGTTTCATTTAATTTTGTTAGAATTGCCTCTCATTGTTCTTCGCTGCGTTTCATTTAATTTTGTTAGAATTGCCTTGGAGCTTGGTCCCAGTTTGCCCACTAACTGTTTGTTAAATGGTTTCTCCTTGTAGGTTACATTCCCGAGGCCAATTTTTACAAAGTTGAAGCGATTTTAAGGTATAATTGACGTGGTTCTTTTTTTTTTTTTACCTCAGAACTTCACTCGTCTTTCTGATTATTAATATGTTTTATTTTTCTTATGCCGGTGCTTCTTCGATGGTGCACTCTTTTCACGTTTGAGAATTTAGACCTTGGAGGATCCCGCAGGTTTCTTCGGTAAGGATAAGACCACTCTTGCAATTTTTAGAATACAGATTATGTGCAGCCGAACCTTTTTATTGTTATTATTGTTGTGAGTTCTTTTCTATCTTTTGTAGTCTGTCTTAGCCATGAAAATCATATGTTGAACTTTAGTGATATAATAGTACAGCTGCTTCATTCTTCAACTTTCTTTGGATGCAATCCCCATTCCTCATGAAGCCCAATTTAGATCGATATGTTCATCGTCAACTCTAGTGATAAAGTAGTCTTTAGACTCATAGGACAACATATTTCTCTTTTGTAATCTTCTTACATCAATGATAAAATGTCGTTATCATATTTATTACTATCATTATCCAGGAGATAATAATTGGTCACATGTCATGTTACAAATGTTTCTTGGAGTACTGGACTTCTGAGGATTATCTGGCATTTGGCAAACGGTCTGTTTGTTTTGAAGTCACGTCATCTATAGAAATTTTACAAATTGTTCTATTCTTGTTTAGATTACTTTTAAGCTTTTCATAGCTTACAAAGAAATTCACATAGTGGTAATACTAATACCACTTATTTTGGAGAAATGTCTGGACTACTATCAGCCTATCACTCATAGCTGAACAAATATCGACACAAGTGACATCTTGAATATATTACATTTATCTAGATATCATGCTTCCTGATATATTCCAGTGCAATAACTTTTTGGTCAGAAATAGGTCTTACTTCAGTCCTAAGCACACAGAGACTAGGCTTTCTGACCATTATTTCCTGATAAAGCTAGTGTATTTTAGAACTCTGGTTTTAATTTGGAACAGCAGACCAACTAGGTCCCTTTAATGTAGAACATAATAATTGCTAGTAGGAATAGGATCCTTGCATCTTGAACATCCATTGCATGATCAAATTTGAATTGCAGAACTTCTTTTAGAAGGACGTGTACTTTGCAGCACTCTTTGCAAATAATTAAATTGATCTGTTTCTGAAGATTTTTTCTGGATAATATTGAAGGCATTGTTGAAAATGGGAATTCGTGGGGTTACAATTTCTGATGTACGGGGATTTGGTGCTCAAGGTGGCTCAACAGAGAGACAGGCTGGTATGGACAAGCCTAGTTTTTCGTGGTTCATAATATAAGACTTCATCATATAACTTCATTTTCGTATAAACTAAGCTCCAGGTAGGAGATGGTTCCTACTGCACCCAAAAACAAGGTGTATGGATGTTTCATGTCCATGCACTTAACAAGAGTTTATTGTATTTTTCATGCATACAGAACCTTTCCTCTGCATCTAATGTTTTGACCTAATATTTTGACCTTCTTCAGGGTCTGAATTTTCCGAGGACAAATTTGTTCAAAAAGTTAAGATGGAGATTGTTGTGAGCAAAGATCAGGTATAGTAACGGAGAAAAGGCATTTAAAATTTTTCTGTATCCAAATAATACAATCACGTCACTTTTAACCATCCAGTTTTATCAACTGAACTTCATAGAGAGTTGTTAACTTCAGCTTTTGTTGACATAGGTTGAAGAAGTCATTGAAAAGATAATAGAGGAGGCAAGGACTGGAGAAATTGGCGATGGCAAGATTTTCTGTAAGACTAAGAAATTTCTTTGCACTGTCATTTTATTCTGTAACCTTTCTTTCTGTTCTACTGAAGGCCTGAAAGGATTTTCTTGGTCATTTACTGTATTTGATTGTTTGTTGAACTTGCCCATTTGCTTTCTGTTCTATACATTATATGTTCTGCAAGAGCGTAGATTTGAAGCTTTCCCATTGGGCCTATAAACGTTGCGAGTTTATGAGTACCTTGTGTTTATCCCCTTAGTTATCTGGTTTATCATTGTGAAAAGGTTTTGAATTGGGTTTCTTGATAATCACAGTGTCTTGATTTCTAAATGTCAAACTTCCAGTTGGACATAGAATTTACACACTTCAGCGGCAGAATGGAATAGTATGTTGACTGTAGAATGACTTAATATTAGGAAAGGACAATAAAATTGCAAAGGTAGCTGGGGATCCATGATTATGAACCATCTCTAAAATAGAATTAGCTTATCATCCTCCAGACTTGCCACATAGCCCAATATTATGTACGCATGTGCATCTATACCTTCCTTTCTATGCAAATATCTTGTACCGTTTTGACTTGGGTATCAATCTTGAAATGGTTCTTGTTGAATGTGCAGTGACTCCTATATCAGAAGTAATAAGAGTTCGCACAGGTAAGTATAATAAGAGACTCTTTGGAGTATGTTATTTTCTTCTGCTCGTTTTTTTGTTTTTTGGCTTTTTTTCATTTCTCTTGTATGAAAGTATAATACATGAATCAGGCGAGCGAGGTGAAAAGGCGGAGAGGATGATGGGAGGAAGGTCCGATATGCACTCTTCTGGATCCTCTAATTGAGTTGCTGAAAGCTTAAAACCACAAGTTTTTGTCAGTTCATGGCATTTTGAACTTCAATGGTAGTTGTTCCAAAGATTTTCCTCTAATTTCTACTATAACGGTGTGGTGCATTAGACCAGATCGAGTAGAACTAGGTCTATCATGCTGCATATATTCTCAAATGCGTAAGTTTTTAGATTAATATTTTAATAATATGTTCTCATTTTCAATGCAACCTTTGATGATTAGTTGAATTTTGGAGGTTGTGTGTTTCTTGGTTATGAATTCATGGTATCTTGCTTAAGTTGAATGGGCTTTTTTTTTTTTTTTTTTTTTTTTTTTTTTTTTTTTTTTTTTAAGTACTGAAATGTGTTTTGGAAATTAGATTTCTAGATTTATTTTGATCAGAATTTTGTAAAGAATAAGTTTGTAGAAAGCAAATAATATATTTTAGGTCAAAAGAATATAAAGATTAGAATATTATATGGATGGTTAAGTGTTTTAATTTATGTATTGGGAAAGAAATCTTAAAATTAGTGAAATAATTTTCGAAAATTCAAATTTTAAAATTTCTATATTAAGATTTGATGTGTTTTTAATATTGTTAGTTCGTTTTAGTATTAAAATATGTTTTGAATAGGCAAAGTTAGCGAAATAATAATAATTAGAAATCCCAATTTGTACTGTTTTTCTGTAATATTATTTATTTAATTTTTCTCAAAACCTTTTTTAATAAGTGAAAAATAATTCAAATATTTAATACTATATATTTAATAAATAATAAATAAATTTGGTAAGAATCTGAACAGCTGTCGATCGGTCTAATACAATATAAACGTTGCTTCGCGCGTAGCTTATTGTCTACGCACGCGCAATGTCACCTCTTTATAAACCACCCCCCCCCCACCCCACCCCCAACAAAAAACATTCTCAGCTCTTCTGTCCGTTCTTTCTCTTCCCATCAGCCCCGACGTTTCTTCCGACGTTTCTTCCGTCCGTTTCTTCCGACGTTTCTTCCGTCCGTTTCTTCCGACGTTTCTTTCTTCTGTCCGTTCTTTGTAAGCCCATCGTCCCCGCAACAAAAAGCTTCTCTTCTGTCCGTTCTTTTTTAATCCATCGGCCCTTCTGTCCGTTCTTTGTAAATCCGTCGGCCCCGCATTCTCAGGCTTCTCTTCTGTAAGGTAACGGCTTGTTCTCTTAGTTCAATATTTGTAGTTCTCTGTTTCTCTGTTTTTGTTTTGTTTTTTGTTTTATGATTTTTTCTTTAATTGTTCATTAAACGTATTCTCGACTTCTCTTCTATAAGGTTAGGGTTTTTCATTCACTTTCTTGGTTTTTTTAGAATGTTTTAGTTAATTGTTATGTGCTACATAACTCCTTCTCATTTAATCTTGGTTTTTTTACAATGTTTTCGTTAATTCTCATTTAATCTTGGTTTTTTTAGAATGTTTTCGTTACATAACTCCGTTCTCATTTAATCTTGGTTTTTTTAGAATGTTTTTCTATGTCTGATCTTCTCTAATTATCATGTTTATCTGAATATACAGATGCAAATCTCTCTGAAAGCCCTGACTGCTGAGAGTTCAAGATCCAGGACAAGGAATGGATCCCACCGGAGCAGCAAAGACTCCCCTCAACTTGAGGGTGACAGCGCTCTTGATGATTGCAATATTCAAAAGGAGTTTACCCTTTATCTTTGAGGTGGTGTGCAGATATTTGTTTAGACCCTAAGACCCTAATTGGGAAGACGATAACCCAAGAAGAAGCTAATTGGGAAGACGATAACCCAAGAAGAAGGGAACCCTCCTGACCAGACAACTTGAAGATGGGAGCACTCGTTTTTTTGTCAAAGACTCACACTGGAAAGACCTCCGAAACCATTGACAATGTTAACGCCAAAATTCAGGACAAGGAGGGCATTCCCCCGAATCAGCAGAGGTTGATCTTTGCTGGCAAGCAGTTGGAGGCAGACTATGATATTAAGAGACAGTCCACCCTTCACTTGGTCCTGAGATTCTTCACTTGGTACTGAGGTTGAGGGGAGGGATCAGATGTCTGTTAAGTCTCAACCGATTCTACAAACCGCTTTTTTTTTTTTTTTTTTTTTTTTTAATTTATTTATTTTTGGTTTCTCGTCTTTTCGCTATTTAAGCCATCTCAAATGGCTTTTTTTAAAACAATTCTGCCGTGCTGTTTAATTATGGTGCTTGGTTTTGCATTTGAAACATTAAATTGGAGTTTTAAGCTCCATTCAGGATTTGCTCTTTTTTGATTGGTATTGTTAACTATTGATGCAGTTGCTTCCGTATTTTTAACCTCCGATGCTTCAGTTCTTATTGCAAGTTATTTTGCCACAATGTTGCTCCTGTTGTATGGTCTGAAGTCCTTGCACAGTCAGCATCATTGATAATATATTCAAAACTGCAGCATGGAATCCTTTGTGATCGGGCCGCGTCATATATGCCAGCATTTCAAATTCTTTTGTTATTTTCCTTGTTTAATGCAGAACCTGGCAAAAAGGGTACCTTCTTATTTCCTCTGATTCTATACTGTTTATTTTATGATTGTACAAACTAAAAATGAAGTAAATCATATGATATGAGTATATGGAAACTGAGTCTATGTTGTGACATGTAAGTCATGGAAGTTCAACTAAATTCTTTAATTTGCATAAATGGTCTGCCTGTTCAAATGGCTTTGGATAGAAGCTAAAGAGGTCCTTGGGGGGTCGTTGAATAAAACCATTCGACACATTGATATGCAAAGTAATGCCGGTATCTGAGAATGATGCAAGAATGATGCAACTACTGTCTGTATATTTGCCAAGTAGTGCTCTCAAGGAATAAGGCTGTGGTGGCACTGTCAAATTACTTCATTTCTTGTCGGTGAGGAAAGTGTTATATCGACAATCATGTCGTCTGAGACTACGTGGGTTGTATTATCTCCCAATAAGTGAGGTTGATTTCTTGATTGTCATGTGCTTGCTGCTGCATAAAATGCTCCTACTTGCTATATCAGTTTCTCATTAATGTTGTTACAGGTCATTCATTTATTTATAATTTATTTGCATTTACGTCAGCATGTAACAAAAATGAGTCCCGATCCTTTTGACTTTTTCCTTTTTAGATGCTATTGGAACATGTGGTATGATGGATGACCTTTTAGTTCTTCCTATATGTTCCTATTGTTGCTTTTTGCATGCTAATTTATGCTGCTTGTTGTAAATACGTATTCTATATCTCAATACTTCTTTTTCAAATTAGATATACACCCTAAGGAAGATTGGTTGATAACTTAGAATAGTTGTTAAGCAAAAGGTTTAAGCTGTACAAGGAATTCCTTCTTTCTTTGGTAACTCAGAATTTTATGGCTTATACACAACAGTAAGATAAGAATGTTTTGTATCTTCGTCTATCTATTTACTGAATTTCTTGTGTTGCCTTTGTGCATAATGTCATTGAGTATCTTGAACTTTTGGTCTAGGTTTATGCAGTTGCTACCTCTTTAACATATGAATTCTTTTGTTTCAGTTATCCTTCTCGAGTCTTGGACATGTTTGTGGAAAGAAATGTTTTAGGGTTAATCAGGTAAACCTGCGTAGTCTTTCCTTGTTGAAAGAAGATGGTTTTCTTTCTCGAGCAACTCGGATTTGTGACTACTTCTATTTCCAACGTGTAATGCAATGCTAATTGGACCTAGGCAGGTAAGAATTCATCTAATAAAATTTTGCAGCTTTTTCTTGTTTCTTAAAGAACTCTGTTATCCATTGTAGGTGAATGTTTTAGTACACAACTTTGAGAACTTCAATAATGTAGAAGGTCTAAAGGTTGTTATGAGTCGCAGTTTATTTTCAAATTTTCATAAATTTGAAGGTTAAATAATCAGTTTTGGAACTCAAGATCAAGTGACATGTTTAATTTTGGTAATTAAGTTGAATTTGTGCTGTAGATATCTATGGCGTTATCCATAGCAGTCAAGAGGAGAAGCTTGTTATAAGTGTGGTAGCTCAGTTGTCAATATCGTTTTTTATCTTCTATTTATGAAATTTAATCACCAGTTGTCTTCATTCACAGCGCTGCTCTAAAACTGTTTCATGCTTTGCAGATGATGATGTAATGAGTTATACCTGTCTGCCTATCAAGAAATAAATAAGCTCGATTTGGAATTCAAGGAAGTTAAAGTTCCCAAATATAATATGTTACGAGGTATTTTGCCCTTGTTGTTTGTAGATCACAAGCCCTTTTTACAAATTAAAACATCTCTCTTGTTTTTGGTTGTTGCATGAATTCGTTGGTTGTTGGGTCGAGATAAAAAGCGCAAGGACTAGATGTGCTATGGAAACTCTTCAGATAAGTGTCTTTCAGCTGACTTCTAACGGTTTTAATAGTTTTGTGTAGTATACTACTTTCTGGACTGTGTGCTGAACTTGTTGTTAGTTGCTAATTTTTCGGGTAATTTCCTTCCAGGCCCAATCCCTTATCCATCTCATTTGTGTTTCAGGTATTGAAGAGTGAAGACGAGCGTCCCACGGGTAATCTTACTCAGTGTCTTCCTTGAACATGAGGTCTTTGTTATATTTGATTATATTCAACCAATCATCTCTTTCACTTTCATGATATTCTGCTCGGGATGAACACTGCACTACTCTGTTCGGTAGATATTGTATAGCATGTATTGTTTTTGAACTCAGGTATCGGCTTTCGTTTTTTTTTTCGGAACTCTTTTGATAGCTTTAATTATGAAGAGCTATAACTTGTTTTAATGCTTTATTCTTTAAATTTGTTTGCACAGGTAAAAGTATTGAAGTTAAATGCACTACAAATTCAATTTTGAACTCTATTGATAAAAAACAGTCTTACTTTTTATTTTGAAAAGGTGAGAAAATAATTTAAATATTTCATGTATGTATTTTAAAATTAAACGTATAGTCTATAGATATGAAGGTTTTTATGAGTCGCAGTTTATTTTCAAATTTCCATAAATTTAAAGGTTAAACTAATCAGTTTTTGTACACAAGATCAAGTGACATGTTTTAGTTTGGTAATTAAGTTGAATTTGTGCCATAGAGATATCTATGGCATTATCTGTAGCAGACAAGAGGAGAAGCCTGTGATAATTGTGGTAGCTCAGTTGTAAATATCGTGCTTTATCTTCTATATATGAGATTTAATCACCAGTTGTCTTCATTCCCGGCGCTGCTCTAAAATTGTTTCTTGCTTTGCAGGTGATGATGTATTGAGTTCTACCGGTCTGCCTATCAAGAAACAAATAAGCTCGATTTGGAATGTCAGGAAATTATAGTTCCCGAATATAATATGTTACCAGGCATTTTGCCCTTGTTGTTCGTAAATCACAAGCTCTTTTTAAAAATTAAAATATCTCCTGTTTTTTTGGTTATTGGATGAATTGTTGTTATTTACTAATTTTTCGGGTAATTTCCTGCCAGGCCCAATTCCTTATTCATCTCAACTGTGTTTCAGGTATTGAAGAGTGAAGACGAACGTCCCATAAGTAATCTCACTCAGTTTTTTCCTTGAACATGAGGTCTTTGTTGTATTTGATTATATTCAACCAATCATCTGTTTCACTTTCCTGATATTTTGCTCGGAATGAACACTGCACTGCTCTCTTCGGTAGATATGGTGTATCATGTATTGTTTTTGAAATGCAGGTTAGTGTTAGCTGGAGATGGTGTTGTTTAAAAAATAAGGGCAAAATACTTGTGCTCCGTAGTTTATCAACCGTCAGGTGGAGCACAGCCTTTTCGCATTAGTGCACTACTGTAAAATCGACAATTGAACTCGGGTATTTGCTTTCGTTTATTTTTTCCTTCGGAACTCTTTTGATAGCTTTCATTATGAAGAGCTATAACTTGTTTTAATGCTTCTTTATTTTAATATATTGAAGTGAAATGTACTACAAATTCAATTTTTAAACTCTTTACTGATAAAAAATAGTCTTATAAGATGGATTTTTTATCGGATAAGCTCTCTTTCTATGCGTGTGCCCATTTGCGTGAATGTGTGTGTCTATATGTTCTAATGGAGCTGTTCAGGTGACATTAGCTCTGATAAGCTCTCTTTCTGTGTGTGTGCCCATGTCTTTCTACGTGTGTGCCCATGTACGTGAATGTGTGTGTGTCTATATATACTAGTGGAGCTGTTGTGATGATTGTTGATTATTTTGTGGAGCTGATAAATTGGGCATCTAGAAAACCCTCCCGTAGTTTGGCGTGGCGAATCCGGATGGGCTGTGATTTTGGGGAAATTTATATTTCCTCTGATCGCATGCAACCGGTGATTCTGCAGCTAACCACGGAATGGTTGGATGACGTCTCTTTTCCAGCTTTAACAATTGAACAACAGATCTGAGCCTCATGTCCTTTAGTTCTCTGTATCTATAACTTGATTACTACTGGAGTTCCAGGAAATTACAGTTCCCCAATATAATTATGTTACGGAGTATTTTTAAACTTTACGTGATTATTGCCCTTGTTGTTTGTAGATCACAAGCTGTTTTTACAAATTAAAACAACTCTCTTGTTTTTGGTTGTTGCATGAATTTGTTGGCTGTTGGGTCGAGATAAAAAGCGCAAGGACTAGATGTGCTATGGAAACTCTTCAGATAAGTGTCTTTCATCTGACTTCTAACGGTTCTAATAGTTTTGTGTGGTACTACTTTCTGGACTTTGTGCTGAACTTGTTGTTATTTGCTAATTTTTCGGGTAATTTCCTTCCAGGCCCAATTCCTTATCCATCTCATTTGTGTTTCAGGTATTGAAGAGTGAAGACGAGCGTCCCATAGGTCATCTTACTCAGTGTCTTCCTTGAACATGAGGTCTTTGTTATATTTGATGATATTCAACCAATCATCTCTTTCACTTTCATGATATTCTGCTCGGGATGAAAACAGCACTACTCTGTTCGGTTGATATGGTGTAGCATGTATTGTTTTTGAAATGCAGGTTGGTGTTAGCTGGAGAGGGTGTTGTTAAAAAAATGAGGGCAAAATACTTGTGCTCAGTAGTTTATCAACCGTCGGCTCGAGCACATCCTTTTAGATCGAAAATTGAACTCAGGTATCGGCTTTCATTTTTTTTTTTTGGGAACTCTTTTGATAGCTTAATTATGAAGAGCTATAACTTGTTTTAATGGTTTATTCTTTAAATTTGTTTGAACAGGTAGAAGTATTGAAGTTAAATGCACTACAAATTCAACTTTTGAACTCTTTATTGATAAAAAATAGTCTTATTTTTTATTTTGAAAAGGTGAGAAATTAATTTAAAAATTTCACGTATTTATTTTAAAATTAAACGTTTAATCACCAGTTGTCTTCATTCCCGGCGCTGCTCTAAAATTGTTTCATGCTTTGCAGGTGATGATGTATTGAGTTCTACCGGTCTGCCTATCAAGAAACAAATAAGCTCGGTTTGGAATTCCAGGAAATTATAGTTCCCGAATATAACATGTTACGGGGTATTTTGCCCTTGTTGTTCGTAAATCACAAGCCTTTTTAAAAATTAAAATACCTCCTTTTTTTCTGGTTGTTGGATGAATTGTTGTTATTTGCTTATTCTTCGGGTAATTTCCTTCCAGGCCCAATTCCTTATTCATCTCATCTGTGTTTCAGGTATTGAAGAGTGAAGACGAACGTCCCATAGGTAATCTCACTCAGTTTCTTCCTTGAATACGAGGTCTTTGTTGTATTTGATTGTATTCAACCAATCATCTCTTTCACTTTCCTGATATTTTGCTCGGAATGAACACTGCACTACTCTCTTCGGTAGATATGGTGTATCATGTATTGTTTTTGAAATGCAGGTTGGTGTTAGCTGGAGAGGGTGTTGTTTAAAAAATAAGGGCAATATACTTGTGCTCAGTAGTTTATCAACCGTCAGGTCGAGCACATCCTTTTAGCATTAGTGCACTACTGTAAAATCGACAATTGAACTCGGGTATTTGCTTTCGTTTATTTTTTTCTTCGGAACTCTTTTGATAGCTTTCATTATGAAGAGCTATAACTTGTTTTAATGCTTTTTTATTTTAATTTATTGAAGTGAAACGTACTACAAATTCAATTTTTAAACTCTTTACTGATAAAAAATAGTCTTATTTTTTATTTTGAAAATGTGAGAAAATAATTTACAATTTTCATGTGTTGATTTTAAAATTAAACGCATAGTTTATAGATATGAAGGTTGTTATGAGTCGCAGTTTATTTTCAAATATCCATAAATTTGACGGTTAAACTAATCAGTTTTGGAACACAAGATCAAGTGACATGTTTTAGTTTGATAATTAAGTTGAATTTGTGCTGCAGATATCTATGGCTTTATCTGTAGCAGTCAAGAGGAGAAGCCTGTTATAAGTGTGGTAGCTGAATTGTCAACGTCGTTCTTTATCTTCTGTTTATGAGATTTAATCAACAGTTGTCTTCATTCACTGCGCTGCTCTAAAACTGTTTCATGGTTTGCAGGTGATGATGCCATGAGTTTATACAGGTCTGCCTATCGAGAAACAAATATTCTCGATTTGGTTTTTTAACACATCCGTTGCAATTGGTATTGCCTCTTCTCCTTTATCTCCTCTGAGATCCTAAGCTGGATAATTTCTGACTCTCTTTCTATGTGTGTGCCCGTGTGCGTATGTATTCTAAATAAACTGCTATGATGATTCTTGATACGTTTCGAGCTGAAAGCATTTAGAAACCCTCCCGTATCCTGATCATTGCTGGAATGCTTTAAAATTACTGTTCCGCAATATAATTATGTTACAGAGTATTGTTGAACTTTACGTGATGAAAGTCACAACTTCTGTTTCTTGTTTTTTGTTCTTAGAAATCATTGGTTGTTGTCCACCTTACTTGTATAATGGATGGGGATAAAAGCGCAAGGACTAGATGTGCTCTGGAAACTCTTCAGATAAGTGTCTTCCAGCTGACCTGCAAAACTTGCAGGTTGTTTGCAAAATTTCTTGTTATCTGCTCATCTACGGTGATACAAAATGCTATCCTATATACACTATATTCATTTTTTTCTGCCATGGGATGACCACCTGATTTATGATAATGGTGAACTACTATTATGTTTTAGTGTGTGAATGACTTTGGGTAATTTCCTTCCAGGTCCAATTCAGTTTCCATCTTATCTATGTATATGCGGTTGGCCGTTTTTCATGGATAGCTCCCTAGGTTTTGAAGAATGAAGACGAGCAGCATCCATGGGTAATCTTACTCGAAGCTGAGGTCTTTGTTTTATTTTTGACTATTTTGAACCATTTTTTTTTTTTTTTTGTTCTTTTGTTGCTTCGAGATGATTTCTCACCTTCTGGTTTATGATTGTAGATTTACTTGTACTTGCAGCAACGCTTGTTCAATGAAGCTGGAGAGCTGATGTGGCATTTGTGCTCCAGTATTATTAGATTCTTCAAGGACGACGACCACATAGGCCATGAAAAGGTAAACAGGGATAAGAGTGCATTCATCTCATTCTCTTTGATTCCAATAATTTATATGTTCCGCAACATCTTTTCATAGCATGCATTCTTTTTGAAATGCAGGTTTGTGATTACTTCAGTCAAAACGCCAAAGGGTTTGGGCATTCGAGGTGACATTAGCTGGAGAGCAAAAAACTTATGTTCAGGCATTAGTTTATCAGGTGGCATTAGCTGGATTTTTTATCTGATAAGCTCTCTTTCTAGCGTGTGCCCATTTGCGTGAATGTGTGTGCCTATATGTTCTAATGGAGCTGTACAGGTGACATTAGCTGTATTTTTTCTGATAAGCTCTCTTTCTATGTGTGTGCCCACCTTTTTCTACGTGTCTGCCCATGTGCGTGAATGTGTGTGTCTATATATACTAGTGGAGCTGTTGTGATGATTGTTGATTATTTTGTGGAGCTGATAAATTGGGCATCTAGAAAACCCTCCCGTAGTTTGGCGTGGCGAATCCGGATGGGCTGTGATTTTGGGGAAATTTATATTTCCTCTGATCGCATGCAACCGGTGATTCTGCAGCTAACCACGGAATGGTTGGATGACGTCTCTTTTCCAGCTTTAACAATTGAACAACAGATCTGAGCCTCACGTCCTTTAGTTCTCTGTATCTATAACTTGATTACTACTGGAATTCCAGGAAATTAAAGTTCCCCAATATAATTATGTACGGAGTATTTTTAAACTTACGTGATTATTGCCCTTGCTGATTGTAAATCACAAGCACTTTTTACAAATTAAAATATCTCTCTTGTTTTTGGTTGTTGCATGGATTCGTTGGTTGTTGGGTCGAGATAAAAGCGCAAGGACTAGATGTGCTATGGAAACTCTTCTAAGTGTCTTTCAGCTGACTTTCTAACGGTTTTAACAGTTCTTATGTTGTACTACTTTCTGGACTGTGAGCTGAACTTGTTGTTATTTGCTCATTTTTCGGGTAATTTCCTTCCATGCCTAATTCTTTAACCATCTCATCTATGTTTCATGTATTGAAGAGTGAAGACGAGTGTCGCATAGGTAATCGTACCCAGTTTTTTCCTTCAACCAATCATCTCTTTCAATTGCCTGATATTCTGTTCGGAATATACACTGCAATACTCTGTTCGGTAGATATGGTGTAGCATGTATTGTTTTTGGAATGCAGGTTGGTGTTAGCTGGAGAGAGTGTTGTTTAAAAAATAAGGGCAAAATACTTGTGCTCAGTAGTTTATCAACGGTCGGGTTGAGCACATCCATTTAGCATTAGTGCAATCCTGTAAAATCGATAATTAAATTCTGGTATTTGCTTTTTTTTTTTTTTTTTTTTGGAACTCTGTTGGTAGCTTTAATTATGAAGAGCTATAACTTGTTTTAATGCTTTATTATTTAAATTTGTTTGATTAGGTAAAAGTATTGAAGGGAAATGTACTACAAATTCAATTTTTGAACTCTTTATTGATAAAAAATATAGTCTTATTTTTTATTTTGAAAAGGTGAGAAAATTAAAAAGTTTCATGTATTTATTTTAACATTAAACTTAATAGTTTATAAATACGAAGGTAACTTGTTATGAGCCGCAGTTTATTTTCAAATTAAACGTATATGTTATTCTGGTTGCTTTCCTCAGATTTTCTGCTTTTGGTTTCTTTACACCTTTGGTTGCTTCACAGTGCTGGTTTCGCTGCTGCGACGGGATTCAACTTTGGATATCCGGATGGGAGAACCTTTTTCTTCCATCAACCAATGGGAGGCCGACTATGTGATGGATGTTTAATCATTGATTTCCTCTGTAAGCATATGTATTATCAATTTATCATGTTCTGCTCTAATGTTTTTAAATTACAGGAACAAATATACTCTCAACCAAATACTCCACACGTCTTCTGGAGTTCAACTTCATTTGTTTTAGTGCTTGAAATATTTCCAACTTATATATAACAAATGATCAAATAAAACGAACTCTTGTTGAATATGTGGGTGGAATCTGGGATAGCCGATTGTCATGGTTGTTCATGTTTGATTTTAATTGTGGTATGTCTCTATAAGCAATTAATAAAGATGACAATATGGAAGTTATAGTTTTCTTGGTATAGTAAATTTGTACGGTATATAAACTGTAGGATAACATACTCACATTTGTTTAAAAATAGACAAATTTGTGGTATTTTTTTTTTCTTTTTTTTTGCTATTTGCAGTTTTGGGGGGGGTTTTGATATTTTTAAAAGTTTTGGGGGGTTTTGTTAGGAACCGCGAATAGCAATTTTGTGACCGCAAATAGCATTTTCTTTAGAATATGACTATATCAATGTAAACAAACAACATGCGGGGATAGCTCAGTTGGGAGAGCGTCAGACTGAAGATCTGAAGGTCGCGTGTTCGATCCACGCTCACCGCATTTCTTTTTAGGAAACAATTGTTTGGGCTTTCTTCTTGGAGTTACACCAATTATGAGGCCCATTCTTTTCTGTGCTCCTTATTTATTGCGCTAAATTGGCCTTTCTTGTAGAAATTTTTTCGTTTTTTTTTTTCTTTCTCAATAAAATTGAATCATCGGATTTCGTTTGACTAAATTTTGGGTGGATAGTTCTAGACTTGTAGTTTACGCATTGTGTTTTACGCTTTATGCTCGGGAAGAAAAAAGAGTACTAATTCATTTTGTTGACAAAGGAATGAGCAACCATATATGTGCACTGAATAAATTTTGGTCGGTGCAAGAATCGGCAAATTATATAAAAAGTAGTTTACATTATTCGTACTGATCCTGAATCAGCTAATTATTGCTCGGGAGGCCATTGTTCGGTAGCAATATAATCTTTCAAAGTAGTTTACATTAAAAGAGCGGTATATACTCGTATATCCTTGAATCATTTAGTAATATATGCATGCCTAAGTTCATGATTAGGGTGAAGCCGTAAACATTAAAAACACTTATACATTTTGATATTGAAAAGCGATTGATCAAATATATACATATATAACATCAATCGCCAAAAGGCCCTACCACTCACCCCAATAGTAGTTGAGATAAAAAAAAAATGAACTTAATTATTGACTATTATTAATACGTGGTTTTTGGCATGGCCTCAAATTTCTCAATGATTTTGCTCCTACAACCTAAAAAAGCTTTGGTGCTCGACACAATCATTTGATTAATGCTACTCCATAAAGAAAAAGAAATGCAAAGAACACCATTATTTGCACACAATTGACAAAAATATACTTCAAAACAATAATATTATGTTTATATTGAATAAATGAAAAAGGAGAGATTCCAACATTAATCGTTTCTTTAAGTGTTCAAATACTCTAATTGTGTTGTTATTATTATAGGAGTAATGTTTTATGGACATGGCCAATAGTGGGACTTATTTTATTTCCCACCACATCCTATCTAATTAATTAATGACAACCTTGAAAGTAGTAATTAACACTGATTTCAACGGCGAAATTAAATTTCATTCCTCAAGGGACCGAATATATATTAAAAATAACATACAGAAATTAATGACTAATGATTGTTTCAAAATTTGCTTAATTTTTTTGGTGTTCGGGGTCAGTGTCCCATAAAAAAATTTAGAATTGTGACTCAAGTCGCCCCTCGATTGAAAGAAAAAAAATAATAATAATAAAAAACAAAGTAAAAATAGTTGCAATAATGTCGTTTGTTTGACTAGCTTAAGGAACTTCTTTTCTAAGCCATTATTAATCCATGCACTAGCCATTACTTGCAAATGCCACCTATAATTACTTCCCATTTAAGTCAATTATTGTCATTTCATATGCTTCATTTTAATTTTAATTTTTTTTACCTTTTTCTTAAGGGTAAATTACACCCACACCCCTGAGGTATGCTTTAATAACTGCAAGGTCCCTGTGGTATCGATAATTACACTCACCCCTCTGAAAGGTAGTTAAAAACTCTAACGGGATAATGCATTGGATATATTATTCCGATAGGGTTCTAATGGACTATTGGCCGGTTTCAGGAAGTGGTGAAGACAACAAAGAGTTATCGGTGATTTAAAAAATATTGGGGGAGCCATGTCACCCCATAACTCCCCATAACTCTATGTTATCTTCACAAGTAGCTAAAAGTAATAGTCCATTAGAACCCTATCGGAATAATGTATCCAATGCATTATCCCGTTAGAGTTTTTAACTACCTTTCAGGGGGGTGAGTGTAATTATCGATACCACAGGGACCTTACAGTTATTTAAGCATACCTCAAGGGTGTGGGTGTAATTTACCCTTTTCTTAATCTAGTCATTTTATTTTTCGATATAGAGATATCTTGATTATAAAGGTAAAGGAACATGTATAAAAGCAAGTACGTAGGTGTATGTATATTAATGAAATAAGCAAGTTGAGAAAGCAGTTCGTTCATGTGTGCAGAATATTCATTTGTATGTATGCATGTATAAAGAGATCCGATCCAGTTGCCCACCAATTCCAACATACATACATATATTATCGGATACAAATCAATAATATAAAATTGAATTTCTTTCTCGTACACCTTTTTCCTTATTTTTCAGATTTCTTTTTCCTATTTTATTTTCCCTTTTGCTTGATAATAATAATACCAAATTAAATAACAATTGTTTATTGCCAACTTTATATTAATGGAATTGACAATCGGACAAATGCGGTAGAATGATGAAGAAGTACCTTTTTTTTTTCAATATTAAATAAATATTTTATAATTTAAAGCTGAAAAAAACAACACAGATTATACTCATCATGTTCTTTAAACTTTAAGGGATCTTTCTTTGTCTAATAATTAAATTTAAATGGTCCGTTTCCTTTTTCAACTTTTTTCCCTTGTATGACACATTGACACTAAATTCAGGGTTAAATATAATACCATAGAAATTTTAAAAAGTTGTTTGATTTTTGATTATTTTTTTCTTTTTAAAGAAAAAAAAAATCAAAAATTGTATTTGTATACAGTGTTATGAGTGAAATGATTCGTAGTCTTTGTGTTCATTATTATTATTTGATGAATCTTATGTTTATTAACGGGCTTATTTTAATTGGGTGTTAATGGGCTTTAATTTGGTCCATTAGGTATACCATAATACTATTTCTTTCATATGATCCTAGAAAATTTGAAGATAAAATAAAAGTCAACTACATATTTTGGCAAAATGGGGTTCAGCATGTTCTGAGAATAAAATAAAATAAACATGGAAAAAAAGAGGTAATTGGTACGACACGACTACGAGGCTGTCCAAATAAAATTATTGTATTAAATAAATAGTGGCTAGTCAGTGCATGCATTGTTACGCGTTTGCTTCCTTCTTTCTTCCTAAAAACAATCTTATTTATTAAATAATAATAATTGTGTATAATTGTGTGTATTGGCATTCACATGAAAAGTTTTGCTGTCATGCTCTCTCTACATATATATTTTTTGCATGGGTTGACTAACATCACCTATCAATCAATCAATCTCACCATCCTGATGATAAATTATTAAATGCTTTAATTATATTATTTCTCGACGACAATTACATATAATCAATAATTATGGGGGATAGGTATTAATTAGTATAATAATTCTGAATTATATTAAGAAAATTGCAGGCAGGGTCAAAAATGGCTTCCTCCAGAGTTAAACACTAATTGTACTTGTTTTTTTTTTTTTTAATATTTCTGCAGTGATTTGTGTCGGTACTCTACCCCCTTAGAAAACTGCATAATAATTTTTTCTTTTATATTTTTATAATGATATATTCATATAAGTATAATTTTATAGGAGCATGTCTTTTCATGATGGCAGTAAAACTCTAATTATTAATGAGTAAACTAATATTCACTCTTGTCTGTTAATTAATCCCATGTAATATTATTATTATTATTATTATTCAAGAAATCACTATTCATTTCATTTATTTTACCCCATTATATTTAGGCTCGTAATTTCCTACCTAAAACTGTATTAGGGTGAAGATTAAAAAGAAGTCGGCTAATTAATTACATACATTCTCACAGATTGAGCAAGAAGAGAAAATGGAGAAACCCTGGCTTAGTTGAGCACTGGTGGTGTGATATTTTTGTTTTGAACCAGAAAATGCGGTGCCAGCTTGTATTGATCTGTATCCATCCAATAGGAAGTTCAGTTGGGATATATTATATTTAATAATTAGTAGTAAGAGTAAGAGCAGCGCATAATTTTCGATTATTATTTTTTAAACTAGTTGTGCTTAGTAGTTTGTACTGTATCAGTATGTATGTGCAATAACACTGCAACGAACAGATCCCTTTTGACCCGTCTCTCTCTCTCTCTCTCTCTCTCTCCTCTTACTTACAGACTTACAGATCGACTTACAGTCACTGTTTGTTTGTTTGATGAACTATTTTTGAAGGAAAAAAGAAAAAAGGGTCTGTCTATATATATTTGGGGTCTTCCTTTCTTTCTTCTTCGCGCGCTCTCGCATTCTTGTTTTACTTTCCACAGTTACAAACTTTGATTGCACACAGCAATGCTGCAGTAGCCCAATAACTTCTTCTTCCGTAGCTGATTTATTTTAGGGAGAAAATAAAATCAAAAAGATATATAGTATAGTTAAGTTAAAATGGAGGAAACATTTGTGCCATTCCGTGGGATTAAGAATGACATTCAAGGGAGGCTACTCTGCTACAAGCAAGATTGGACTGGTGGTTTCAAGGCTGGTTTCAGGTTTCTTTCCCTTTTTTTTTTTTTTATTACAATTATTAAATATATATATATCTTTTCTGCATTGCAATTGGTAAATATATTATATGAAATTTCAACAGGATATTGGCTCCTACCACCTATATTTTCTTTGCATCGGCAATTCCAGTGATTTCATTTGGTGAACAATTGGAGAGAAATACAGGTTACACTACATATATACATATGTTCTTGTTCAGATACGATCGATTATGATGAATTGATTGAAATTTGTTGTAGATTGGGTTTTGTTGCTTGAAATTTAATAATTAATAATAGGAAAAATGTGCAGATGGGGTTTTAACTGCTGTTCAGACATTAGTATCGACCGCAATTTGTGGGATAATACACTCAATAATAGGAGGTCAGCCCTTACTAATTCTTGGAGTTGCTGAGCCAACTGTTATAATGTACACCTTCATGTTCACCTTTGCTAAACAAAGACCCGATTTGGGCCGTGAATTGTTTCTCGCTTGGACTGGATGGTGAGCACAGTCTTCGATTTTCATATGTTAATGTTGTAAGTAGTATAATTATCATTTATTTAGGCCTAAAATGTTAACTTACATGCATGGTAAATATCAGGGTGTGCGTTTGGACAGCAGCTTTGCTGTTCTTGTTGGCTATATTAGGGGCTTGCTCTATTATCAATCGGTTTACCCGTGTCGCTGGTGAACTGTTTGGAATGCTTATTGCAATGCTCTTCATGCAGCAAGCTATCAAAGTACGGAAACTACATCCTAATCTTGTTTTTTTTTTAATAATTTGTCTTACTTCCTAAAGTCGGCACAATATTAAAAAAAACATTAAGCTTTCACATGTTGATTCACAATTTTACGATAAACTCATTAAACAGGGACTTGTGGATGAGTTCCGCATACCAAAAAGGGAAGATACAACTCTAACGGAGTTTATGCCTTCATGGAGATTTGCTAATGGCATGTTTGCTTTGGTTCTTTCATTTGGTCTATTGCTTACTGCTTTGAGAAGCCGAAAAGCAAGGTCATGGCGCTATGGTTCTGGTGAGTGTACTAACTAATTCATTTATCGCAGAATCTAATCTAAATTAACCCAACATGTTTTGAAATCACTTTGGGATATGCTCAGGTAATTAATTTACGGGTTTTTATATATAATATAAATGATCAGGTTGGGTTAGGAGCCTTGTAGCTGATTACGGGGTGCCGTTAATGGTGTTGGTCTGGACAGCTATATCCTACATACCTACTAAAAGTGTGCCTGAAGGAATTCCGAGACGTCTCTTCAGCCCAAATCCATGGTCACCTGGTGCCTATGGCAACTGGACCGTGATTAAGGCAAGCATATCTTTGCTTCACTCAAATTCGATTTTATAATTTTTCTTTTACAACTTGAGAAGTTGACCATGATATTGATTTTTTCCTTTTTTTTTTTTTTTTTTTTTTTTTTTTGCAGGATATGCTGAACGTGCCTATTCTATACATACTCGGAGCGTTTATTCCAGCAACTATGATTGCTGTGCTTTACTATTTTGACCACAGCGTTGCGTCTCAGTTGGCTCAGCAGAAAGAATTCAATTTGAGAAAACCGCCTTCCTTTCATTATGATTTACTTCTCCTTGGTTTTCTGGTATGCAAAAACTCCTTGTTATTACTTATTTAGACGACGAACGACGACGACTCTTTACTATGATCTAAGATACAAATATTTTTATCTGTTTTGATGGGCAGACATTAATGTGTGGTCTTCTTGGAATCCCACCATCAAACGGTGTGATACCACAGTCCCCAATGCATACTAAAAGTTTAGCCACTCTTAAACACCAGGTTATTTTCTTTCCAAAACCTTTTTATTTTTTTCTTGCTATTTTGCTTCTTCTAAAGTTTCTTTATTGAATATTTGAATATATATGCAGTTGCTCAGGAACCGGCTTGTAGCTACAGCACGAGAGAGTATTCAAACGAACTCAAGCTTAGGACAATTATATGGAAACATGCAAGAAGCATATCAACAGATGCAGACTCCTCTTGTCTACCAAGAGCCATCATCAGCCAGAGTATATATTTATGCAACCTCTTTTTTTCTTGCATCCCATTAAATACACATACAAAGTTACTAATGTAAAAAAAATATTATTATTAATCATCAGGGTCTAAAGGAATTGAAAGAATCAACGGTTCAACTAGCGTCGAGCATGGGAAGTTTCGATGCTCCAGTGGATGAAACGGTATTCGATGTGGACAAAGAGATAGATGATTTACTTCCAGTTGAGGTGAAAGAACAACGTGTGAGCAACTTACTGCAGGCTGTTATGGTTGGAGGATGTGTAGCTGCAATGCCTGCATTGAGAATGATTCCAACTTCTGTTCTTTGGGGATATTTTGCCTTCATGGCCATTGAAAGCTTACCTGGCAACCAGTTCTGGGAAAGGATATTACTGCTCTTCACTGCACCTAGCAGGAGATATAAGTGCGTGCTATAATCGTAAACAATGTTAATTAGCCAAGTTAGTATGATACTTAATCTGTGTGTTTAAAATATAACACTTGCAGGGTTTTGGAGGACTACCATGCGACCTTTGTGGAGACAGTGCCTTTCAAGACAATTGCGATGTTCACAGTATTTCAGACAACGTATTTGCTTCTCTGTTTCGGCATTACATGGGTTCCGATTGCGGGGCTTTTGTTCCCTCTGCTCATTATGCTTTTGGTCCCCGTAAGACAGTACGTGCTGCCAAAATTCTTCAAAGGGGTTCACCTTCAAGATTTAGATGCTGCAGATTACGAAGAGGCACCCGCAGTACCATTCAACATTCCGGTACGTACATATCATTTTTCTCTTTTCCACTTAAAGACCTCTGTGGATGTTTGTTGACTTAAATTGAATGATTTATTAGGAAGGAGAGCTGGGAGGTGGCAGACTTTCATTCGCTGCTGACGGAGGAGAGATTTTGGACGGAATTATTACAAGAAGTCGGGGTGAAATAAAACATATGTGCAGTCCAAAGGTAACGAGTTCATCTTCAGCGACACCTGCAAAAGATGGTAAAGTACTACAAAGCCCAAGGGTTGGTGAGCTACGAGGAGAGAGAACTCCTCGGTCTGGTGGAAGAGGACCTCACAGCCCGATGACTGGAGAAGTGGGCCCATCTCATTTGGGGATAAGTCCTCGTAAATCTGCTTCAGACCAATGATAATAAGCTGATAAATCGATTTAAGATAGTAGTAATCAATTCAATCCTCCTTGGTATGTGTTTTTTTTTCTTTTCTAGTTGTTTATGTTTTGAATGTGGTGTATTATCAAAGTCGGTGCGGGAGACAATGCAAGCTGTAAAATTAACCACCAACCTTATTATATATGTTGATTCCGAGGGATCCTCCAATGAATTTGTGTGTATGTACATTTCATATGCATCATCATCGTTGATTATGCATGCATGTTCTGCTGTGCTGACAAAATGATGAATTGGTTTTCTCTTACCAAATAAGAATGATTATTAATGCCAATGGTCAATGGACATGTGCATAAAAGGGAATAAAAGAAATTGCTCTCGTTGACCAACAAAAACAAAAGCATATTATTCATCATCAAGCTGTTGGTTCTATGTTGTTGTTAATTATTGCATTGCATACAAGAATTGTGGGGGGTTGGAAATTAAAGACAGAGAGCATTGACTTTAGCTAAAGTGGAAACAAACAAAACCCCTTTTCCAATTATCCTTTTTACAATCAATCTTTGTTCCTCTGTTATGTCATTCATTCATTATTATATTCTTGTCCAAACAAGTTTACATCATCCATCATCCATCCCACCATCTCTACTCTACAGGATGCAATCGTTACCCTTCTTTCTTTAGTGTTTATCGTCTGCTTTTATTTATTTCTTTTATTTCATTTATATTTATTCGGCTTTTTCTGAAAAAAAAGTATTGGCCCAATAATAATCGTATTAAATAATAGTATCTTTTATTGGGCTTAATTAACAAGGGGTTCCACCCATCCTTTGCGGGCTCTCCTCTAGACCGGGTTCAATTGTTAGGGTTTCATTAAAAAAGTTGTATTTTTCTATCCAGGTTGAAATTAAGATTGCTTACTGGCATGATGAAAAGGGTAAAAGGGTGTGGAGAAGACGGAGGTGCTTCCAATTCCATTTCCATGGAGGAGGTTAATAGGATATCCGATTTGCCAGAAGGGTTATTGCAGAGGATTTTTTATTTTCTCTCACAAGAAGATGCTGTCCGAACCTCTGTATTGTCCAAATCATGGCGCTACATTTGGTGCACTCGCCCTAATTTCGATCTTTCAGAACCCAACTTCAAAGGAAACAAACATCAGTTTATATCCGCTGTGGAAAACACTTTGCAGCGATACACTGATCCTAATGGGCTGTCGTTGGAGGAATTTAACCTAACTCTATCGCTGCTTGGTGGAGGCGACGATAATCACTGATTTTGTCCGTAGGTCTTCGTCTTCCTCAAGCCAGCTTCGTCCGTACTCCGGTGGACAGACCTGCAACGCCGGGAGGGGTTCCCGGCGGGAAAGCTCCGACGATCAAGTCAGTGATCGGAATAAAGGGAGAGACGTGTATGTAATGTAATAGTAATAAGTGTATATTCTCGTGTGTGTACGTATGTTGATTCTCCTATTTATAGATGAGGAAAGCTTGGCCTCCAAGGCTTTCCTTTTTTAGGGTTTCTCTTTTCCCCCAAGTCATGTATCTTGGGCCTGTATTGTCCTGGGCTCGCCTTACCCCGTTTTGGTATTGGGCTGGCGAGTTAAGGTACTCCCACGTAGTTCCGAGGTTCGCGCCATACGACGACTTCGCTCATAGTACCGAGCTAAGGCATCATGGGTTCTTCATTATGGGCCTACCATATTGGGCTTACCCTAATGGGCTTATGCTTATTTGTTACTTGTCAAACTAGCCCATATCAACTACTCCCCCCTACTCCTTATTTATAAAACAAGTCGGCTTTTCTTTACCTCGTTTTATAAGTACGGAGTATGAGGCATCAGTTCGCACTTCGGTTCACGTCTGATTGATGCACGCAACCTTTCCACTTTTCCTCCATTTAATTACTCTGACATCCCGTGTGGTCGATTCGAGTTCCCTAGGTCATCATGGAAAAATTTCAATCAGTGCTTTCAGCGTCGGATTCGAGGCATTCTGCATTGAATCTCGGCCGCCCGAAGAAACGGTTATGATTGACCTTCCCTTTTCTCTAGGTCATTATTGAGGAATTCCAATCGGCGCCTCTTGCATCGGATTCGGGGTGACCTACTTTGAATCTTGTCCATCCGAATAGACGGTCACGATCGAGCTTTCTCCTTTTCCTTCTTCTATAAATACCTGGCCCTTGCCATTTTTTTAAGATTTTTCCTTTTTCCACCCTCGTGCTTTCTCTTCTCTTATTACTTCTTCTCCGGCGAACCTGCTTTTCCGAGACAGAGATCTTATCCTTCGTGCCCATTTTCTACCCCGACAAAGGTACTACTTCTTTCCCCCATCTCTTATTACCCCCGCCTTTACTCTTCGAATTGATAATGTCTGCCCGTTCTCCCGATCCTTTCGGCCAAAAAGTGCCCTCCGGGGAGGGGGGTGAAAACCCTGCTTTTTCTATTTCTTCCTCGTCGGAGGAGGGACCCTACTTCTCTCCCTCGGGCAAACTCTTAGAACGGCCCAAGAAGAGGGGCAGAAAAGAGATTTCGTCTTCTGCGAGGAGTGGTTCTCCTTCCTTATCTGAAGGACGAGATTTGGATGACCAATGGGGACCTAGTACTTTAAGCGAGACAGATCTAACTAACTTAGTTCGCGACATAGGCCTCCCTACCGATGTCGAATTGATTCTACCTTCGCGAGATGATCGCCCTCTAAACCCTCCTTTAGGTTTTAGTACTTGGTTTTCAGAGCAATTCTATTTCGGTCTGTCTTTTCCCATCTCGCCCTGGTTTTCCGAGATTGCCCAATTATGTAACGTGTCCCTTAACCAATTCCACCCCCATGCCATAATAATCATGACCGGATTTCGCATGCTGTGCGCCTGGTCGGGGGTGATTCCCACACCAGCTCGCTTCCGGAGTGTAATGGTATTAAAGAATTCGAGTCCTTTCCATGTCTCTATCTCGGCTCGTCCGGGTTTTAAGATTCTGATGCCACCTAATAAAACCGATGGGTGGCAAGGTCACTATTTCTTTGCCAGAAATCCTGTTGACACGCCCTATTTGTGTCCTTGGCTCGCCACCCTGCCTGAAAAGAAAAGGGGGAAACCTTTGGCGGTTGACGATTGTTTGTTAAAAATGATATCCCACTTTCAACCGAGCCACGGCGTCCCGGATAGCCTCACCAGCTTTCCGCCGATGCTTCGCCACTTCCGTTTTCACGACAACGGCACGTATTCTCTAACTCGGGAAGATTTAGGTGGGTTTGGTTATAACACTAATTCTTACTTCGACTCATTGTCTTACTTCGGTCGGTTTGTTTTTTGTTGCTTCGCTAGTTATGTACTTGTATGTCTTGTTTCTCACCCACGTATCTCTCCTTGCCCGTTTGTTTTGGTGCGTAGATCTAAGGATGAAGAGGATGTTCCGAGGTGACAAGCCGGCTACCCGTCCCTCCGAACCGGAACCTGGGTTCGAGGCGTCCGAGTTTCAGCGCCCTCTAATCGCTGAATCCGAGAAAAGACCTTCGGAAGAAGGGGCTCTAAGGCCCAGGCCGTCGAAGAAAAACGCCGCTCCTCCTCGCGCCCGCGGTGGACCTCCCTCGCGAACCGAGGATTCTGAACCTCCTAAACAATCCTCCGCAATAGTTCTCGCCTCGTCACCGCTTCCTTCCTCAACCGAAGAGGTGGTAGAGAGAGAACCTGCTCCGAAGAAACGGAGGTCTGAGTTGGCCCTTGGGGCGGCTGGGTCATCATTACCGGCCGACTTTGGACTGTACCTCTGCCGGAATGCTGAAAACGCTATTGCTGCGTGCCGGTCCTTGGCATTCCCCACCGATGTCGCCCACTTCGGGCAAATGAGTAAGGGCGACCGACTTGAGTTGCTTCTTCATAACATTACACAGGTTTGTTTCACTCTGTTCTTGTGAATCGGTCTTTGCCATTGCATCTTGTATTTAAGATTAACTCTATTTAACCTCTTTGTGAGTGCAGCAATTCGCCATCGCCTTTTCGGGTCCCCTGGGGTGGGATGATGTCTCGCGCGAGGCGTATGATAATCAGAGGAAAGAGGTGATTCAGCTCCGGAAGGAAGTCCGGGGCTTGAAAGAGAGTCTGGGGATGTCGGAGTCATCGAAGGAGGGGCTGTTTGCCGAAGTGAAGAGGCTGAAAGAGAGAGAGAAAATCCTTGAGGCTGAAAAAGACTCCCTTGTATCCCACAATGCCAGCTTGGAGGAGAAAGCTAAGGGGCTTTCCAACGAGCTGTTCGCAGCTGGAGTACAAGCTTCCACTAATTTCACCGAAGGGGTGAAAGAGGGGCAAAGGTTGTTCCCGGGGTCGCCTGAGGGTCTTCGCTTCATCGAGGAGTTTGTTCGCCGCTTCTTTCACCGATTATGGCGTTCCACCACTTTTACTCGAGAAGCTTCAGGTTTAGCTCGTTTCTTCTTTTCGTCGGCGGTTGCGGCTGTTCGGAAGAGGTTGGGCGGTGCCGGCATCGAGTTCCCGTTGGTGGAAAATGAACTGGCGGAGGACCTCCCCGACGACGTGATTCCGGGTTTTGAGGGGGATGTTAATGAAGATCCCAACTTAGAATGGTGGAGGCCGGTTTATCAAGGCCTCGTCGAAGAGTTCTCCCGTCAAGGGGCCATTACCGACTTCGCCGGAGACATTGGGGCCCTTGGGACAGTGACCATTCCAAACGATGTGCAGCCGGAACTCGTCTCACCGTCCCCTCCAGATGCTGAGAATCGAAGTGAAGCAGACGCGGCGGTCCCGAAGTGAAGGCTGCCAAAAACTTAGCCATTTTCTTGCTTGTATTTTGATTATGTATTTTTAAACATTTCCTTCCTTATTTCTTTCTGTCATGTATCCTTAACAACTCCTCCGTTTTTCCATATGCTTGAAATGTCTTTATTCGCTTTTATGTCTGTGTCGTTTTGGCCTTCAGACTTAGTCTGTCAATATCCCCACTGATCTCCAGTAGTGTTTATTCCTTAAGCTTATCCATCAGTTCAATCTTGTACCACTCTTATATTTTAACTTAGTACCCAATCTTAATATTTTGCTTACGAATACGCGAGTTAACGCCACAATGAAACCCGCGAGTTAACGCCACAATGAAACACGCGAGTTAACGCCACAGTAAAACACGCGATTTAACGCCACAATAAAACACGCGAGTCAACGCCACAATGAAACACGCGAGTTAACGCCACAGAAGAACACGCGATTTAACGCCACAGTAGAACACGCGATTTAACGCCACAATGAAACACGCGATTTAACGCCACAATAAAACACGCGAGTTAACGCCACAATGAAACACGCGAGTTAACGCCACAATGAAACACGCGATTTAACGCCACAGTAGAACACGCGATTTAACGCCACAATGAAACACGCGAGTTAACGCCACAATGAGACACGCGAGTTAACGCCACAGTAAAACACGCGAGTTAACGCTACAATGAAACACGCGAGTTAACGCCACAATGAAACACGCGAGTTAACGCCACAATGAAACACGCGAGTTAACGCCACAATGAGACACGCGAGTTAACGCCACAGTAAAACACGCGAGTTAACGCTACAATGAAACACGCGAGTTAACGCCACAATGAAACACGCGAGTTAACGCCACAATGAAACACGCGAGTTAACGCCACAATGAAACACGCGAGTTAACGCCACAATAAAACACGCGAGTTAACGCCACAATGAAACACGCGAGTTAACGCCACAATGAAACACGCGAGTTAACGCCACAATAAAATACGCGAGTTAACGCAACAATGAAAACTTAAATAAATAACACAAGGATTTTTTAACGTGGAAACCCTCCAAATAAGGAGAGAAAAAACCACGGGGCCTAGCCCAGATCGGAAAATGGATGTTTATTAATGGTTGTTTTGCCTGTACAAGGGGTGTCTCGATTTCGCTGGCGTAATTGCCTCGATCTCCTTTCTCTCTCTCTCTCTCTTTTTTTTTTTTTTTTTTTTTTTTTTACGCGAAGAAGCGTTTCAGATGTATTATGTTCCAAGCCCGAGGTAACGGCTTCCCGTCGATGTCTGCCAACTCATACCCTCCGCCGGCCAAACACCTGGTGACTGTGTATGGTCCTTCCCAATTAGCCTCCAACTTTCCCGTGTGTTTTAGCGCGTCCGCTCGTCGCAAGACGAGGTCTCCGATCTGGAATGAGCGGGACCGCACCCCCTGATCATACCGAGCTTTGATCAAGTTTTTACTTCTTTCCATGTGCAAATACGCCGTTTCCCGGAGATCGAAAACTTCGTCCAGCTGTGATCTTAAAGCATCATCGTTTGTTACTTCGTCAAATGCGGCGATGCGGAGCGTGTCCATTGCCACTTCGACCGGTATAACTGCTTCAGTTCCGTAGGTTAACCGGAACGGTGTTTCGCCAGTAGCTGCTTTGGTTGTGGTCCGATAAGACCAGAGGACGGAGGGCAACTCGTCTACCCAACTTCCACCTAGCTCGTCTAACCTTTTTTTCAACCCATTGACAATGGTTCGGTTTACGGACTCCACTTGTCCATTGGCCTGGGGGTGCGCTACCGCTACAAATTTTTGTGCAATTTTCATCTCTTCGCACCACGCTCGGATTTTCTTGCCGTTGAACTGAGTGCCGTTGTCCGATACAAGGCTTCGAGGTAGGCCAAAGCGACAGCAGATATTTTTCCAAATGAAGTGCATGACCTCGTCTTCTGAGATTTTCGATAAGGCTTCAGCTTCAACCCACTTAGTAAAGTAGTCTACCGCGACAATGATGAACTTTTTCCGACCCGCGGTTTGAGGGAATGGCCCCACCAGGTCGATTCCCCATTGGGCGAAAGGGCATGGAGCACTCATGATGGTCATTTCCTCCCCCGGCTTGTGGATGAGCGAGGCATATTTTTGGCATTGTATGCAGTGTTGAACATATCGGTGCGTGTCCTTCTTCATGCCAGGCCAGTAATATCCGGCCCGATGTAGTTTCTGCATGAGGGCCCGAGCTCCTCCATGCTCACCACAACCACCTCGATGTACTTCATCCAGAACATGCTTTATCTCCTGCTTTCTCAAACACCTTGCATCTACTGTGGTGAAGTTTCTTTTATATAATGTCCCATGCCGTACGAAAAAATGCCTTGCCTTATATGCCAAGCGGTGCTGCTCTCTCTTGGTGCCAGCTCGCTCTCCTCTGAAGTATTTGAACAAAGGCGTTCTCCAATCGGGCTCTTCGTCTATTACCATTATGCCCGGTGTTGGGGTAGGGGCAATAAGGATAGTGATCTTTCTTTCAATACAATCGACGACTGACGACCCGACTTTAGCGAGGAAGTCAGCTCGCTGATTGTCGTTTCTCGGAATTTGATGCATGGTACAGACCTCAAAAGTTTCTTGTACAGCTCGGGCTTTATTTACATAACTCTTCATTCTATCGTTTTTTATTTCGTAGTCCCCTTCGAGTTGGTGTATTACCAATTGAGAGTCGGAGTATATTCGCACCACTCGCGCTCCGAGCTCTTGAGCGATCTCCATACCTCGGATAAAGGCTTCATACTCTGCTTCATTATTGGAGACCCGAGGTAACCTAACAGCAAACTCGACTTCCGTTCCAGTGGGATCAATAACTATTATCCCTGCCCCCGCTCCTGAGGTCGTAGATGAACCATCCACGTAAATTTTCCACTCTTTTTCGATGGGTATCCTGGTGGTTTCTCGGATGAAATCCGCTAGCGCTTGTCCTTTGACCGAGGTACGGGGTTGATATTGAATCTCGTACTGTCCCAGCTCGATGGCCCATTTAACAATTCGCCCTGACGCGGTAGGTTGACCTAGGGTCTGCCGAAGGGGTAAGCTTGTGCGAATCACCATGGTATGCGACAGGAAATAAGGCCGGAGTCGTCGCGTAGTGAGGACCAGCGCGTACGCTATTTTCTCGACTTCAGAATATCGGCTTTCCGACGTAGTGAGGATCTTACTAGTATAGTAGATCGGTCTTTGTTGATTATTAACTTCCTTAAACAAAACCGAACTGATGGACTCATCGCCCACTGACAAGTATACAAACAGGGTTTCACCCTTTTCAGGGGTGCTAAGAATCGGCAGGCAAGTAAGAGATCGTTTTAATGCTTCGAATGCGAGCTGGCATTCGGTGGTCCATTCGAACTGAGCTGTTTTCCTTAGTACTTTGAAGAAAGGCAGGCTCTTATCAGCCATTCGCGATATAAACCGAGCTAGGGCTACAACTTTTCCTGCCAAGGACTGGACTTCCTTGATGGAACGAGGAGGTGTCATCTGAAGTACGGCCTCCACTTTATCTTGGTTTACCTTGATGCCTTCCCGATTAACAATGTATCCCAGGAACTTTCCAGCTTGTACTGCGAATGCACACTTAGCAGGGTTTAACTTCATTCCATATAAACGAAGAGTTGCAAAGGTCTCAGCTAGGTCTGCGAGATGCGTAGAGCGCCTCTTGCTTTTAACTAACATGTCATCAACATAAACTTCAATGTTGCGTCCGAGTTGGGCCCGAAACATCCTATCCATCAATCGCTGATACGTGGCTCCTGCATTTTTCAGGCCGAAAGGCATCACCACGTAACAGTAAGTCCCCGTGGCGGTGACAAAACTTACTGCTGGCTGGTCCTTTTCGTCTAGCGGAATTTGGTGGTATCCTTGCGAGGCATCCATCATACTAAGTAGCTCGCATCCAGCAGTGGCATCTACAAGCTGATCTATGCGAGGTAAAGGATAATCATCTTTCGGGCAAGCCTTATTTAAGTCCCTGAAATCGATACACATTCGCCATTGGCCATTGGCCTTCTGTACTAACACCGCATTGGACAGCCATGTAGGGAACTGAATTTCCCGGATGTGTCCGATTTCCAGAAGTCGTTGAACTTCCTTCTGTATGATTTCGTCTTTTTCGGTACCGAAGTGTCGCCGTTTTTGCTTGACGGGCCTGCACTCGGGTCGTAAATTAAGCCTGTGTACAACAGTTCGCGGCGATATACCGGTCAAATCACTTGGTTGCCAAGCAAAAACATCTTCATTAGACCGCAATAACGCTATCAACTCGTTCTAAATCCTTACTTATCCGGGTTTGTTTCATCATTCCGGGGACGAGGTCGATTGTCATCAATTCGTCCATAGGTTGTACATGATTGACTTTATCCTCTGGGTCAACTCGGGGACGCTTCTCATCTCCCAAATCTTCTTTAGTGAGGGTATCGCGTCGGCCTTTCTCTGCTATCTTAACCATTTCGACATAACACGATCTCGATTGGGTTTGGTCGCCCCTGACCTCTCCCACCATCCCATCAACTGGGAACTTAAGCTTTTGATGAATAGTCGAAGGGACCGCCCGAAAGGTATGTAACATTGGTCGTCCTATCACGATGTTATACGAGGTCGGCGACCCTTCAACGATGACAAAATTGACAGTTTGAGTGCGTGTTCGAGGTGGAGTTCCTATAGTGACAGGGATTTTAACTTGTCCAATCGGCGTCAGGGACCCTCCTGTGAACCCAAATATCGGTGTGGTGACGGGGAAAACCGGGAGGTCAAGCTCCATTTGTAGGAAACACTCGTAGGATATGACATCCACCGAACTTCCTTGATCAACGAAGGCGCGAGCGACGTCGTACCCTCCAACGTTAATCGTGATAAGGAGAGGGTCACAATGGAAATCGTCTAGGTCCGCTTCATCTTCAGGACCAAACGAGATAGTGGGATATTGACGATACTTCGGTGTAGAGATTTGGCAAACTTCATGATTATTTTTTAGGCTACCGAGGTGACGTCTCCTAGCCCGGTGAGTATCTCCTCCCGTAGGGCCCCCTGAAATCATCTGAATGTACCCTCTCTTCGGCGCTGGCGGCGGGGGCGGTGCTCGTGGCGGGTTTCCAAACTGGGCTTCACGCTTCTGTCCCCGAGGTGAATCTATCTTCACAAAATCCCCGATCTTGTTATCTCTGATGAGACGTTCCACTTCGTCTTTCAGATGTGCGCAGTCGTCGGTCGTATGTCCGTATTCGTTATGAAAACGGCAAAAAGTACCCAATGTCGGATCTCGACGGGGGGCTCCGCGAGCGGTCCTAGGCCACCGCAGATCAGCTCTCTTCTCGATCGCGTACAACACCTGGGACAGAGGAGCCGTAAGGGGCTGATACGATTGGAATCGTGATCCCTTAGCGTCTGAAACGATACCTCGGCCGGGGGTACTAGCATCCCTTCGAGGTAACAGTGGTTCTTTGACTCTTTTTACTTCGTTGGCTCGTGTGTTCGCGGGTTGGTGAGATTCTTCTACTTTCTGCTGACGGGCTTCTTCTAAGTTAATGAACCTAGACGCCCTCTCTAGGAGATGGTCAAAATCGGGCGAAGGTTCCAGCGCCAAAGCTCGGAAAAACTCATCATCTCTCAGTCCTTGCGAAAGAGCTGCCATGAGCACCTCGTCGCTGGTAGTGGGGACCTCTAAGGTAGCCGAAGTGAATCGTTTGATATAGTTTCTGAGACTTTCTTTCTCCTTCTGACGAACGCTGAATAGTGACAGAGAGGTCTTCTTACACTTCTTCGAGCTAGCGAACTGGTTCATGAAAGCTTTGGCAAGTTGTTCAAAAGATCGGATGGTTCCGGCAGGTAACAGTCCGAACCATGCTTGGGCCGGACCTGCTAGAGTGGTGACAAAGGCACGGCACTTCACCCCTTCTGTGAGCTGGTGAAGCGAGGCAGTGTTGTTAAACCGACTCAAATGTTCAGCTGGATCTGACGCGCCGTTGTACTCAAATAAAATCGGTCGGTAGTTAGCTGGTATAGGGTCGCTATCAAGATGACTAGCGAAAGGGCTAGATCCTACGAGATCTCGCGTTGGCCCACTTCGCAGGGCCTTCAACTCATCTATATCGCGTCTTAAGCTGTCCACTTCTGTTCTAACGCCATGACTATTACCCCCTCGGTTCTCCGAATAACTATCGCCCTCGTCCTCAGCTCGTCCTTCGTTCGGAGAACGTCTGGGATCTCTCCTGAGTCGGTTATCGTGAGGTAAATTTTGGGTGTAGTTTCGGATGGCCGCGGTGATCATGGTTTCCACCTCGTCCCGAGTATATGTACGCTCATTGGGAGCCTGAGCGGGGGTTGCAGCTGGCCTTCTTGAAGCAGCTTCGCCATCCTGGAACTCAAAAGAGGGGCTGCTTGGGGTGAAAGGGATCCGACCCTCCTTTTCAGGTGTAAGGAAGCTACACCCCGACTTATTTTTCTGAACGGACGATGGATCAGCCGGTGTACTGCGAGCTACTGCATCTAAATCCTTCTGCGAATTCCGGGCAGTGATATCTCCTTCTTCCATTGTTCTCTACGTTGATAGCTCAGATCTGGACTTCCGGGGGGTAGATCTGATATTTTCCCGGAAGTTATCCCCAAGATTTTTAGATCTTTCCCACAGACGGCGCCACTTGATTTTGTCCGTAGGTCTTCGTCTTCCTCAAGCCAGCTTCGTCCGTACTCCGGTGGACAGACCTGCAACGCCGGGAGGGGTTCCCGGCGGGAAAGCTCCGACGATCAAGTCAGTGATCGGAATAAAGGGAGAGACGTGTATGTAATGTAATAGTAATAAGTGTATATTCTCGTGTGTGTACGTATGTTGATTCTCCTATTTATAGATGAGGAAAGCTTGGCCTCCAAGGCTTTCCTTTTTTAGGGTTTCTCTTTTCCCCCAAGTCATGTATCTTGGGCCTGTATTGTCCTGGGCTCGCCTTACCCCGTTTTGGTATTGGGCTGGCGAGTTAAGGTACTCCCACGTAGTTCCGAGGTTCGCGCCATACGACGACTTCGCTCATAGTACCGAGCTAAGGCATCATGGGTTCTTCATTATGGGCCTACCATATTGGGCTTACCCTAATGGGCTTATGCTTATTTGTTACTTGTCAAACTAGCCCATATCAATCACCATTCCGATCGGGAATCGGTTAGGGTTCTTGATAAATGGATCCCAATTATAATTACCACGACTATGGGTGTTGCACTTAAGGAGTTTCGTATTCTATTTTTTCGCCAAAAAAATTGCATCTTTCTACATATCCTGACAACAAGAAGCTAGATTTATGTTGGTATTTTCCTTCAAGAGCTAATGGTTGTTTCTTTTCTTCTTCTCGGATTGGATCTATTCTTTTATTGTTTTTGCCACCTGTCAATGAGTTTGGTTTCTGCTTTTATATGTACACTTCTTAGAACACAGTAAAAGAATGCTGATCATCAAGGGAAAAACACAGCTTCGATTCAACAACAATTACACTTTGTACTCATCATTAAAAATAAATAAATAAAATTTGGTCAGCTGCGAAATTCGAAATAAAATCTTCTTGTCATGATCTGCTACAATCAAATTTAATAAATACAATAACAGCCTGGATAACAATACAAGACATGGGATCGATCACTTTGGACAAAGGGGTTTGTTTACACAAACATAAATCTATTATCACAAACCAAGGAATGCACATTGCTTTCTAGCATGTTCCGGAATCAGCCTTCCCAGCATCTCCACCGCCACGCCCTTGAGCTCTAATCACCCAAAACAGGTCAATTAATTCAACTAATTGTGATTTAAGGAGCACTTAATCTGAGTATATATATAGTGGGGATATAACTGTAAAGAAGAAGAGGTGAAGAAGAGGTCACTCACCATGTGGCTTAAAGTTGAACAAAGGTGGAACAACCCTTCCATTTGGCAGCCGAACATTTGGGTCCCGCAGCTCGTCAAAGAATGGATGTATCATAGCCTCCAGCTGCATCACAAAACCAACCACATTCATTCATTAATCATCACTCAACTTCATTAAACAAACTTCATTTCTCTCTCGAACTACTATTTTTAGATATCCGAGCAAAATTTCAACAAGTTTTAATAATACTCACAGCAGTGCATCTCAGATTTGGAGAATACTGTAGTAGCCTTGAAACAAGATCCGTGGCTTCTGGTGGCATGCGCTTGTGAAATATCTAAAGATTAAAAAGTTTGACATAATCAGAAATAAATTCAGAAAAATGATAGCTTAAAGGGAACAAAACAAGTAGCTAGTGTCTAGTAGCATTCCATCATTACCTTGTGCCACGGGTGGGCTTTTATTTGGGGGAACTTGAACTCGGTGTAATTAGGGTTCATACATTTGATTTCCTCTCTTGTTGGAGTGCCCAGGACCTGCATGCAAACAAACATATATTAATTGACTATTCATTTGCTAACACTAAATATACCATAAAGACTATACAACAAAAGGTAGTGTGGTTTTAAATAGATAAACGCGCAAAACGGATGTATTAAAGGATTGAACTGCCTCATGATTTACCTTAATGATTTCGACAAGCTGATCGACTCCACTCTCACCAGGGAAAAGAGGCTGAAATTTCCATATTACAACTTATTCAGTTAATTGATTCAAGAATGTAGTTCAAGGGGAAAAAAGAGTAAAAGTCAACTGATTGACCAACCTGTCCAAGCAACAATTCCGCCATAACACAACCTGCAGACCAGATGTCGATGGCACTAGTATACTCTGTTGCACCAAATATGAGTTCTGGAGCACGATAATACCTTGAACATATGTAAGAAATGTTTGGCTCCCCTTTGACCTACAAAATTGAGTCGAAAATAAGATAAATGACATAACAAATAATATAAGTGGGAAGGGATACGTCGATCAGAGAAGGGAAAAAAAAAATAAAAAGGAAAATTAGCACGCACCAGTACTTTAGCACTTCCAAAATCACACAGTTTCACTTGGTGAGTATGAGGATTCACCTATAGATAAAATACCAATCAGCATATTACAATTACTAGTTGCCACGATACACATTGAGCTAAAATATACTTACCAATAAATTTTGTGGTTTGATGTCCCTGTGGCATACTCCAATACTACCATGAATATAAGCCAATGCTCGGAAAATCTGATCAAAAAAAAAAAGTTCAGCTCAGAAAAAAAAAAAGACGACTTGGACCAACTTAAATACCGAATTAACATATTGAATATTTTAAGCAAAATGTCAACAAAAGAATTCGCAAGTGAAACAAAGTATACCTGATAAGCATAAAGTTTGACGTATATCATAGGCATCCTCTGGCTCATCTTATTATAATGTCTAATAACTCTATGAACAGTCTCAGGAACATACTCCAACACCAGGTTAAGGAAAAGCTCGTCTTTCTCAGTCGTTGAAAAGAAACAATGTTTTAAAGACACAACATTTGGGTGGTCTAGAAGGCGCATTGTTTGCAGCTCACGGTTCTTGTACCTCTTGTCTTGAAGAACCTTTTTTATTGCAACTGTTTCCCCTGTTTCTAGGCATTTAGCCTACACAGAAAATAAAAAATAAAAAAATAAATAAGAAATTTCTAATTGTTGTTTTTCCACCATATAAAAAAAGCATGGCAACTACAAAAGCTTACCTGAAAAACAACTCCGAAAGATCCCTGTCCTACAATACGCTCAGCCATGTAGCTGATTGTCTGATAAACAAAACGATGAAAATCTATTAAGAGGCGAGATAATAAACAAGCTTACAAAGTTTATCACAACCAAAGTCTAAGAAGCGAATTTCACCTGTTTTGGTTGGCCATTTCTGCCACCAATAGTTGTCACAATTATATGACCGGTTTCTGTTCCATTACCATCTACAACAGCTGGTTCCATATCCTACAAAGTATATCACAGCCACAGTTATTACATCTATCAAGTAATCAACTGTAATAAATAATGATAAGGCGTGCGTATGCTCATACCTTTTCATCCCTGAGCTTCATCTCATTCATTTCATCCGGCAGCCTATCTAAGCTACCAGTTTTTCGACCAGGATCTCTAACACCCAGTGAAGGAGCCACACTTACGGAGGCCATTACTCTTTTTACAAGAAAAATCGACCGATTTTTCACACTTCTACAAACTCTAATAGATAAATTCAGAACCTACCTGCAATAAATTCAAGGTACAGTTAAAACAGAGATGCCTTTCACAAAAGCACTTACTACAATAAATCCATGAAAATGCATCTGGTTGTATCAAGCAACATTACAACCAACTACGAGATTCATATTATGCAATTGACAAGTGTAAATTGTTCGAAAGGCAATTCTTGGAGCAATTAACAGTTAATTTAGCATTGAATGCATATTTGCATAATAATCACTTGTCCTAAATTGAAAAATAGATTGCTAAAATTTTTCAAAATTATAAAACAAAAGGTAAACCTACAGTACACAAAATTCCAGGCAATTATTATAAGCGCACCCAGAAATATATAACAACAACAACAATAATAATAATAATAACACAAAATAATAATAATTAGAGAAATGATTAGAACGAGATCTGGGAAGTAAAATCTAGTCCACAAAGATCAATCATATCCTAAAAATTGAAACAAAAAGAGAAAAGAATAACCATCAAGATGGATTATTTCCAAATCAAAACGTAATCAAGTGGCTAATTTGTCGATGTGATGCGCAAATTCCAACAAAAATGAGAAAACAAACCCCAGAACAACAAAAGAAAATGTAAAAGGGTTTAACAGCAATTAACCCAACCCTCTGAACAAACTTCAAAACCAAACAATTTAAAGAAACAAAAAAAAAAGTACAATTAGAGTGGAAATAAAGAAGGCAAACTTCTTCATCTTGTTAAATTAAAAAAATAAATTTAATAAAACTGGAAGCTCGGGATTTGTAGCTGTACCGGTTAGATCAATGGATTACTCAACTCTCCTTAGTGCTAAAAATCTTCTTCTCGTTTATTGGTTATCCCTGTAAGAATGAATGGTTTATGAGGTAATAATGGTGAATAGGTATTTGATGGAGTGAGTCAACAGAAAAATGACTCAGGAAAAGCAATTATATATTAATTAATTAATTAATTAATTAATTAATGAAGAAATGGAAAAAAAAAATAGTTTACTGGTACAGCAGCAGCTGCATTTCTTTGCTTTTGACCGTTCAAACCCTCTTTTGCTTTTTCAAAATTTTATTTTGTCTGTCTTCTTCTTCCCCTTCCCCACAAACCACCATTTTTATTTAATTAATTTTGGAGTATTTTCTATTCTCAAATTTGCTGTCTTTCTCTGTTTCCAAGATGACTGGTCAATGAGAATCAAACTAGCACGGCGCCGTTTTGACCGGGTGCCTCTAATTATTTATTTTCTTTCTCTTTCCATGTGCCTTTTCAATTAATAACAAATAAATAAAATAAAAATTAACTCTTTGATGGTTAAATTACTATTAAATTAAGTTGGCAATGGGTCACCTTCATTGAACAAGTTGATGATAAGCCCAAATTTGTCAAATTGATGCCAATAACTTCTTTGTACCTGCTCTTAGTTGTCAATACATACATTTATTATTATTGTATCTCAACTTCATAACTACTCCAAATGTATTTATTTAGGTTGCATTCAAATAATATATACTTTAAAGAAAATTTCATAACCCATAAACTTAAATAATTTATTTCTACCTACCTACTTAATTAAGGATAAGTTATATGGAAGTTATTAATGGATTTTTAAATATTCTTTTTTTTTTTTTGATCGTGATTACAAGTTTCAAGATTAGTATTGTTAATTGAATTGAGGAAAAATTGATGTATTCTTCTCCATAGGAGGCACTATTTATACACTTAGAGAGAAAGCTATACAAGGAAATTACTAATTACAATGAAATCAAATCTCCTAACTTATGTAAAGCATATCAAATCAAATCTCTAACTTATGTAAAGTATATCAAATCAAATCCCTAACTTATTTCCTAAGAATATACATTAACAGCCCCCCTCAAACTCAAGGAGGGTGAGAAACCAACTTGAGATTGTAGATCAAATCACGATGACGTCCCTTAGGATGAGGCTTTGTGAAGATATCTGCAAGCTGATCTTTGGAAGAGACCGAGAAGAGCTTGAGAACACCTTGAATAATGTGTGAACGGATAAAATGACAGTCTATCTCAATATGTTTAGTCCGTTCATGAAAGACATCATTGTGACTAATATGGATAGCACTTTGATTGTCACAATGAAGAGGAATGGGAGAGGATGTTGATACTCCTAAGTCCTTGATAAGCCATCGAAGCCAAAGTAGCTCAGATGTGGTATCCGCAAGAGCACGGTATTCTGCTTCAGTGCTGGATCGGGCAACAAATGTTTGTTTCTTACTTCTCCAAGATATTAGAGATGTGCCAAGAAGAAAACAATAACCAGTAGTTGACCTGCGATCAGTGGGATCTCCAGCCCAATCACTGTCGGAGAATGCTCGAAGAACTAGAGGCGACTCAGCAGAATAGAAAAGGCCATGAAAAAGAGTACCCTTTAGATAACGAAGGATGCGTAGAACGGCAGCATAGTGTAGCGATCTTGGAGCTGATAGATATTGACTCACTTGATGAACCGCATATGAGATATCAGGACGAGTGACAGTAAGATAGACTAGACTGCCCACCAAACGCCTATAAAGTGACGGATTTGACAACAGTGTCCCCCCTGAGGGAGTCAAGTGAGTATTTAGTTCAACTGGAGTGTCAATGATCTTGCTATCAGTGAGTCCGGCTTGAGATAAGAGATCAGATGCATATTTGGCCTGAGTAATGTAAAGACCATCTTTGGAGTGAGTAATCTCAAGCCCCAAGAAGTAGCTGAGGTGACCGAGATCTTTCATTTCAAACTGTTGACTCAGAAAATCCTTCAATTCTTGAATTCCACTAGGATCGTCACCAGTTATGATCATATCATCCACATATAAGAGGAGGAAGATGGAGCCTTTGTCAGTGCGACGAACAAATAGGGCAGAATCATAACAACTGGCAGAGTAACCCAAATGAGATATAGTGGAGCTGAATTTGGCAAACCAAGCTCGAGGGGCTTGTTTAAGACCGTAAAGAGCACGACGAAGATGACAGACCTTGTCTGAATCAACAGATAGTCCTGGCGGAGGTTGCATATAGACGTCTTCAGCTAGTTCTCCATTTAAGAATGCATTTTTAACATCCATCTGAAATAGATCCCACTGACTAGCAGCGGCAACGGCCAAGAGAGCGCGAACTGAGGAGATTCGAGCAACTGGAGCAAAAGTCTCCTCATAATCGATTCCATACTCTTGAGTAAAACCCTTTGCAACAAGACGAGCCTTATATCGCTCAATGGATCCATCAGAGCGAGTCTTGATCTTGTAGATCCACTTACACCCAACAACAGACTGTCCCGGAGGGAGAGTAACAAGATCCCAAGTATGGTTTTTAGATAATGCATCAAGTTCCTCTCTCATGGCATTCTGCCATAAAGGGTCGGTGGAAGCCTCATGATAGGAGTTAGGTTCGTGCAAAGTGGCAAGAGTAGTGTAACAATGATAATCAAGTAGATGAGAAGGAATAGATCTTACCCTATTTGAATGGCGAGGCGGTAGATGGTCTGTAGGATCCTCAAGCGGAGCAGGAGCAAGGGACTCATGTTCAGAACTGGGCAGTTCGTGTGCGACCTGTTCATTTTCCACCTGTTCATTTAGGGTTGGGCTGGAGCGAGGAGTAGAAGTATTTTCAAACAAGTCGATAGGAGAAGGAGACTCGTCCAAAGATATATCTAACTCGGGTGAGGCACTTAAAGAAGGACGAAAATGTGAGAGTTCAACAAAAAGACGATGTTCCCAAAAGACAACATGACGAGAGACACGAAGACGATGAGAGATAGGATCATAACACCGATAGCCCTTTTGAGTTTCTCCATAACCAAGAAAACAACAAAGGCGAGATCGAGGCTCGAGTTTGTTGTGTTCGTGTGGTTGAAGAAGAACAAAACAAGCAGTACCAAAAGAGCGGAGGTGATGATAGTCTGGAGATTTCATAAAGAGTCGCTCGTATGGAGTTTCATTTTGGATAACAGGACTTGGTAAACGATTGATAGCATAAATTGCATTCAAGGCAGCTTCACCCCAAAATGGAGAGGGAATTTTTGCAGAGAGAAGGAGAGCACGAACAGTGTCAAGAATATGACGAAGTTTTCGCTCGGCTCGACCATTTTGCTGAGAGGTCCCTGGACAACTAAGGTGATGAATAGTGCCATAGGAACGAAGGATATTTTGAAAGGCATTTTGAGTATATTCAAGAGCATTATCAGATCGAAAAGTTTTGATGCGCTGTGAAAATTGAGTTTCAACCATTTTTGCAAAATTATCATATATTGACAATAGTTCTGAGCGAGATTTCATAAGAAAAATCCAACTATAACGAGAATAATCATCAATAAAGACAACAAAATATCTAGAACCACCAATACTAGTAACGGGGGAGGGACCCCAAACATCAGAATGAACTAAGTCAAAAATTTTATTGGAAACTGATGAACTAGTATTAAATGGTAAGGCTGGTTGTTTACCCAACTGACACGAGGTGCAATCAAAATGTTCTTTAGACACAGAACCTAACACACCTTTAGAAGCTAATTGCTGAATACGAGATGTAGGAGCATGACCAAGGCGAGAGTGCCATAAAACAAGGGAAGGTGAAGAAGATGTAGGTGTAACTGCAGCAGCAACAGAGATAGGAGCAACAGGTGGAAGACGAAGATTATCCACGGGAAACATACGCCCAATTCTAGGCCCGGTCCCAAGCTCCTGTCCCGTCCTCGGATCCTGAACAATACATCCAGAGTAGTCAAAAGTAAGACGGTAGCCTAGTTCAGCTAATTGTCCCACAGAAAATAGATTATAAGATAGGTCGGGAATGTGAAAAACGTCGGGAACTAGAATATTTGAAGTTGAAACCGGCCCTAAGTTTTTACCATGTAAAGTGGAACCATTTGCTATATGAATGTTTAAAGGGTGTTGAGCAGGTTCAAGTTTAGAAAACAAGGAGGAGTGAGGGGTCATATGGTTGCAACATGCTGAATCGAAAAGCCAAGTTTGAGACTTACCAGGTAGGACTGAGAGAGCAGTGGAAAGAGATGCATTACCAGCCATACGAATAGCCTGAGTTATTATATCTTGTAGTTCAGGTGATGTAAGATGTATAGTGGATCCAGAAGACTGGGACACGGCTGAGGTGGAAGTCATTGGCGGAGTGGACTCGGTAACTGCAACGGTGGATTTGTTCCGACGATAACATGTATCGATGGTGTGGCCCGGGCGTTTGCAGTAGTTGCAAAACTTTTTGGTCGGCTGTCTACGCCGGTTATCGAACCCTGAATGAGAAGGTTGCTCTGTGTTGATAGGGGGAGCAACTGCGAGGACATTGAGCTTATTCTGCACTTGAAGAGTTGCAAGACGTGTTTCTTCTCGGACCAACTCATTAACAGCTATATCAAGAGATGGAAGCGGACTACGGTTGAGAAGCTGACCTCGGATCGGTTCAAATGCTTTGTCAAGAGACATTAAAAATTCATAAAGACGAAATTCGTCTCGGACAGCAGCACAAAGTTGAGCATCTTTAGGGCACGCCCAAGCTGGTTCAGATAAATCAATTTGGTCCCATATGTAGCGGAACTGATCGTAATAATCATTGATGGATTGCCCTGGTTCTTGGCGAAGTTGGTGCAATTCAACAACCAACTGATATTTCATAGAGCCATGAGAAGTCGAATACCGTTTCGCTAACATGTCCCATGCGGATTTGGCATCGTCATAACTGCCCAATAAGTTGGAAATTGAAGGGATGGATGTATTTCGGAGCCATGTAAGAATCATGTGGTTGTGGCTGTCCCACTCAATTGTACGACCAACAAAGGCAGAGTCTGCTTCATCTTTTGCTTGAACAGGAATAGTGATTGCACCAGTACAATATTGCCAAAGCATTCGACCTTTAAGAAAACTTCGCATAGCTTGAGACCATGATAAGTAATTCTTGGTTCCCTCGAGAGTACTATTGATGGGTCGAGGAAGAAAATTATCTCTTTTGTCCATTTTTTTTTTTTTTTTTTTTTTTTTTTTTAATAAAAACGGACGTAAAAACTGAAATCTATGCGAAAAATCGGGTAAAAATGACCTAAAAGTCAAAGTCAACAGACGACTGACGTGGCGGACTGGCGCTGATGTGGCGGGCTGGCGCTGATGTGGCGGGCTGACTCAGCAATGCAAAACAGTGGTGATGTGGCTGTGATGACGTGCGGATGACGTCACAAAGATGCAGCCAACCAAGGGTGGAGCGCGTGAGCGCGTGGTCGCGTGGGCGAGCGTGGGCGCGTGTCGGCGCGTGGGCGCGTGTCGGCGCGTGGGCGCGTGAATTCTGCAGCGGCGGTACCTGGCGCGTGACGGCGCGTGACGGCGAGTGAGCGGCGCGTGTCGGCGCGTGAATGCGTGAAATTCTTCGGCGGCGGTACGGTGGCGCGTGAGACTGCGCGCAGGACCTTCTCGGGGCGCGTGAGGGCGCGTGCGGTCTCCGATGGCAGTCTGGTTTTCACCGATGTGTAGATCGTTTAACGGCGATCTTGGTGGTATGATCAGAATCGGGATCGGAGCGATGACGCACGCACAGCAGTGGTTTTATGGTGTTTCGGCGGAAGCGAGAAAAGAAAAAAAAAGACGAGAACACCACAATGAAACCAAAAAAAAAATTGCTAGATGATCAGAGATTGGCTCTTGGTACCATGTTAGTTGAATTGAGAAAAATTTGATGTATTCTTCTCCATAGGAGGCACTATTTATACACTTAGAGAGAAAGCTATACAAGGAAATTACTAATTACAATGAAATCAAATCTCCTAACTTATGTAAAGCATATCAAATCAAATCTCTAACTTATGTAAAGTATATCAAATCAAATCCCTAACTTATTTCCTAAGAATATACATTAACAAGTATCAAGTTCAACGTAATTGTTCCAGATGAGGAGACAAAATTATAAGGAAGCATAAAACGTGGATTAGAAAACGAGTTAATTAATAATTAGGTGTATAACCAGTAAATTAGAAGAAGGCATGTGAAGAGAAAAGCGCGCTAGAAGCCGACGCGCTTCTTTGGAAATTTTATATTTACATAAAGAGTGAATATATATGAATTCGTTGACCATGAATTTAGGGACTGAATATTGGTCATAATATTTATACTGCTCTCATCCAAATCCAATTCCAATTTTTTATTTCAGTTACAACATAAAAACGGAGGGAAATATATATAGGTGTTGGTCTCTGATCCAGTTTGAATAAAATCCAGATAATAAATTAAATATTAGATTTCATTTAATTATATTGACAAATGACATCGTACATCTATCATTCATTAGAGTCACGCACGCACCTTTTCTAATTACATTGGACCTGCAGATTTGAGTATATGATGATGAGTAGATAAATATAAAACATAGATTGAAAGTAATGAATTAATAGACGATATGATATATGAATGTAATTAACTTCCAGGTTAGAAACGCATGCAATTATTGATCGATGTAACCCTAATATAATTATTCTCTAGTCAGCGTCCAATACTAGTTCCTTTTACTGCTACTAATTTGGATGAAATGATTTAAAGTACTGATCAATGGATTAATTGAAATGCATGTGAGGAGTAATTAAGAGATAAAAGTGTTAATCATGGAACTGATGATCATCAAGATATATATTTAATTATTAGCTAGGATAAACTAGTAATTAGCAGGCTGCATATATCGCCAATAATTACTTGCGTCTAGACAATAATAATAATAATAATTAATAATGAAATGCATGCATGAATATGAAAATGCCAAAATGGGAAGAATCTGATCGATGTATATTTATTGGTTTGGCGTTTTTAGGTGAACATGCCTATATCCACTTCTCCACGTTTTTTAGGCAATCATGTCATAGCAGCCCTGAAAGAAAAACACATTTGTCCATTAACCTAAAATATATTATTATTACACTATTGTTTTGAAAAAGAAAAGGAAAAAAAATGGTTTATCTCATTATCTGGTGGTTCAATTATTGAAATGGTGGAAGTTATGCGTTTCGCACTTTGGGTGGCCAAGTTAGCATCACCCAAATAAGTTGGCCTTTTAATTACTTTTAACTATAAGTTTAGTTGACAAGAGTTTAAAATTCATTTAATTTGCAGACTTATTAAAACACAATCTTATCAAATTATATTAAATCAACTATACAATTAGTATTGAGAATATATATAATGAAACTGGAAAATCCAATAGATTAATATGATATGATGACATGATAACTAACTAATTTAACCCACCATCAACAGCCAGCTTTTTTCGAAATGGAAAAACACCCAAAATTGAGACCAATAATTCGAGTGTGAAGGAGTCATGGTTTGATGAAATTAATGTTGCCAAGTGTTAGCCCCTATTAACAATTAGCTAACCATTTTGCAAGAGATCGAACATTATATTTATAGTCGTTAGAGACCATATATATATGTATGAATAAATATGCATTATTGATTCCATTTTTTCCCTATTCTGTTAATTTCTTTAAGAAAAATTATTTGGTGTCATAAGTCTTTTGTAAAACAATGGAAAATTCTTGAAAAATGTAAAATATATTCAAGTCAAATATATAGTGCGTGGGCATTGACATTTCGAGAAGCAATTAATCAAAAGTTGTTAATAATAATGTAGAAAAAGATTGAAGTAAATTAATTATGATATATATATGATGAAATTGAAAGTCAACGGGGGGAAGGGGGCCATTTAATTTAATTTACGTAAAGCTGAAACAGATGCATTGGCCTGGCGCGTGTACAGAAGAAGAAGTAAAAGGAAACCTCCAGGTGTCCAGTTAGTTATATGAAAGATGCAGTTACGTGTTTAATTATTCCACCAACGACGACTTGTACGTACAGCTGACAGCCGGTTAATTCCCAGTTTAATTAGAGTTTTCAATTTTTCATCATCGATCTCTATAAATCGTGTATTCAATCCCACTTGTGCTCAATTTTGGCCATCTTAATTTCCACGCGCACAAATTAAAACAAAAATCCCAAACAAACAAAGTCCCAGAAAAGTATTCCTTTTTTCATTTATTTATTTATTTTAACCTCAATTATTCTTCTGAGTAGTCGAGATTACAGATTTTATCACAAGAAAAGAAAATCAAATCAAATCAATTCAATCATCTGAGAGAGAGAGAGAGAGAGAGAGAGAGAGAGAGAGAGAGAAGGAAGAAAGTATATATACATAAAATTTGTGGGATGGGAGCTGAAGCGGCTGAGGTGCAGGTGGTTGTTCGGAGGAACATCCCTCCTGCTCCTGTATTGGATTTGGATGTAAGCTTTCTTTTCCTTTGATTCATCCGATCCTCTACAAATATACTTATTTACTTCTTCTTTAATTATTTGTTTTCTGTAATATAATCTCACTTCTTCAATGGTTCTTCTTCTTTCTTGTTATAACATTCGTTTTATAAATTAATCTAGGATATATGCTTCAACTACAAAATTCAGTTTATTATATTTGATTGATGATGCCAAATCGCAAACCCAATTAAATTAGGAAGGGAATCAAGTTCAAGTAGTATTCATTCACCTTGTATATATAACAAGTGGCTACTGACTAGATTCTTTGCTCTGGAATCCATCCATTCCAGGCTATTTTCTCTTTTATCGTCTCCTTTTTCTTCCAAAGTAGCCTTTTTTAAAAAGATAAATTCTGGACCTGGTAATTATTTCATTGGTATGTGAGCTCAGCTCAACTCAGGAGGAATTCACTTCTGAGCTTTGATAAACACTGCTACCTAGGGCTGACTAAAAAGCCCCTAAGAACGCAGTATTATTACTTGCATGTTATTTTTGTTAATTACTCCTGAATTTGTGTGATCAGGCCGATATTAAATCTCCAGATAGCCCTGGGGCGAAATTTGTCCCGAGCATTCGTTCTGGTGGTTTTGCTGATATTGGTCCACGAAGATACATGGAAGATGAACATATAAGGATCGATGACCTGTCTTCGCATTTGGGATCACTCCTCACTCTTCCTGAGCCAAGTGCCTTCTACGGGGTAACTAATTTCTAACCCAAATCCTTCATCAATCTTATCATGGCCTTCCTCTAATTCCACGTTTCATTTGAACTTTTTACAGGTATTTGATGGTCATGGAGGACCAGAGGCAGCAGCCTATGTCAAAAGAAGCGCAATCAGATTCTTTTTCCAAGACTCTAATTTTCCGGAAACTTCCCAAGTCGATGATGCTTTTGTAGTAGAGGTCGAAAACTGTCTAAGGAAAGGGTTTCTTCTAGCTGATACGGCTTTGGCAGACGAGAGCACTGTTAGCACTTCTTCCGGCACTACTGCTCTGACAGCTCTTGTCATTGGAAGGTAGCTACTATATACATATATTTTTTTTTATCTATTTTTGGATTCATTAAAGTTGATCTTTTTTATTAATAACCACCCTTTTGACCTACCTAATTCCAGGCTTCTAATGGTGGCCAATGCCGGAGATTGCAGAGCAGTTCTCTGCCGCAAGGGTGAGGCGATTGATATGTCTAAAGATCACAGGCCAACTTACCCATCAGAGAGAAGACGGGTCGAGGAATTGGGCGGATTCATTGATGACGGTTATCTAAACGGTGTTCTATCGGTTACACGGGCTCTCGGAGATTGGGACATGAAATTCCCACGAGGCTCCTCCTCGCCTCTAATTGCAGAGCCAGAATTTCGTCAGATTATTCTGACGGAGGAAGATGAGTTTCTCGTGATTGGATGTGACGGTATTTGGGATGTGATGTCCAGTCAGCAAGCCGTTAGCCTCGTGAGGCGTGGGCTCAGACGGCATGATGATCCTGAGCAGTGTGCAAAGGATCTTGTGATGGAAGCACTTCGATTGAACACTTTCGATAATCTGACGGTTGTTATTGTTTCTTTTACTTGTTTGGATCAAACGGAGCAATCACCAACACGACAGAAGAAACTGAGATGTTGCAGCCTCTCTGCTGAGGCTCTGTGCAGTTTGCGGAGTTTCTTGGACTGAAACTGACTTTACTCGTCTCTTTCTCTTCACATTTATTTGAGGGGGAGAGTATAAAAAAAATATGTTAGCATTTTTGTTATGAGTTTTTTTTTGTTAACCCTAATAGTGGGCTTTGGTTTGGTGGGATGTACATAAGAATTGGTTGGTAGGTAAGAGTATGGGGGTGTAAAGAATTGACTAGTGTGTGTGTGTGTGTTTGTTACTTAATAGAGACAATGCTGAAGGTTGAATGACTTGTATTACTATTGGTGTTTCACATGTAATAAATATTTATCAGCTATGTCTATCATCTTGGAAACAGAGGACATAGAATTATGACATACAGTGAAACAATTGAAAAGGTAGGTAGTGTATTATACAAAGTATAAAGTATTCATCTTTACATGTATGTTATTTCATTTTGCATACAAAGGAATCAGAAGAATTAACTGACCAGCCCGGATATTACGTGGTCGATTCAACCGAGTAGCTTTTAGCGAACTTTGCAAACCGTTCCAAACCATTTTGCAGCAAGCTTTGAAGAAAAGGTTGCAGGGCCTAAATGAGAACAACTTAGTCAAATTAGTTCAACCAGAAAATTCTTGATATGTACATTTCAGATTCTGCGAATCGTCATCAACCAATTATTTCTATGTAACTAAGAAATTTGTTCTATGCAATGGATTTTTCAGAGAGAGTTGGAATACTTACAGAAGCGACTGGAGTCAGCAGTTGAGGGACTTCATATGAAACAGTAAGCTGAAATACAATAAAACCCAATATAAGGACATGTAACTAGCTCAGTGTTAGGGGTACCGCTCCCTCTTAATCTCATTCTTGCTGCCAAATGTTTAATAATATCACAAGGATTTAATACAAAATACAGCCAAAAAAAAATATAGAGTGGATAGTTTTCGAAGAAGCCGTACTTCTACCATACAAGAATCAGCACCTTTAGGAAAAAATCTTACAGCTCCCCTGCAGAAAATACGAAAAATTTAGTGTCAAGCCTAACTGAACAGAAGGGGTCTTGTACAGATTATTGCTTGATTTTAAAAACAAATATTCGTTAAAAAAAAAAAAAAATTCCTTCATCTATTTAGTGAAATGACACGTATACCCATTCAAGATTTGTGAAAGAAAAGAGGAAAACAGCAGAGCTTGAGTACGAGTAATTCCTTTCCGAGATTTGCTTTTAAATTGGAGAAATCCAATTAACAGAAACTTAAGTGAAAATAAGCTTGCTTATTTCCAGACACGATGTCCTCTGTCGTACACTTTCCATTACCTATTAGGAAGACCCTCCAGAGATCTCCAGTGGATTTTCTGATTTATAATAGGCTGCACAAAATTAGTCACAGCAATACTTAGTAAGCAAAAGAATTGCATTAAAGATTAGTTAAAAAACTAGTGTAATTAACCTAAAAACTTTTTCCTTGAGCAGTTAGTTACCTGCATGTTTCGAGAAAGCCAAGCAAATTCAATATCACGCCCAAATGCTTTATACTTGAGTGACCATCGTGATAAATCAGGTTTATCCTCCAGAATCTATAAACAGAATCCCAATTTCAGAAAATGCATCGCAATGCTTATTATGTGTGACAACTAATTGAGAAACTAAATAGAGGAAATTCATATTTTCACAAACTTATGTTTACGCCATACTAAATTCAAGATATGCCTACTTCTTTGGTTGGGAAATGAAATTCAAGATATTAAGAGGTCAAAAACTGACAAGGTGAAAATGTAATATTCCTCCTCACCTTTACAGTTGAAATGAAGGGCATCCATTGAGGAATGGCTTCACGGTCGGAGTAACATTGATAAGCAACTGAAATTGGCACATCAATTTCCATCTTTACCCTGCAATACCAAACCTTACACTCTAATTCTAAATTAAGATTAACTAATTCTAACAAATCAAATAACATGGAACTAAGAAATTACAGCCATCAATAAAAGAAAAGAAAATTGGATTACGTGCAATCTTGCCATTCCATGACGGGAGTAAAGGGTCGACGGGATTTGACTCCGGTGAGGGAATAATGAGAAGTTCTCTTTTGGGTTTGGGTTTGTGGCGCATAGTATCTGCTGAAGCGGACTAGCTTCTTGGTGAACAGATGCCCGGGTCGGAGCCTGGAATTTTCCGGGGTCACCGTTGTGCGGTTGACCAGTGCAACAACTGCGGTTGCTGTAGCTGCAGACATTTGAGAGAAGACAGAGAAAGAAAGAGGGCTGCCAATCAGATTTTGAGACAGCCTATCATTTTTCACCAAAGATTTCATCATTTCCCTGTTAATTCTTTACACTTGGGTCGGGTCGCGGTCGCCCCATCTATTATTATGTTTACTCCACTCCAGTCCTTTTTCTTCGCTAAATAATAAACAAAAATTGGTAAATATTTTTAAAATACTATTTACTGATTATTAAAATCATCCGTGACGTGTCTTTTTCATGATCAATTTCAAGAAAAAGATTAAAAAAAATAAAAATAGTCCCAACAAATAATTCTCCGGAAAAGAAAATCGAACACAAAGTTACACTGGTTGAAATTAAGGAGATGAATATACAGCAAATATTTGGATGATCCCTACCTTGCTGTTGGAGAATCCAAGACACAGCAAAATCATCTACTTCCTGAAAGAATGTAAGTATGATTTTGTAACTATTTCTTCAATTAATCAAAAATCCAGACCACAAATAATATGATTAGAAAGGAAATCCTGTAGTGAAGTTCTTCTTCGAAGACTCTGCTAATCGCTTCACACTTTTTGCTTTATTATACACTGTGATTAATTCCAAAGCCTCCTTCTCTGGGTGACAAGTTATAAATGCTGCTACAAACCGCTTATCGGACATCCTCATTGCTGTCAAGAGTACAGGTCCCTTGATTTCAGGAACAAGCCCCATATCCTCTATTTTACACGCTATTTGAAACCGCGGTTTTAACACTGTCTCCAAATTGAAGTAGAGCAGGAACGGGTTTCGAAGTACAATACTGGCCGATAGCCTCATTATCCCCAGTATAAAAGTCATGTGCCTCTGTACCTTATCAATGGATAGCGTCAACACGAGTGGCGAACGCCCAATAAGATTACAAATGTCATCCTCCAAGAGTCCGTATTTCTCCAAATTCAGCACCTTCTCACGGATGGTCTCTATGCGCGATATGGCAAAGAGGGAGACAACGTGCTTGTACATTTTTGAATTCTTTGAAACTCCGGTTTTTCTGATATAATCAATCTTTTCGTCATCCAGGGAAGTTCTTGGAATCAAAGTGGGCCGAGATAGAAGCACGGTTATCAAGTCCGTTTTGCTAAGGCCCAATGACTCGTACATGGCAATGACAGGCTTGATCTTGTTGTGGAAGTCATACGTAAGGAGAGAAGGATTTCGGACAATGGCCTTGACTAGGACCTCCCTTGAGCCAAACAAGGACTCGAAATATTCAAGGCGTTCGTTTAAACAAACATTGATTTTGCAGTTGAGAAAACGTGGACGACAATGTACCATTTTTACAAGGTCGGAGGATTTGATGCCCAAACGAGAAAGTATTTCAAGTTTGGACTGAAGGATATGGATGTCCGTTTTACGTAAAGATGGGCGTCTCTCGAAAATCTTGGATATGTCGGTTTCGCTACAACCCCATTCTCTGAAAATATCAGTTGAGTTTTTAGGGATGTGTACAATTGCTGCTGATTCTGTCAGTTCGTGCGGAGTTTCGACAATATCACAAGCTGTGGTATGGAAAAGACCAGGTTTTAGAAAATCGGGAAATGAGGTGAAGGGGAATAACTTATGATTATAAGAGGCAATATTATCGGTCTTCTGAGATTGATGTAGGCCCTGAAAACATCAATAAACAACATCCTTTTAGCCCACTTTCAGTAAACAGGCTGAGATTTCAATAACAGGCAGAACCACATAATAATAGCCAAGGAATATAACGAAAAACATGTAGCACAAATAAATTTCCAATATTTCAAATGAGCTCAACAACCCTAACTATTTTCAATGACTATTAGAAGTTAAAGAGGGGGAGAAATGAGTAAATAATTAATACAGATCACTCCATAACTTGTCCGTTCTTTGATATTTTCTACCAAACGAGCAGCCAGTCAGTACATTGGACAAGGTAGTCAAGTAGCATGAACTGTAAAACTAGTTGGTTCTTGGGCATAGTTACAACTTACAACCATCAATTATTTACAGTGCAGATCATTCCACTGCTTACATTCAAATACTAAATATAAAATGCTTATTTTCATTTACACAAGCATCGTGTGTTATATGTCGGCGAGTTCTCAAAATCATAGCAGAAATAAAGAATTGATGAAGAAAAGCAATAGCCATATATGCTCAATGGGAGACTATTCCTGAATTGGTTTCTTATTCTTTCCAATACAATTAGGAAACAAAATCAATTAGACATAAAACTATAATTATCTTCCACCAGAATTGATAACGAACAAAATGCCACAACCACTAAAGAATTAGGGAATTTAAAAAAACATACTACAAATTTCATGAAATTGAGAGGGAAACAAAAAACAGAGGAATAACGAAGAAATCACCCACATATATATATATAGAGAGAGAGGGAGACGTAAGCAATAGTAGAAGGGAACTTACAGTTACAGTGGATAGGGAGCTGAAAAAATGGTTGTGGAGGCGGCGGGTAAATTTAGCAGCACCTCTGCTAAAAGCGTGCAAAAATACCATTTAATTTATTTATCTACAACTAATCCAAAATTTAAAATAAACAAACAATAAAGTCAATTTGGGGGAAAGGGTATCAATGGCGTTGCCTGTATCTAGTGCTCTGTCAAATTGAGAGAAATCGAATGAGCGCTCAGCGCTGCTGGTAAGTGGTAACTGGTTCTCAGTTCTCACCAAGTCTGAAAGGAAGAAATGAATAAAATGGGCTGCCCCGACATTTCAATTAATATTTAATTATGAAGCATATGTCTTCCAAAATAGACCCACTAGTCAATAGGCCCAATAAATGCTTGGAATTGCTATTTGGTTTGGGTTTCAGAATAGGCCCAACAATTTCCTGCTTCATATTCATTTTTCTAATTATTAATTAATTTTTAGTGGTAGTTTTCACAATCTAATAATAGGTTGTTTTTTTTTCTGTATAATTTGGTGTAATTGAAACAGACATTAAGCATGTGTAACTTAACAACACGTTTGTTTAAGCAAAAGAAAATCAGATTATTCCAAATATAATGGTAATTTTCAGAATCTAAATAATTGGGGGTTGATACTAATAAAGTAAACTTAATTGATTGACAATAATATATAATAAAGATGTATGTTGTATACGCAAATGAATTTAATTAACCACTCAATGATATAATGGCCAGCTAATAATGTGAATATCAGTCTACACGTCTCTCTGTCTCGAGCTCTGAATCCTACCCTGATCGAGGACCGGCCGCCCCCAACTAGCACTAATACTACTTCATTCTCCCTCCTTCTCTCTCTCTCTTTTTCTTTAATTTTTTTTTTTAAATAAATATATGTGCAAAGTATAAAATATATGAACATTAAAGAATATCTAATATTGACTTGTATTATATATCATATCGTAATTAATTAATAAATAAAATGTGAACTGTATAAATAGATTAGCCAACTAGATCGATCAATAGTAATAGTAGTTGATAGTACTCCATATATATTCTTCATCTATATATTAAAGGGCCGGGCAGATCAGACGACAGCATAATCCAGATCCACCAAATTATCTTCCGATCCTCAACTTTGCACGTACCCCCTCCCCTCCTCTCTCTCTCTCTCTCTCTCTCTCTCTCTCTCTCTCTCTCTCTCTTCATTCATCACCATCAACATGTCAAAGCCAAGGTACTTGATGATGAATTTCTATCTCATCTCGATAACAATATTTATGGGCTCACCATGCAAATTAATATATATATTTTTTTACATGTATATAGGTTGGAGGGCAAGGTAGCACTCATCACCGGCGCCGCCAGTGGCATCGGAGAAGCTGCGGCAAGATTATTCCTGGAGCACGGCGCCTCCGTGGTTGTAGCGGACATTCAAGACGAATTAGGCCGTCAAGTCATCGCTTCGATTAACTCCGACAAAGTGAGTTATCATCACTGTGACGTAAGAGATGAAACCCAAGTGGCCGCCGCCGTTGCTTACACCGTCAAAAAGTACGGCCGGCTGGACGTACTGTTCAGCAATGCCGGAATTATGGGACCACTGACGGGCATACTGGATCTCGACATTCAAGGACTGGACAACGCAATGGCCACCAACGTACGTGGGGTCGCCGCCACAATAAAGCACGCAGCCCGGGTCATGGTGGAGGGGAAGATAAAGGGATCCATCATTTGCACCGCCAGCGTGGCGGCGTGCATAGGAGGAGCCGGCCCACACGCTTACTCGGCTTCGAAACACGCTGTGGTTGGTCTGATGAAGACTGCATGCGGGGAGCTTGGTGAGCATGGGATCAGAATAAACTGTATATCTCCTTTCGGGGTGGCGACGCCGCTGGCTTGCGAGGCTTATGGGCTGAAGCCGAGCGAAGTTGAAGACAACAGCAGCGCCTTGGCCAATTTGAAGGGACTTGTTTTGACCACTAAGCACGTGGCGGAGGCCGCCCTGTTTTTGGCTTCCGATGAATCGGCTTATGTAAGTGGACAAAATTTGGCGGTTGACGGTGGTTTTACGGTGGTTAGCCGGAGTTCCTTCTGACAACTACTTGATACGGTCGTTTATTTTTATTCTTTTAAATTTTAATTCGTTGTTGGGTTGGAGTTTTCCATGTGCCTTTTTTCCTGGTAATACGCACTTTAATTCATTTGAACTCGTGGTCAACATCGCTTATTGACAACTTAACGATTTCTATTTAAATATTTAAAAGTAAAAAGGAATTGTTTGTGAGTTGACTATTCCTACAACAAATGAATTGATTATAAGACAAGTTGTAAGTTGACTATTCCTGCTTATACACTTAATAATAATCTAAGTTATTTAAAATTATTGATTTTATTAAAATAAAAAGATTGAGAACATATTCCGCAATTTGGGTCTAGAACCCATTGGGTCCCTCACTCAAATCCTTAATTCAAATCAAATGCAACTCAATGCTAATGGGAGTTTCCATAATAAGGAATGCAAATCCTTCTTATTATGCATTTCTTTTAATTTCATAAACCAATCAATCGAACTCGAACGAGATTGAATCTACTCCAACACGAATCAATTACAACACTTAATAAATAAATAAAAAGTATCTAATGAACAATTTTGAAGAATCAAACTAACTTGAATTATTTATTTGAGGTGCCAAGAAACTTGAATTGTTTGAGAAAGAAACTAATTTAGTGGGCTTTCCTTCCCACCTACCATGCTACTCTATTTTCTCCAGTTCTAACTTTCTTTTCTTTTCAATCAAGAAATCAAATTAGATGGAGAATTCATCAAGTATGTCGGTGGAATACTGGGTGCGGTGGCAAGTGCTTGTTTGTGCCCTCATTTTCATCCTCCCGACGGCGATCGCAGTCGTCTTCCTCCGTAAGAGGGGCGAAAGTGGCGTGAGAGGAACATTGAAGCCGGCGGATCTGTGGGACCCATGCTGGAGGAATCTACATCCTCGATGGCTTCTATATTACCGTGCTTTCGCCTTTGTTGCCATGGCTTTCTTTCTTTATCAGACAGTCGCTGCCTTCGGATTCTTCGTCTTCTTTTTCTACACCCAGTAAGCAAGCACCTATATATAGATCTCCAACCATTTCCTTATCCAATTGCTTTTAAAAATCAATAACCCCCATTTTTACCCTCAGGTGGAGTTTTGCGTTGGTCATGGTCTACTTTGCAGTAAGTACAACGTTAATGCTCCCTTTTTGATTACTGGTCTAATTAATTAATTCAGACATCTGGGATATATAATCATATGGGCTTTTCTGATTGTTAACTTGTTCGAGTATAGCTTGCTACCATTGTATCTATACGGGGATGTAGGATTCATGGGATTAGACCAACTCAGAACGGTGAGAGAGATAAATTTCTTAACAACAATTCAGAAGAAATTAACCATGGAACAACTTCACCGTCCAAAGACAAGGAAAACAAGTTTGAACTTCATCGGAACCAGACTCCTATTATCGAGCAACTTCGGTTTTTGGATAATCTTTTGCTGATTGTTTATCAGGTCTGTCTATTCAATTTTCCTAGTTTTGCTTCCTGTGGATGCTAGTGTTCGACTCTGTATTCTTGCGAAAGAATAAAAAAAAACAAAGATCATCTTTTTGCCTTAGATTGTGAGAACAAGTGATGAATAACTACTTACCGACGATTTTGGATAATCCGGTCACATAATTCTGAAAAGGATATGTTTGATGAGTAGTTGAAGTTTGAACAAGATAATCGTATTTCCAGTATATATTAGGGGATCGCTCATTAGGCTCGTTTAACAAGGTGGCATGGCTAAAACACAATTATCTGGCTTTTAATTGTGTTGAGATTAATATACAAGTGTTTCAAGCCACACAGCTTTGAAAAAGACTTGATATTCTGATTTGTATTTAACAGACATGTGCAGGTGCTGTTATGCTTACGGATATAGTATTTTGGTGTCTTTTGCTGCCATTCATGACCGGTGATAATTTTAAGCTCACTTTGGTGAACCTCTCTCTCTCTCTCTCTCTTTTCTGCAACCCTCTAATTTTGTTTGTCCTAGTGTCAAGTTGATTGTTTCCCATTTCTAACATTTCAATTATGACAGTTGATTGGATGCATGCACTCTGTAAATGCTGTTTTTCTTATCATTGAATCCGCTCTCAGTCGCATGGTAAGTTACAGAGTCCATCTCCCCTATTTGTTACTGCAGCAGCAGAATAACTTTAGTTATATGCTAATAATGAAATATATTCTTCAGCCATTTACGTGGTTTGGTCTCATCTACTTTGTGATGTGGAGCTGTGCTTATGTTGTTTTCCAGTGGGTTCTTCATGCCTGTTGCTTCACATGGTAATTTTGCAATCCTACATTACTACAATATCCATTCAATAATATGATTTCGGTTGAAGATAATTTTGTGGGTGCAGGTGGCCGTATCCATTTCTTGATCTTTCAACTCCATGGGCACCTTTATGGTAAGAATTGAGTATTGCTCTTCGATTTCCATCAAATGAACATACTTCGTTTATGTAATGGATGTTGAAATTGTCAGGTATTTGGCTCTGGCATTGGTTCATATTCCATGCTATGGACTGTATATGCTGCTTATGAAAGCAAAATACACAGCCCTCTCAGGAATGTTTCCCCATGCCTTTGTGAGGTCAATCTAGTTTCAACTTTTAGAGGCTATTTTTTTTAATTAAAATTCGATTTCTAATTGTGCACTCCACCAAATAACCAAGGACATGAGGCGACGTCCTGACAACGGTTTATTGCTTGGCAGGGTTTCAACACAGAAGAAAAATGTTTAGGCGTTTTTGGACATTCGATTAGTCAAGTTTACATGTATAACCTTACAAAGCTCCCATACCATATTAGATGGGAGATTATAATCTATTTAAAACATCCTTGTCAACTCAAGCGAAAAACTGATCGAGATTAAAATGAATAATCCAAACAGTGTTTTGACACTGGATTCTTCAACAATACATTTAATATCAGAGAAGACCCATGTCACTAGATTTAAAGAACAAAAACTATGTTATGAACATCCATGTCAACTTTAATTCTTCTGTATAGGTAAAATATGTACAACAATAAAATTTGTTCTGATAAATTTCACACAAATATAACATAAAATGGTAACAATAAAAGAACACCAGAGAGATGGTCCGTAACTGATACTAAACATATTTCTAATCCCTAAATTCCAACTATAACATAATTCATCTTTTTTGAAAAGGAACTAACTCAAAATCTCATCAAGCAAAGTAATTTTATAACCACATATTGTTGTGTATGTAATTATCAACCAATAGCAATATCAATTCAATGATAAAATTTAAGATTCGGATCATAATATAACAGCAGTAGCAGAATATTAATCTCACACTTTCAAATCTACTAATACAAAAACAGAGAAACCAAGGCTTATTACGCAAGTAAGGGTCGGCTTTACAGGATTAAATAGATTGCAGCACGTAAACACAAATGGACAACGTTCAAATCAATCTGAGAAAAGCACTTCAAATGCCTCGTAAAGAAGTAACGTTTATATACCACAGTAACTGGGGTTTAAATTTACCATACAGCCCAGATATTTCTAACAGCCATGTCTAGCAAAGACAAAGTATATGAGAACAGATCATGCCCTTAATGGAATACCCACACTTTAAGGCAAAACTTCAAAATAACTAGTGATCCAAATAAAATTCACAAAACTCGATTGTTCAATTATAACAATTTTGGAATCAGAAACAATGCCCGGCTCAGATTCTAAGCAGAATATAGCAATTCATTCAAAATCCAGACACATAGACAGAATAAGTTGACAGACAAATGCAGCAGTTAGCACTCCCTTACAACAAACAACAAGACACACTTCCCAAGTTTAAGAATATAACAATGCACATTCTGAAAATATGTAAAGGAATATCACACAATCATAACAATTTAGCAATCAAAGCAGTAGATGCAGAACTCAAGCATTAAAAAAATAAATAAACAGAGACATAATTAAAAGAAAGATAAATTAAAATTTAAATTCCAATGTCGGAACATTACTTCAAAACCAAAATTCATAATTTAAAAACCTAGATAACTGTCATAATAAAAGGAGTTCGCAAAACGATGAAAAAAGCATAAAATATCTCTCAATCTCAATCTCCAGCAGTCTTGGCGTAGACATAAGTAAGTCCACACTTACCACAGTAGTGCCTGTCAAAGTGATTCGCCATAAAAGTTCCAGCGCCGCACTCAGCATTCGGGCACTCCTTCCTCAGCCTCTGGACCTTGCCGGAATCATCAATCTTGTAGTACTGGAGAACAGAAAGCTTGACCTTCTTCTTCTTGTGCTTGAGCTTCTTCGGCTTGGTGTAGGTCTTCTTCTTGCGCTTCTTAGCACCACCACGGAGACGGAGGACAAGGTGGAGAGTCGACTCCTTCTGGATGTTGTAATCTGCGAGCGTGCGGCCGTCCTCGAGCTGTTTCCCGGCGAAGATGAGCCTCTGCTGGTCCGGAGGGATGCCTTCCTTATCCTGGATCTTGGCCTTGACATTGTCGATGGTGTCGGAGGATTCAACCTCGAGCGTGATTGTCTTGCCCGTTAGGGTCTTGACGAAGATCTGCATCTTCGCGGCTGCAAGGGGTGGCTAGGGTTTGTGTGCTGATGAAAAAATGAGTCTGCAATTTTCTGAAATGGGCAGACACGCTGTTTAAATAATCTTAGGGTTTCGTGGTGTTTGGGTGGGCTTATTGGTTTCTGGGCTGATTCGCTCACTTTCTACTTGGTTATCAAATAAGCCCATATTTGGACTTCCAAAATCCGGTAATTTTTTGGCCCACTTTTATTACTTTATTACATGCATAATTAATGATTATATATAATCATAATTTTGAATTCTTTTTTTTCCAACAAGTCAGTATTTCCCGATCGATTGGTAGGGTTTAAGAAGTAAGGCAGGCGAAGATTGAAGAATGGCAAGCCACTGCGAATTGTGGCTCCCCAAGAAGAAGAGATTCTGTGCAAACCCACCTCTCGCTGATTCCCAGTAACCTCTTTCTCTCTCACGCTCACTTTCGTCTCCATTCGACTACCCATTACTCATCATATCTTAATTTCAACGGTTTTAGATTCTGCGGGAATCACACCCAGAGGTCCGATTCTAAGTGGATTCTGTGCCCGATTGACCCTTCTCAGTAATAATCCCGATTTGTTATTTCATTAATTTCTCTAGCGTTGATTTCATTTGACGATTAATGTGGTGCTTGTTTAACAGCTCTGTGCTTGAGGAAAATCTTGATAGTCACTTAAGCAGATGTCCATTGCTGAAACAAACGCAGTCGCTAACGAGTCAACCATTCTACCAAAGGGGTATTAATGGTGGCAGAGAAGATGAAGAAGAAGAAGAGAACGCTGCCTGCAAAGATTCTATTTTCACTTCAGAGATGAAGAGGAATGCGGTCTATGCAATGTCTGCGCCCAAATTTTTGGAATTGATTGCTAAGATAAAGTCTGTTCATTCTTCCATATGCAGCAAAATTCCCGAATCTTACAAGATTCCTGAAGCTTGTAGCATTTGGACTAAAACACAATTTGACAGGTATTGAACAAAGCTCACATTTTTATCTGATTTTATTTTTTTGCATAAGCACTATGAATTGAATTTTTAAGCTGATTGAGTGTTTGTTGATGTCAGGAAAGTACCGTATCAGGAGAAACATGCTTTACAGCAGGCATCGATTCTTGGGAACTTGGAAGACTTTGGGGTGTTAAAGAAATCTGGGTTTACTTGTGATGCAATAGGTGATTCTAATGGGGAGTTGGAAAAGGATAGTGATATTTCTACAGTGGTCGAGTTCGGTGCTGGAAGAGGATATCTTACGCAGATGCTTGCTGATTGTTATGGGATCAAGAAGGTGTTATTGGTCGAGCGGAAGTCGTATAAGTTGAAAGTTAGTCAATCCTAAACCAATTTTGTGCATTCCTTTTTTTTTTTTTTTCTGAAACAAACTTCTTTATTTTTTCCTATTTTGTAATTTTCACTATTAATCACGAATTCAACTGTGAGTGAGGATGTGTTTGAGCTTCAGTGATATTTTCAGCCAGATTAATTGTTCTAATCTGTCGTTCATGCTAAATGCTACTTTCAGGCTGACCGGAGTTTGCGACAGAAAGAGAGCTTAGTATTAGAGAGGTTGAGAATTGACAGTAAGTTTTTCAAAACCTTATTTTTAACAATGGTTGAAATGAACTCTTGGCTATACTTTATCTCTTCATATTATTTTGCCTGTCACTGTTATATTATGCCTCAGATAGTGGATTGATAATGAATTTTCTAATACGCATGTATGTACAAGAGGAATTCCATTCATACTTTAGTGTCATTCACGTATTTATGAAATGGTTTAGCTGAAAATTATTTGAAGCTAGTAAGCAATGGAAACAACTGCAAATATTGTTTGGATTTAGAGATCTGTGGAATTATATGTGTTTTTCAAGGATACATATCGACTTCTCATAGTTGAATGTTTACACGTTATGCATAAGCTTGTCCTCTTTCTTCATGCTATGTTGTTCTATAGATATTCAAAATATCACCTTGAAACTTGTGTCCGCTGAGTACTTTATCATTGTACAAGTACTTTATATATCTTCGATTAACCAAAAACAAAATATGGGAGTCATGCATCAGTATGTTCTGCAGTGCCATAGAGTCTATATTGAATGTGGAAAGTGTTTAGCATGTGGCAAAAAAAAAGTGTTGTATGTGTGTTCTGTTCCTACATTTTGAAGGTAAAGTTAGTTTCTGTATCGTCCCAGAATGTGCCTGCACTTGAGATATGATGATATTAAAGCCTTGAAATTGCAGTTGAGGATCTAAATTTGAATGCGGTAGAATCATTACAAGGAGTTGCGTATATGGCAATTGGCAAACATCTGTGCGGGCCTGCAACAGGTAACTGAAATATTTTGCAATCGGCAAACATCTCTGTATTTATTGCATTAGATGGGAGTATTATGTATGATTGAACAATGTGGATCCAGATATGACATTAAGGTGCTGCATTAATGAACATTGTGATGGGCATACGTCCGAAGCAGCAACTGGTTACCTAAGAGGCCTAGCTATTGCTACATGTTGCCATCATCTCTGCCAGTGGAAAAGCTACATAAGTAATCAACACAAACTATCAATTAATTTTCTCTGGATTTGGGGTATTAATAAAACAATTTTTTAATGTTGCAGATAAGAAGTATATATATGATATGGGTTTGGGCAAGGAAGATTTCAATGCAATAACTTGGTTCACAAGCTGGGCAGTTGATGCGGACCATGGGTCGGAGTTATCTGCCGTAGATTCATCTGCTCAATTTGAGATAGTGTAAGATGTGTTATGATTGAAATAGGGGATCATCTTTGTATATAATGTAACTGATTGATGGTAATTGTAATGGTAATGGTATAGGAGGAGGAGTGAGAAGAAAGAGGTGGTGGGCATGGAGTCGGAATTATTAAGCGGAGTTGGAGATATAGTGAGGAATATGGAGGCGATTGATCGGGCTGTGTTGGGATTCATGTGCAAGGATATTATTGATATTGGGAGGCTAATGTGGGTCAAGCAGCAACGACTTGTGAAATCTGAGCTAGTCAAGTATGTTCCTCTCTGCGTTTCTCCTGAAAACCGCCTCTTGCTTGCTACCACTATGATTAATTAAAACATCATTGCTGCTTTTGTTGTTGTAGATTATTATTTTTTATTTACATAAAACGGGGCCCAGCCCAATTCAATTGATGATGAACAAGAGAAACCACAATTGAATTCAAACACTCAGATTTGCTTTTGACTAATAAAAAAAGATTTGTGTTTTTCCACACAAACAAGATAAGAATGTAGAGTGGTTGGTGACATGACATCACTACATACATACGCATCCTCGTCTACTACTTTATCTTCCTTTTTTCTCTCTCTCTCTCTCTATATATATATATATATATATATATATATATATATATATATATATATATAATAATAAATTATCCCATTCTATATTAATATCTATAAACATATAATCACCTCCACCAATATCAAACACTAATTTCCGCAGTCAAGTCAATTCTCAATAAACATTTTCATGGAGCCCACTGGTACTATAGTCTTCACCTCCGTCGGACGACCCGATTACGGCTTCGATGTTTACTCCGTCCACCTGCCATCCAACTCACTCTCCCACTGGAATTTCACAGAGCAACGCCTCACCGACTGTGCATCCGTCAACTTTAACGGCCAATTTGTGGATGATGACAGTACCCTTGTTTTTATCTCCGAGAGAACAGGGTCCGCCCGGATCTTCTTGAACCGACCCGGAAACGCCGCCCCAGAACAGCTCCATTCCCCGCCAGAAAGCCTCTTCCACGACCGCCCTTTCATCAAGAACGGGCGTCTCTACTTCATTTCTGCTCACCAACAGCCTGATAAGCCTTTCAAGAGCTGGACTGCTCTTTACTCGACAGGAGGCCTCCTCGATGTCAACAAAGCTGTTGTGCGTTTGACACCTTACGGCTCTGTCGATTACAGCCCTGCCATCTCGCAGTCTGGGAACCTCATTGCTGTTGCTTCATACGGGCCCCGCTCTTGGGGTGGCGAATTCCACCATCTCCTAACTGACATTGTCGTTTTTCCAGATTCCGATCCGTCTGAGCGTGTTCTGGTGTGCTCCCACGGAGGCTGGCCTACTTGGTGCGGCGACTCCACCATTTACTTCCACCGTCAAGCCGATGATGGGTGGTGGAGCATCTTCAGAGTCGATTTCGATTACTCCTCTACTGCTTCACTCGCACCGACTCGTGTCACTCCCCCAGGTGTCCACTGTTTCACTCCCGCCGCAATGCACAATAACAGCAACCGAATCGCGGTTGCCACTAGACGCAAGGGCAACAACTATCGTCACATTGAGATTTTTGACATTGATTCCATGAAATTCCATCCGGTGACAGAGCCAGTGAACCCCAATTTCCACCATTACAATCCATTTGTTTCTCCAGAATCTACTCTTATTGGTTATCATCGTTTCAGAGGGGAGGGGGCCGCAGCCCCTGGGGACTCAACTATTCCCCACCTTGAGCCGATAATTAGTCCCATTCAAGGGCTTCGCATGCTCAGGCTCAACGGTTCTTTCCCAGCCTTCTCACCTTGTGGCAATCTCATTGCATTCAATCATGATTTTGATCTGAAAGCCGGCCTCAAAATTGTCAAATCCGACGGCTCTAAAAGGTGGACCTTGTTCGAGAATCGCACAACCTTCTATAACTCGTGGAGCCCCGCCGATAAAAACGTGATCTTCACATCAATCGGGGGTATCTTTCAATCGGCTAGGGCAGCTGTACAGATTGCTAGGGTAACCTTCGATCCATCACATATGTCAGACGATAGAGATGAAATCCCCGTTGAGATCAAGATTCTCACGAAAGAAGAAACGGGCAACAATGCATTCCCTTGTTGCTCGCCTGACGGGAAATCTGTTGTGTTTCGATCTGGGCGCTCTGGCCACAAAAACCTCTACATAATGGATGCTGTAAACGGGGAGTTGGAGGGCGGAATGGTCCGTCAACTGACAGATGGCAATTGGATAGATACAATGCCGAGCTGGTCGCCTGATGGGAAATTAATCGCCTTCTCTTCGAACAGGCACAATCCGGAGAATGAGGGTGCTTTTGGAATATACTTGGTAGAACCGAATGGGAAAGGTGTACGGAGAGTACAGGTGGCGGTGATTGAGGAGGAGAGGGAGAGATTGAACCATGTGTGCTTCAGTGCCGACGGAGAGTGGCTGCTGTTTACTTCGAATTTGGGTGGGGTGACTGCGGAGCCAGTGTCTATACCGAACCAGTTCCAGCCATATGGGGACATGTACTTGGTGAGGTTGGATGGGAGTGGTTTGCAGAGGCTGACGTGGAATGGGTACGAGAATGGGACGCCAGCGTGGCACCCTACACCTGGTCTGAGCTTATCTGCCTTGTCTTTGGAAGGTAATAAGGATGGAGAGGATAAGTTGAAGGGCCAATTTGATGAGCCTTTGTGGATCCTCTGTGATCTTTGAACTTCAGTGATTGCTGTAATAATCTTGTACCTGTTTCCTTATGTAATAAGTTAATAACCAATAACTCAATGTTTAGTGGATATTGAGGTTCAAATCATACTATAATATTTTAAAATATCCCCGTTGGACATCTTATTTATTCAATAATCTTTCGATAAAAATAAATTGGATTTTATACACATAAATTATAGATCCATAAAATAGTGGGACTGCATACTTACTTGTCTAAAAATAAATAAATAAATACTATATTAGAGATTAGGTCCATCATATTTTATTAACAATTAAAAAGAATATGGTGTAAGTAAAAAAATAATTATGTCCACAAAGTCATTAAAATATTGTAATTTTATAAGACTCCATATGGATTGAATGATTTGAAGTTAAGAAGAAATTCAAATTTACAATGATGAATTTTTATAAATTGAAATATTTTAGATTTTTCTAAAAACTAGTATTTCTTTGAGTTGAGGTGATTTGATTTAGAAATTACTTCGTATAGAAGTCGTTTGGAATATTTTCTTCGCTCAAATTAGAATTATGTTTCAAGTGATTATTTATTACGTGAAAAATAAATAAATAAATAAATAAATAAGGGAAATAAGAATAGACAATTGGGAATTGGGAGATAAATCGGCCCAGTTATTTATCTACGTTGTCACCTCTCTCGCTGATTACTTTTATATCTCAATTCATAATTTATCACCTGTTCTTCATCACATCACAAACCCTAGAAATATATACAGAAATACAAATAAGAAGTTTCATATCTATTACCCAATCTCACATACATAGGAATTATCTCCGCCCTACGCACCAAATTACCAATTTGATTTCTAAACTATAGTGTTTTCGTTTTTGAGTCTAGAAACCCTAGATTTATCCCTTTTCTATTCTACACGTTTGTTTAAGCATTCGATTCAGGATTCCGAAGCAATGGATGACAGCTGCGCCGTTTGTGCCGAAAGCTTGGAGTGGGTGGCATACGGTGCTTGCGGCCACAAGGATGTTTGCTCCACCTGTGTTGCTCGCCTCCGATTCATCTGCGACGATCGTCGCTGCTGTATTTGCAAGACCGAATCCCATGTCGTTTTTGTCACCAAGGTTCCTTTTCTTTTGATTTCCACACTATTTTAATCTGTTTGATAATCCGCCCCTATGCCTAAATTGAATCCGCTAAATTCAATTGTGTAATTTTGAGTGCCTGTGTGAAGCTATATTGGATGTGGATGCACTTTAATTAGTACCCGGTGTCTTAAGAAAGTGAAAAAAAATAATCTATATAATTGATGGGGAATTCGAGTGCTACGGGATACGATACGAATCTCTTGTTTAATGATCAACTTACTGTGCGTTGACACTACTGACTAATTTAATTTCTATTTTTGTGGCTCCTCTCAGGCTATGGGAGATTATACCAAGACAATCAGTGACTTTTCGTTATTTCCTTCTGAAGTAAAAGAGGGCAAAGTGGGACATTACTGGTATCATGAAGATACACAGACATTCTTTGATGATTCGGATCACTACAGGATGATCAAAGCCATGTGTAGGCTTTCTTGCAGCGTGTGTGATAAAATGGAAGACCATCCAGATGATGGTTCCAGGAGAAGGGTAAAGTTTAAGAACATTGAACAGCTAAAGGGTCATTTATTCCACAAGCATAAGTTGTTCATGTGCAGCTTGTGCTTGGAAGGAAGAAAGGTGCGGCATTGTTTTTCTTTGACCTTCGTTACTCTTTAACTTAATCTTTTTTCTCAGTTCTATTCTTTTATAGGGAACTATCATTCATTTCGATACTCATACTTTTCATGTTCTAACACCAGTGATATGATATTTCTGCTTAGGAGTCTTTTAAGAAGGTTTAGATGTAAATTTACTTCTTGGCGTCTTAATGATTCATCTTGGCTGGAATGTATTGCCAGATGTGAAATGAAACATATTCTCAATAATAGCCTGTGAGTCTGGAACTTATTGTGTTTTGAGTTGCACATTCACTCACTGAAGCAAAAAATGTATATCTGCTTGGTTGTTCACAGCCTCATTTGACAAATTTGTCAGTAGTTTGAGACTTACTTCCTCAGTTATACTGATGAGGGGTAGAGTAGCCTCGTAGATAGTTTGCTTCACCATAGAAGTTATTTAGTTAGAGCTTATGATCATGATTCTGCAGCTGCAGAAGCCATGGCCTTAAATCTCGCTTTTGGTTTCATGAACACGATAATAGTGGATAAGGTCATCTTCCAAAATGATTTTTTGCATTATTCTAGTTAAATCGCGTGTCAATAAGATTTATTGGTCAACAATTGTTCAAAGAAGGTTTTGGAGCAAACGGTTGAGGTGGTTCTGTAAAATTCATAGTAACTGCAATACGACCGCTCGTAATAATGATAAATGTTGGTTTTATCCCCTTTCTTGTTTCTTGGTGGATGAGCTTGTCGATGAAGGCATTCTAGGTTGGATTTACTGATCTAAAAACAAAGTGGCTATCTAAAACTAATAAGGATGGCTTATTAGTCTTGTGATACGGTTCTAGTGGATGCAACAATCTGACAGAATGTTCTTTGATTCTCAGGTTTTCATATGTGAGCAAAAGTTGTATACGAGATCACAGCTGACTCAGCATACAAACTCGGGTGACTCACAGGTGGATGGAACTGAAAGTGAGAGTGGATTCGCCGGACATCCCATGTGTGAATTCTGCCGAACACCATTTTATGGGGATAATGAGCTCTATATGCATATGTCCACCGAACATTATACCTGCCATATTTGTCAAAGGTAATGTTCTTTAAATTTGAATTGAAATTGCAAAGTGAACTGATTGTTCTGTATATTGAATCTGGAATGACATTATCCCTTATTTACAGGCAGCACCCAGGACAATACGAGTACTACAAGAATTATGATGACTTGGAGGTAAGCATTGTTGGAGAGATAATACTGAAATTTCACATTTTAGTTTATCTTATTACCTGAAATAACTTAACTTTTCAGATCCATTTCCGTGGAAGTCATTTCCTTTGTGAGGATGACAGTTGTCTTGCAAAAAAGTTTATTGTCTTCACATCTGAAGGTGAATTGAAGGTCAGCTACTTGTGTTCATATGCTGAGAATGACCTTGTTCTGTTCATAGTAATCGCCACCGGTTGATCCTTTTCTTTCTCTTGCTTATATTTCAGAGGCACAATGCTTTGGAACATGGAGGGCAAATGTCTCGTTTACAGCGTAATGCTGCTCTTCAGGCATGTTTCATTGTTTCTCCGATTCTTGATCCTATGTTTATTTGGAAAAAAATAAAAATAATTATTTTATCAGCTGAGCTTTTCTCATCTTTCAGTCTTCCTTCTTTGGAGATCGTTGTTGCTTTTTTTCTTTTTTTGTTTTTTTGTTTTTTTGTTCTTTTTTTTTTTTTGTGGCGCGTGTGTCTGTGTTTGGAATTGGAGGATATAATAGATTTTGCATGCTCATTCACGCGCGATCATTTCATGTGACTAACCTTCAATGTTTGTTTGCCTTTCTTCCACGGTGGTTTGATATTTGGTATGTAATGTGTAGATACCCACCAGTTTTCGATACAGAAGAACCAGTGAACAAGATAACCGCCGTGGAAGAGGGCGTTCATTTCGGCGCGATCCTTCGGATAATGAACTTTCTTTGGCAATCCAAGCAAGCCTCGAGACTGCAAGTGCTGCCACATCATCTAGTACTAGGGCTAGTAACCAAGAAATTACTGATGTTGAGTCACGTACTCCACAACTTGAATCTGTAGCTACCACAGACTCTGACACGCCTTCAAGATACCTACAAGCCTTGTCTCTAAGTTCTGGAGGTGGAACACTGAGAGAATCTGCTTTTCCTCCTTTGCCAGTGGGTTCTGGAAGCAACCAACAGAATTCTCATCCTGATCTTCCTAAGAAAACTATGGCATCACATCTCCGCCGCCAGAGCAATAGAAAGGTGAAGCCCTCGAGTTCAGCTCCTGGTTGGCCCGCCGCTAATCGAGCACCTGTGCAGCCAGTGGGCAGTCCTCATGATTGGCCTTCAATAAATGCTACTTCTGGGTCAGGGTCTAGTTCTGGACAGAGCAGATCGTTGGCAGATATAGGATCTGCATCGTCTAGTTTTTCAACTTCTGCCCAGGCTCGCCCACAATCACTTGCTACTTCATCATTTGCCAATTCTTTAATTTCCTCAAGGGCTTCCGGAAGCGTGAGTCGGATCAGTCACTCCTCATCAGCCCCCAATCTTTCTGAACGAGAATCGCTCACATCTTCAAGTAGTGATTTTCCTCCAGTTTCAGCTGCACATGCACGCAAGTCGCCCACCCCCACGCCCACGCCTACGCCCACGCCCAACGCTAACCAAGCTGTTCGGAAAGTGGAAGATGTTCATACAGCAAACAAATCTCTGGTAGAGAAAATGCGTGGTGCTCTAGGATTTGATCAAGACAAATTTACAGCTTTTAGGGACATTTCTGGTGAATACCGCCTAGGTTCAATTGACGCGGAGACCTATCTTACATATGTGGAGCAGTTTGGTTTGTCTCACCTTGTTCTTGAGTTGGCCACACTGTTACCTAACCCCCAGAAGCAGAAAGAGCTGATTGATGCCTACAATGTTCATACGGCAAACAGTGCTGCAAAAGAGAATGGTTGGAGTAATGGCATAAAAAATGGCAATGCGTCCAAAAAAGGTAAAGACAAAGGCAAGTCTGTAGATTCAGGCAACAACACTGTTAAAAGCAATTTAGCTGATAATGTTATAAAAACTGTAAAAGAATTACAGTCAAGCTACAAAGTATCAGAAGAAGAGGTTGAAGTTTTGTCCAAGGACGGATATCGAGGTTCCAAGGGCAAATCAAAAGTTAAGATTGATGATTCGACAGTAGAGTTGAGTGGGCCAGGTGGTGAATTCACAAAACTCAAAAGCCAGAATGAGTTACTATCTGCTGGTGGTGGGGCTAGTAAGAATTCAAGTAATGATGGTGATGGGAAAAGTAAGCAACGAAAGAAAACGTCCAAGTTTCACAGAGTTCGCCTTGGTGATGGCTCTATTGAAGCACTCTTGGATCTTAAAAATACTGAACATGATTCAGATCCTGGTCCAAATTCTAAGGATGGGGAAAATACTTCTGGGGAAAGTGTGCCTGTTCGTGGGGTATGGAAAAATGGTGGTGGACAGAAGCTGCTGGGAATGACTTCTAGAGGGACTAAAAAGTGAGCGTCTCTAAAGAGAGGCAGTTACAATGTGCAGAAACAGAGGTCAACTATTTTTGTCATGTTCAGTTGTAGACTTGGTTGGTTACAAGATCAACTTGGCTGCTGTTTTGTTTGATTGGTGTGCGGTGGTGGAGTATTTCTCTTCCAAGGAGGGAGCAATGTTTTCGACTGAAGCAGTTTTTTTATGCTTTCATGAGGTTTTGATTTGGTTATCTGCTTCACATACTTGTAATTTTGATTTAAGCAAAAAGTATGTAGAGGTAAGTGGATAGTGCTTACCTCATATTAATTTACGTGATCAGAAGAAGTTACGTTCTTTTATCCTTTTTCTTTCGTGGTTGTTCCCATTGTGTATCCATCTCTACGGTGCCAATTTAGCTTAGACTGGTGCACTTATCACAGAGATATATATTTATTAAATAATTAATAAAAATAGATTATTTGTTTTAAAATTCCAATTATTATATATTAATTGCGTAATACATTTGTTGGTATTTTTATGATTGCAGTTCTACGAACAGGTAAATTTAATAAATATTCAGACTGTTTCCTTTATTATTCAATAATATATAGAACACATACGGTTCATGGAAATTTACAGAGGTTGACAATTACAATTTACATACATGATTTGTGTGTGACAAGAGAAGTAATAGTTGACAAAAGCTCAAAGGCAGAGAGGATTATGAACATAGCCAAATGTTTTCTCGCTACTGTAGCACATGTAGAGGAAACCGTCATCATCCTTGAATGAATCGTACACATTCTCTATCAAGCTTGCTGCAAAACAGAAAAAAGAACAACATCGAAAAGGTCATGAAACTGGACTCACTACGTATAAGATGGTAATAAGATTATAATGGATATTTTACATGTTTGTGGTAATGTATTCTTCACAAACACAAAGAGAGCTTTCCCAGGAGCCAGATGGAGCCGCCCGTTCAGGATATGGATAAACTGGCCAACTGACATGTCACGAGGGACCAGGAATCTGTTGACAAACCATATGAATAAACCGTGAGAAAGAAATTTGTCAACTGCTGACTAATATATGTCACATGCAAACAACTACAACTTTCATCACCAAATCATAGTAAGAGAATCTAGTCGAATATAGAAATAAGGTAATGGTGCCAGGTGCCCAGGTCTGGGAGTTGCATAAGTTAATGTCGGCATAGATATGAATTATTTGAGTAGCACACGACAGACAAAAAACTACCACACATGCACACAATCACATATGTACATATAATATATTTCAGGAACTGAGATGAGCACGTCTAAACATGTCTTGCTGAAGGAAAAATGAATACTATACACATATCCCGTGAAATGTGCGAGTTCAGACATCCGAGAGGGTAAAATTACATGGCAAGAAAATGGCGATCCAGAAATAAAATGACTTACTTCTTCTTCTCCATCTCAGGAAGGTCCGATTTTGTGTACCTTTCAGCAACAACCTACAATAAACTCACCAACCAAATGCAACGGTAAACCAAAGAGTTACATCAACAACTGGCAATTAGCATTTAAAGGCATAAGGAGGTCATCCAGTGTTTTATTATTCAATCTACAAAGACCATTGCTACTTCTGCATAGATGATAGCATTTTTCTGTTAAATCCTTCAAACTCGAGCACCAAAAAAGATTTTGATCTTGTCTTAAATATGTTTGTTTGGATAAAAATATTTCAAATCTTCAAACTTATCAACATGGTGATAACGTGATTATTGGCGAAATAAGGTAAAGTTTCTCAATAAAACTGACAAGTACAGGAAAAAAAGGACATACAGGGACTCGATCAGGATATTTGGCGATGATGTCTTTTGATTCTTGCAGTCTCTCATCTGTAATTTAGAATTGACGAAATTATGAATTCAATCCAACAAAAAGGAAGGAAGGAACATAGAATTAAGAGAAGGTACAAACCGAACGAATATTGTTCCGTGAAAAGTTGAGTCTTGGCCTTCACCATCTTCGATTTTTCTACGGTTACAACTCACAGCTAAACCACCGTCGAATTGCTTGGGAGAGAGAGAGAGAGACAACAATGGAAGAAATCGATTTTTGATTATTCAGATCCAAGTTGGAAGATAGAGTTTTATGCAATAATAATTCTATGATCCAGATTTTCCGATGTAGACTAATCATAGACGCCATGTGGTGTTTCCGGTTAAATAAAAGTATTATCTGCAATGTTATCAATAAGCGGGGATAGCTCAGTTGGGAGAGCGTCAGACTGAAGATCTGAAGGTCGCGTGTTCGATCCACGCTCACCGCATTATTTTGAAACTCCTATTTTTTAAAATTTAAATTAATGCGTCTTATAATAACCCTTAAACCTCTTTCTGCTGTCTGCCGGTCTCTATTCCCTTCTTTGTCCGTAAAAACTCGGCCATGACCATGAGCGCGACGGAGCAGAGCCAGTGGATGCTCCGCCGTGGGCAGTATCTAGGAGAAATATCAGCCCTTTGTTTCCTCCACATCCCCACTCACCTCTCATCTCTCCCTCTCCTCCTTGCTGGTTTTTCTCTCAACTCACCCACACACACCTTTTCTTGTTTTTCAAAACTAATGATGATTTCTTATTTGGTTCATATTTTATCTCCCCCACAGGAACTGGTTCGCAGATTCTGGTGTATGACTTGGTGAATGGAAAGATAATAAGGTCGTTTCAAGTCTTTGAAGGGATTCGTGTACATGGGATTTCGTTGGAGAATTTTCACAAACAGTTGCCGGGCTCTGCTCCTTCTTTTCGGGTTGCTGTCTTTGGTGAAAGGAGAGTGAAACTTTTCAGCTTGCAAATTAAATTAGATAGCCAAGAACCTTTTATAGATACCGAACTGACTCTTATTCACTCGCTACCCAAATTTAGCCATTGGGTTTTGGATGTGTGCTTTCTGAAGGTGTAAAGTCTAATATATATTCATAATGTGCTACTAGTTGTTTCATAAATTTAGGTTGATTTCTAGGTTTTAACTGCTCGTTCGGTAACCCTTTTGTTCTTTTCTTTTGTATGTGTGTGTAGTAGGATGGTGCAATTTCAAGTGAAGATGATGTTTATCTTGCCATCGGATGTAGTGACAATTCTGTGTACTTGTGGGATATACTGAAATATCATATGTTTTCTGAAGTTAAATGCACAGGTACTTTGTTGCTAATATGCCATTTTATCATTGAGAAATATGATTTTATACACCGGGGTAATACAGTAGTCAAGAATGAGAACATTCATAAACTGCTTCTACAAGTTGGATATTGGATAATTATTAAAGAAGTATCTAGAAGAGCTAAAATATGTATATACATGGTTGCTATCTAATATGTTATCACTTCGTTTTTCTTGGTATCCATTTTGGTGTTTTCAATTTTCCTATTGGGCAAATTTTGGTTTTTGAAACCTTGCCGGTAAATTTTGGATTTTAAGTATAGTGGGGGTTCTTCATATAACGTGATAGATGTCATACCTTATGATACTATTTTACCTAGCAAAAACTGATTAATATCAACTATGCCCTTTTACCAAACAATTCACAGAGAGATGCCTACTGTACTCCATGAAGATGCATGGAAATGAAATTGAATCTCTCCGCATTGCATCTGGTACTATCTTCAATGAGGTAACTCCAGACATTTTCTGGGTCATTTTTTCCCTATTCAGCTTACCAGCCTTTCTCACAATCACTTTATTTAGTAGTCTCTTTTCTTTCCATTCTGCTCGAGTCTATTTTCTTGCTATTATTTTTCTTGTCATTTCCCTATTAAGTCCTTGCTATTATGTAAAATCCAAATTTTGATAAACGCTGGTGTACCTGTGTGTTTTGGTAGATTGTTGTCTGGAAAGTGGTTTTTCAAAATAATGCTACAATTCCTGGACGTCACACAGAAGACCATGTACCACTGAATACTGATGAGGGCTTCCTTTGTCCTGTTCCCGTGTTCAAGGATGCTCTTATAAGTAGGCTTGTAGGGCATGAAGGTTCAGTCTTCGGCATTGCGTGGTTCTCTGATGGAATGAAACTCGTCTCTGTTTCTGATGATCGCAGGTAGATTATAGTTTTCTATTCATACAATTAGCTAACTTCATCTAGAGGGTAGGGAGGCATACTTGATTTATAACTCTTCACGGTATGCTATTTATTGGTGAATTCAGTGCTCGTATTTGGGAAGTTCAGGCTGAGAAAGGAGTTTCATGCAACGATGTGCAGGATAGGGACAATCACTTTGCAGGCCCTGTTTTGTTTGGTCACAGTGCCAGAATTTGGGACTGCTGTATATTCGACTCTGTAAGCTTGCTTTCTTTCTATTTAGTTTTTATTGTTCTTTTACAAGTGTACAAGTGTTACACACACATACACACACACACATATATATATGTATGTGTTTTTATAAATGTATACATACATACATATATAAATGGTACAGTTTATTGAGTAATTTTTGTGTTTCCACATGAAAAATGAAGAATAGGATTCTGCTTTTATTGACTTATTCTGTTCGCTTATCAAACTACTCAGTTAATCATTACTGCCGGTGAGGACTGTACGTGCCGTGTTTGGGATCATGATGGCAGAGAACTGAAGGAGATCAAAGAGCACATGTAAGCTGAAAAAGTTTCATCGATGAGGCTTCCTATTCGTGGTTTTTTCTACTTGTATATCACTTTTGAATATTCCATTCATCTAATTTAGTTTGTAAGGCATTCTTAGACGAGAACTTCATTTCTGAATTCATTCGGCAAGGTTTCATAATATCGCACTTTGAATACTATAGAATGTGCATGTATTTTAACTTATTTTTTGACCGATCTTTTCTTTTTGCTATGACCTGGTAAAAATTGTCTCTCGGGCGCATTGCATTGATTTCAACTTGGTTACCCAGTACTTCATTAAGGAATCTCTTTAATTTTTTTGTCATTACCTTCTGCAGTGGGAGGGGAGTATGGCGATGTTTGTATGATCCCAGATCTTCTCTTCTTGTTACTGCTGGTTTTGATTCTGCTGTAAAGGTTCATCAGCTTTATGCATATAAAGGATTAGAAGAAACCATTGCATCAGAAGATTTCAGTGATAAACATGAAGTCTTTGCTCTATCTCTACCCAATTTGTCAGGGAATGATCAGCTCATGGACAGGTAATTTCATCAATTTTGCATGTGAATATTTTGGGGAAGTTTGTAAAGTATTTTATCTGTTGAATTGTTACTTATTTTATCATACCGCTTTACTGTTCTGCCTTTCCCCATCAGAGTTTCTCACCACTGAGTCAATCTTGCAGCAAAAGTGAATATGTCCGCTGTCTGCACTTCTCACGTGAAGATTCTCTTTATGTGTCTACCAACAACGGTTACCTGTATCATGCTAGTCTAATTAATAATGAGACCGTTAGGTGGACCGAGCTTGCCCGTATCAGTGAGGAAGCACCAATCATTTGTATGGACTTATTATCAAAACGTTCCAAGTCGTCTGATGGATTTGAAGATTGGGTTGCTATTGGAGATGGTAAAGGGAGGATGACGATTGTCCTAGTTGTTGGAATTGATTCGAGCCCAAAAGTTGATTTTACTCTTACATGGCCAGCTGAAAGAGAGAGGCATCTCTTGGGCACTTATTGGTGCAAGTCACTAGAAAATAGGTAGTAAATAATTTCATTTCAAGCAACATCGGGCACCAACCATCATATGTGTTGTGACGTTCTATAATCATTATTCAAGATTAAGGATGTGATCATAACTATAAGCACAATTAAAGCAGTTACAGTTAATTCCTGAAAAATATCACTCGTATCTAGGTTTTACATTTTTTTAGCTGATGCCTGACTAGCAGATTATCATGCATTAGGAGACTCAACAAAAGATAGTTGCATATCAATCAATTCAGGATTATAATCTCCATTTGCCCATTCTCCATATGGCCAAATTAGTTCACCAGAAATTGCTCATGCGTGTCTCACAGGAAGTAGGTTCATTATGGAACTAATGGCTTCGCCGTTAGTATACATGTCTCCATATTCTTCATCATCATGCCTAATAGATTCAAAATAATAAATACATGTCTCTGGTAATTTCTCTATCCAGGTTCATCTTCACTGCCGATCCTGGTGGTAGATTAAAGCTGTGGAAGTTACGGAACAATTTAACTTCTGATTCTCTAATTGGTAGAGCAAGTTATGATATGTTTTTAATAGCAGAATATGCCTCATGCTTTGGAATGAGAATCATGTGCGTGGATGCTTCATTTGATGAAGAGGTAAGCATATTTATCATCGTATTCTCCCCCAGTTTCGTCGCTTGGATTATTACTCTCTTATTGAGAAAAGTCTTGTGCAATATGACTAGTAGGCATCTTTTGAATGTGGCAAATACGACGTAGCTATGAATTTTTGTTTCTAGTGCTGTAAAGTACCTTAAAAGTTCTTGACTGCGAATATATAATGTGAACTTTTATTTCCCTGTTTATATCACTTGTCATAGTGAAGTTCATAGTTGCAGGTAAAATCTTGAGAACAGGATAAGTAATTTTGTGGAGATGAACTATCATAAGGTCTTGAATTTACTTATAAACTGTTATCGTCTACAGTTGCTTGTGTGTGGGGACATTCGTGGTAATCTGCTACTATTTTCTTTGCCAAGAGACCTACTCTGCAGCACTTCTATTGCTGCCGGAGTTAAAGCATCTCCAGTGAATTATTTCAAAGGGGCTCATGGAGTATCGAGTGTCAACAGTGTCTCCATTTCTGTGCTGTCTTCTGATCAAGTTGGCATACGCTCGGTATGATCTGATTCTTAAAGTTGTGATAATAAATTAACAATCTCAGTATCCATTTCCTCCTTCAATAATGCTTACATTACAAATAAATAAAGCTACTGAGAACAGTAGGTTGTAGGTATCACGAAATTATGGAAAATCTTATTGCTAGCATGTGGTAACTTGGTACTGTACTTTTTTCAACTAATCTCCCTACCCCCTCCCCCTTTACAGACAGGAGCAGATGGATGCATATGCTACTTGCAACATGACAAAGATCTCCTTAATTTGGAATTTATAGGGATGAAGCAAGTCAAAGAATTAAGTGCAATCCAATCTGTCTTCACCAGTGACCGTTCTGATGAGTCTTCTGTTGGCGATTATGCAGTTGGTTTTGCATCAGCCAATTTCATAATATGGAATTTGAGTTCAGGGACAAAGGTGCTCTCTCTCTCTCTCTCTCTCTCTCTCTCTCTCTCTCTCTCTCTCTCTCTCTCTCTCTCTCTCTCTCTCTCTCTCTCTCTCTCTCTCTCTCTCTCTCTCTCTCTCTCTCTCTCTCTCTCTCTCTCTCTCTCTCTCTCTCTCTCTCTCTCTCTCTCTCTCTCTCTCA